TTCATATAACACCTCCAAAAAAGGAATAAAAAAGGGCGCCCCCTGTCAAATGTCTTATTGTCCCCGTTGGTCGACCCACACCCACCTGTTTTCTTTATTTTTCGCTTCAGCTGGGAGGGGAGCCTAGCCTGGGAATGCGGCTGACGGGGGTTGTTGTTGTTGTTGTGGTTATCCAGCAGCCTGGCCGTGGGCTTATCATCGATCACAGGCCATTCGCCTCTTCTTCGTTTGTTTCGTCCAAGCGGGGGGTGGGGAGGAGGAGGAAGAACTCACTTGATGTAGAAGCACCATCTCCAGGTGACTCTGTCAGTAAAAGCACCGCCCATGAGAGGCCCGATGATAGAGGCGATGCCGAAGATGGAGCCCATCATGCCGACATAGACGGGACGCTTCCTCAGGGGCACGACCTGCGCAATGACGACGGTGGTGCCCGAGAAGATGCCCGCTGAGCCTGTGCCGGCAATGGCACGGCCGACGATGAAGGCGGTCGAGTTGGGGGCTGCACCGCAGAGGGCGGAGCCGACCTCGAAGATGACGATGGCGCTGAGCAGCACAAACTTGGTCGAGTAGAAGGTGTACACCTTGCCCCAGGTGAGCTGGGTGGCACAGCTGGTGATGAGATAGGCGCTGGCGTACCAGTTGATGTCGGTCAGGGCGTGGAACTGGTTGGCAATCTCAGGCACCGCAGTCGCAATGATAGTCCGATCCTACAGCCGTCAGCAACTGCGCGATGCATGAAGCAGCTGAATAACACCTTACCAGGGCAACGAGGAAGAGAGACATGAGCACGGCGACCATGATGACGACCAGACGGGCGCCGCTGGTGTAGCTGCTGTCGTCCCCCCCCTGACCGTCCGGCTTCTTCTCGTCCACCATCTTCTCCGTCGCGGGCTGCTGCGAGCTGGCCTCGGACGACTCCTTCTTGACGTCCTCGACCGGAGGCTTCTCGTCTTCCTTCATCTTGAGCGTTGTGGTGGCTGCTGGTGATGGCTGCTCGCTGCTGTTCAGGGGTAACTAGTTGCTCTGCGGCCATCCTGCCTGCGCAGCCAGATATATATATATATATATATCAGTATATCAGTATATACAGCACCTCGGGGCCTGGCGTATGATCGCCGCCGCCCTCGAACAAAGGATCCTCAACCGAACCGGGACCGTCCCTTGCGTTTCTTTGCTCTGCTCGCGCTTCTTATTTCTCTTCTTTTCTTTTTTCTCTACGCCCTGGCTTGCTCTGTTTCGTTGCTTTTTCGCCGGGACCGAGCCAGCCAGCGCACCGACGGGACCGAGTGATCGCCCGGGGATGCGAGACAGGGCTCCGTTAAGTAACGAAGAGAAGGATAGACGGTCGATATCAGAAGCGGCCGCTGCATGTAAAGTATAGCGAGCGAGAAAAAAGAGAGAGAGAGGGAGAGAGACGATGGCAGACAGCATGCACCCCGGAGGCCTCCCGCGCATCACCCGCAACCACTCGTGCTTCTCCTGCCAGCAGCGCAAGGTGCGGTGCGACGGGCAGCAGCCATGCTCGTCCTGCCGCCGCAACAGGATCGAGTGCGTCCCCGGCAGGCGGACGAAGCCTTCGATGCATCGGCGGGAGGCCAGCAGGGCGGCGGCGGCGGCAAGCGAGCGTCTGGTGCGCCGGCTGCGGTGCTGCGAGGAGGCCCTGAAGGCGCACGGCATCCAGGTCGACGACGAGCAGCCCGGCGAGACGACTTCGCGGGAGCTTCTGCTGCCTTCGCGGGCGCCTCCCCAGGGCCAGATGATAGTCAGGTCGGCGGGCTCGCGCTATGTTGAGAAGTAAGTCCAGATATATAGAATGTGTCTCGGTTCAGGGGCTGACTTGTGCCTGCAGCTGGCTGTGGAAGGGGTTGTCAGACGAGGTAAATACGGCCCGCCTTCATGCATAGAAGTGCAGTATGGAGATGTGAGAGACGTCTAACGGGAATAGCTGCAAGATCCGGAGGTTCTGGACGCAGACGAGGAGTCGCAGTTCGACCTCGAGCAGCCAGAGAGCGAGCCCCTGAGCCTGTTCGGCGACGCTCGCTACCTCGACCTCCACGGGCTTCACCCGCCGGCGCCGCAGCTCTTCCAGCTGTGGCAGATCTATCTGAACAATGTCAACCCGATAGTCAAGCTCTTCCACTCGCAGACGATGCAGCGGATGGTGCTCGATGCGGCCGCGGACCTGGGCAACGTCTCCCGCAGCACCGAGGCGCAGCTCTTCGCCATCTACACGGCGGCGGTGACCTCGACCGACGAGGAGACCTGTCTGAGGCTGCTGGGCGAGTCCAGGACCGCCCTTCTCAGCCGTTTCTCCAGGGCGACCAAGCAGGCCCTGAACAACGCCGAGTTCCTGCGGTCGACCAATATCTGCACCCTGCAGGCCCTCACTCTCTACCTGGTAACTCCCGCTACTCTACTCATTAACTAGTTACTGATATTGGTGTGATGCTAACGGCTGCAGTTGGCGACTCGGCATACATATGAACCGCATACGCTGTGGCTGTTTACCGGCATTGCCTCTCGCACGGCCAGGGCCATGGGCCTGCACCGCGAGGCCAGTCTCAGGGGCTTCTCCGTCTTCGAGCAGGAGAACCGCCGGCGGCTCTGGTGGCAGATTCTCATCCTCGACAGCCGCTCAGCACAGCTGTCAGGCGTCGCCGTGAACCCGGACTCGTATCTCTTCTGGGACACCCGCTGTCCGCTCAACCTGAACGACAGCGACCTCGTCCCATCCATGCGAGAGCTGCCCGCCGAGTACGACGGACCAACCGAGATGCTCTTCTGCCGCATCCGGTTCGAGGTCGGCGAGTACATGCGCAAGCTCAAGGCCCTCGAGCACCGTCATGCAGAAGACAGCAGTGCCGTGCGTCTTGCGGAGGAGAGCCAGCTGATAGACGAGCTCGAGACCCGGCTGGAGGAGCGGTACCTCAAGAAATGCGATCCCTCCATCCCCTTTCACCTGCTGGCCCTCTATCTAGGCCGATCCTCCGTCTGCCAGATGCGCCTCTCCCTGCACACTCGACAGTGGTACTCGAGCAGGGGGTCGACCCTCTCCGCGGCAGAGAAGGACCAGGTCTTCAGTCTCGGGCTGGAGATCATAGGATACGACAATCTTGCATACTCGAACAAGGCCCTGCAGCCGTATCGCTGGCACGTCGCCATGGCCTTCCCGTTCGAGGCCCTCATCCTCGTCCTCACCGAGCTGCTGGCCCGCTTCGAGGGGGACCTGGTCCGCCAGGCATGGGAGAGAGTCAACCAGCTCTACGCTGACCACCCGGAGATCATCACCGCCGCAAGAACAAACACCCTCGTCTCTGCCCTCGTCAGTCTGACCACCAGGGCGTGGGACAAGCTCTCATCCGTAACCCAGACCTCCTCGCATCTTCTCCAGCACGCAACCGAGCCCGCATCTGTAGCTAAACTCCGCAGCACTCGCAGGGATTGGCGCCCGTCTTCTCCCTCTGCCCAGGTGTCTCCCGTGCTCGACGAGTACCTCTCTCCCGCTGCTGCTGCTGTTGCAGCCGTCCGGGATACGGGGGGAGATCTTGTCCTCTCTGGCACCGCCGAGGAGCCTCCCGTCGACATATCGCAGATTGACTGGAACTACTGGCAGGCCTTGATAGAGGGGGAGGGCGCCCCTTTCCAGCGGTAGCCCAGCCGTACTTTTTCTCCACCAGCTAGTTACTCCATTATTGCCAGTTACTATCAATAGAAATGACATAGATTTTCAAATTTAATACTGGGCCACGAATCGGGAATAACGGAAGTTTAACCAGCTGTCCAGGCCTACTAAATTATGTAAATAACAATAACTGCCTCAAGGATCCTACAGAGTCTTGTAGTTCTACTTCCTGGCTCTGCCCCGAGCCAACTTCCACTCCGCCAATGCTTATAACTGGCATTGCTCTCTGCCAATATAAGCCCAGAAGTGGACATTTCAACAGCAGGGCGCTCCTCGGGACCGAATTTGTTGGTTTCCCGACAGACCCAACACGCTAATGCTTTGTGTCCGGTTGGTTGCCACCCGTACGGTGGTACAGAGATGTATATCTATATCTAGTCACTACCGTCCCCGTTTGGTTGTCAAGCCCCAGGCATACAAACATAGAACCAGCTATATACGGACAATTCACATCGACAAGCCGTCCAGCATGCTCACCTTGGCCCCTTTTTCCTCCACAGCGGAGCACCGCCAGGAACCGACCCCATTTGACCCTGCTATCGACGCTCAGGGGGCAGAACCAATTATCCAGACACTCAAGTCTTTGGACAGCTCTCTAAAGCTCTATACCCGCTCATCTCCTCACTACGAGTGCCTCCGTGGCTGTTTCAACAAGCTCGTCACCGCCCGGCCGCTGGTGATTTGCAGACCTGTTACTGTCGAGCAGGTACAGCTGATTGTTCGGGCTGTCAGTGACCTGGCCAATGGCGATGGATGCCCACCGCTCGCAATCCGTGGAGGCGGCCATGACGTCTGGGGCCGCGGATGCATTGCTGACAGCGTCACTATCGACGTCCGAGAGCTGGATACGGCAACGCTGGCTGAAGACAAACAGTCCGTGACCGTCGGAGGGGGGATTCTGTCTGGCAGCCTTGTGGGATTCCTCAACACCCACGGTCTTTGCACGTCCAATGGGACTGCCGCCGATGTTGGATGGACCGGATGGGCCGTCTGGGGAGGGTACGGCCCTTTCAACGACTATCTTGGACTGGGTGTAGACAATATCCTCGCTGCCAAAGTGGTCCTGGCAGACAGCACATTGGCCGAAGCAAAGCCTGAATCTGATCTGCTCTGGGCCATCCGAGGAGCCGGAGGAAACTTCGGAGCCATTGTCGAGGTCACGGTCAAGGTATACCATATACCGACTATCCTGGGGGGGTTCATCGTGTTCAAGTGGGAGGAGACCAGGCAGGCCTTGTACAGACTTCAGGAGCTGCTTGATAAAGGCGTTCCGGATGCATTGGGTATCCAAATCGGCTTCAACAGATCTAAAATCGGGCTAGGTATGAGCTTCATCTATACCTGGGCTGATTCTGGCAACCTTGACGAAGGGAAAAAGTGGCTGGAAACACTCAAGCAGCTGGCCACCGTCGTCGTAGATACAACAACTGAGAGTGAGTTCCCCCTCGTTCATGTTGTTGATCATACCATAGCTGAAGTGCTAAACAAACGATCTATATAGCGACGTTCAAGGATTTCCAAGCCATGACAACGAAGCCATTCAAGGATCCCACCAATGTCTGTTCACGTTCTGTCTCTATTCCTCGATTCACCCCGGAAACCGTTGAAGTACTACTCAAATATATAGAGGCCATCCCTATGGGCGGCCGGTACAATGTACTTTCTCACGTCGGCCATGGGAAAGGGACACAGCCGAACAGCACAACATGCTTTGGCACGCGCGAGCCACATATCCTGTTCCATATCAATGCACCCGTGGCCGACGGAGCTGACAGCATTGGAAAAGCCCAGTCTTGGGTTGACGGCTTGATGGCGGATATCAAGGGTACCGGGCAAGCTCTTAAGCCTGTCTATGTTAGTTTCATGGGTACGGATGAAGAAACGCACGATAGCTTCGGACGAAACTGGAAGCGGCTTCAGGAGTTGAAAGGAAGCTTGGATAAGAAGAACTTGTTTCGTTTTGCTCAACCAATGCTGGGAAAGATGTAGTTTGTAAATATATTATCTCTAGGAGCACGTACACACTCAATGTGACGCTATCATAATTGTAAATTCTATTATGTCTCTTAAATTTAATCCAGGGCCTTTATATAATAATCAACTAAGATGTTCCCTTGCAGCTCTCACGGCTGCCCGCAGCCGGCTTCGCAAAAACGCCTCCAACGCCAGGTGCAACTTGTCCTCACTGTCCTCGTTGACAAGGCCGTGAGGCCCATATTTCGAAGGTCCATCATTGCGGTTACAGTAGGTACGCGCAAATGCGTCTATGACTTCTTTCACTTTCGTCAGCTCTGTTTGTATTAATTGTGCAACCATGCGCTCTGAGTGTTCATGATCAAGTGCGTATGCTCCCATACGGATGGATGGAATGAATACCCAGTCAAAGAAAGGGGACGATGATGCATTGGAGTTCATGGTTGTGGCCGTCGATCCGGCAGAGGTACTGCTCGATGAAGTTGAAGCATTGCTTGCTGTTGCCGCGCTGGAAATACTGCAGCCACTGCTGCTACGCTCAAGGCTGGCTTCGTACCAGGAGAGCACACGGGAGCATACAGCAGTTACCAAGAAGACAAGCTCTGCCTTGACCGTGCATGGGCATTGTAAAATCGTAAGCATGTCGTCGAGAGCGGCACGGTTATCTCTCAGGATAATTTCAAAGCTGCGGGATCCGCGCCTAGGGGCCTGGCTCGACCGGGATGATAATATTGGGGTCGCAGTGCCTGAAGTACCTGAGACTGAAGAAGTCGCCGCCGCTATCATGGCAGCTGCAGCAGTGGAGGTATTATTAGACGCTAAAGAACAAGGTATCATAGGGATGTCAAGTTTTTGAATGGTGGAAGTAGCTAGTTCGGAGCATTGATGGCCGTAGCTACTACTGCTGGTGGTGTTTTCATCAAATCTGGCGTGTGATAATGGTGACTGAGGCGACTTTGCGCCTTCGCCTCGGTTAAATCGGGGTAGGAAATGAGGGTCTAGATCGTAAAAAGGGCCGGGTTGTTCAAATTGCCACGCTAGATGGGGTGGTTCATCAAAGGTCGGTATCAGGCCGCCCCAAGGGCTGTCGACATCGGCTGGGAACATGCTTTGCTCCGAAAATGCCTGGTGAGAGTCTGCCGCTATTGGTGTTCTGTCAAAATCCATGTCGAAACCATGGACATGATCCCGCGTTTTGTCGTCATGGTTGATGTTGTGATTTCCAAGTTCGTTGTGATGAAGGCTGTTCATGACATGACTGTCATGGCTGCCAATTGGTTTATTGAAGGAGGTCTCCCTAGACAAGTTGTTTCTTCGAGGGGATTCTACCATTGATTCTTGTAACGGCCTCCTCCGTACTCTTTGCGATGGGCTGTATATACAACTAACACCCTGATGAATGCATCGTTGGCATTTCGGCTGCTCCTTGCTGCAGCGCACTTTCGATCTCGAGCAATTGTCACAGCTGGCTCGGATATTGTCCAACCTCCTCGCAGGCACAGGATGTGGAGAAGTACGACCTGCCGCTGCAGTTGACTCCATTGCAATTGTTTGATGCTCGGCGGCGCTTGGTGGTGAATATCGTGCAACGTTTGACCCCTATCCGTTTGCTTGTCTGCCTTCTGAAGTAGAGAAAGAAAAACCCTTGCAGTCTCAATACTCATTGAGAGAGAGGTATCTTGGTGCAGAACTCAAGAACTTATATGTATAACGAGATACGAGCTCCTTCGTATCTGTTTGTCTTTCCCGCCCAGTACTTCAGAGCCATTTCTGGGGGGTGGCGCGTATTGAACATACGTTGTCGAATAAACTATAAGTGTATAATTGTAATGCATTGGGGATCAGACCAAGCCGCATGTTCCGTGGCCCTTTCATTAGATCCCGGCTGCGCCGTGGAAGCCACCCTCGAAATGATCTCGGTCCCGCCCGTCCCCAGCGTGAGGATTCTCGTGGGTCGGGTGATCCAAGGCTGAAGGAAGAGGCAATAAAACGCGGTCTCGCGCCCATTATCGAGATTGCAGTAGCTTTTCATCGTGGATTTCCTGCATCACCTATCGGCCTTTGACGCACTACAGCCCTTTTTTTTTTTTTTTTTTTTTTCAGATGCTTTTTAACTGCTATCGTCTGCTGCTGTTGATGAAGTTTGATACGAAGTTTCGTCCTTTGGACTTATATTTAGAGTTTTTTATTTGCAACTTTAATTTTCTTAAGGTTTGATTTATAATAAACGCTAGTTCTATCACGTGATGCTATCAGCTAAGCCATGCGTAAAAAGGGGGCCTTGAGAAAGGGGTTGTTGATTCTCAATATTATCCATAATTCAAGGGGGAATAGAGCACAGGAGGAAATTTTTTGGGTGGAGGCATTTCGCCGCTCCAAAAGGAATATGAGTATGAAGGAATACCGGTGTATAAGGCACAAGAGACCATGTTCACTCTACTAGCTGGAGGATGCCCGGCTCCTCCTCATCCTGTTTTATATGCCTACATTGAAGGCGCTACAATATCAGCAAGGTATGAAGAAAGCTGAATATTGGGACATATGTGGATAATAGCGCGGAAAAAGTGAGTGGGTTTTGTGGTCTCAATACAGGTTCCCGAACAATATACGAGCATTGCATTAAATGCGTATGCCAGATACATATGGCGTGCTGCTACCTATATATAACACTCTGCGCAAGTAATTGCAAACTGGTGTGTGTTGTGTACACATGTTTAAGGACCAGCGTATATCGCGCTTTAGGGCAAAGTATGGGTGTAGGGTACATCGGGACAGAGGAGAATATGGCATGCAAGCTGCTGTCTGGTTTTGATAACAATTATTGGGCAAAGCTTATGTACCCTCGCTTCCCTGCCAATGGCGATCATCCTGGACCGACCACCACGAATAGGAAGAATACGAGGCATGCCCATCCAGACTTTCACCAGGATCTCCACATAGACGGAGAATATTGTGTCGAATAACAAGGTATCCTAGTACCTGCTCATGGCTAATATCATCTCTATTGGTAGATTTGCAAACACTCAGGAAGACACCTTCAGGAGGTATGGGGAAGATGTGCCTGATATTTTGATTGTGTATTTTAAGTCTAGGCTTTCGTCTTTGGTATCGCCAGGGGACCCCCGCTTAGTGGCTTTTAGGACAAGAAGAGCTAAAAGACTTCTTTCACCTCGGCGGCACATTCTACTAAGAAAGGTAAGGCTTATCAAAGCTTGACCAATCTACAGGACATCAGCCTAATGTATCCCACTCTTGGCTATAGTTGTAGCTAGGAGGAATGCCGTCAAACGTATCCCGAAGTGTGAAGTTAGCCTCAAATCCTGAAGGACGGAAGATATGAGTATAGACCGGACAGCAAGGTATGAGATATTCTTTCCCGTCGACATGCATAATCGTTGCAGATTTTCAGCTCAGCATCCAGGGAATAAACCACGTTGATACCACGTTGACACCACACGTCCTGCATGCTTGTGGTTGGTGTTGCCAGAAAGTTCGGGAAACAGATGTGGAGCCAAGATCTTACGGTGGAGAAATGCTTCAGATGTAACAGTGATCCCTGCTCGCTAAGTGAAGGTTCGTGTACGATGTTTGGCTGGACACGGGGGGGGGGGTTAGGTTCTTATAGGTTTACAGATAGCGAGAAATTTCAAGAAGAGTGCTCTCTACCCATCTGAGTATCAAAGGCGACAGGATCACGCATTCTGATCGGTGGCAACCCAGCAGCACATCGGCACTTCATAGAAGACCTAACTTACTAGCTGCCTGGCTTCAGAATTGCATTGTATAACGACTGCTTATAGAGTACCGTCCGTCATTTTTTTTTTTTTTTTTTTTTTCAGGAGCAACCTGAATATCCCCCTTCATTCTATATCATTTTAGGGCAATATGATTGGACATATAGTAGACCTTCAGGGGCTGATCATCACTTCAAGATATGCTCTAAGATGGTCACAAGGAGACTATTTGAGAAGTCCGTTGCAAAAAGCTCCTTAACTCTCTCATGTCAGATACGTTTGGGACCGAACTCAAAGTTGGATAACTCGTGTTTTCTATGCACGTATCTTTGGCTTGTCAGAACAAAAATTTCTTTAAAACCCCATATTTCCAGTTAAGACCTTCGACGAAAGCTTACCCAGTGCCCCAGGTTGAGTGAGGCACTAACTAGCGGAGGCGCCAGCCACATGTCATTCGGGGTGTTATGCCAGAGTCTTCCCATAGCAATGAAGGGGGAGTCATACTCCTTAGCAAAAGATAGTGCCTCATTCTGCGGGTCACGAAGACCGGGCACGAATCAACATCATCTCGACAACTGCTTCGCGTGGCTTGGCTCGGGCCAAACAAAATTAGCTTTAAGCTGGTGGAACCTCGGGTGGGCTGATTAAGCTTATTCCATGCTCCTTGCCTCAGGGGGGCCGGCCGGGCTCGTTTCGTGAACCAAGGGAAGTCCGACCCCGTTTTGAAAGAGGAGAAAGACTTGAAGGAGAAGGAGAGAAATACTTACATGGCCGGGCGGGTAAGCCGATATGGCGGCTTGATAGTCCTTCGTAACTAACAGCTGGCACAATATATTATGCTCAGTGAAGGCGATGATAAGCCAGCAGCTCACGAGACAATAATAAGACATATATATAGGCGTCGAGATATGCCTTTTTGAACCAGCCCAGTAGGCGGGGCCATGGGCTTTTTCGCGGTAACTCAAACGCCCCATTTTCCATCATTGTGAGAGCATCACCAGCATCATAGTACAGACAGAATAATGTCCATTTATTCGGTCGACAAGATAGAAAAAAAGAAAAGAAAAGTTAGAATGCTGACTAAGCAGAGCACAAACCTCTCCTTGAGTTAAGGTTTTGAAATGCCAAGAAAGTATATGATTCAGCCTCTGAGTCTTGGCATTCTCGTTTAATACACCGGCTTTTTTTTTTTTTTCATTTTTTCTCTTTCCACAACGCCGAATCGTTATCAAGACTCCAGATACCGGCGAGTGCCATCCTCGTTCTTTAATTCCGTTAACCCATTGTGTTCCAAACTCCCGAAGAGTTTCTCAGTAGTGGACATCGAACCAGTTATACCCGGTGCGTCAGCCTGGATACCCACCCGGCCGGCCGTCCAATCACTCCCGATTCCCTGCACCTTGCTTGATCCTCCTGACCCAGCGTAGGATGAGCTCAGCAACACCATGATTCCATTTGAAAATGCTGCTTGAATGGTGCAGGGAATAAGTGACGAGGGCTATCCCAAAAAGGACGTTTTATGGCTGTTTGTTCGCAATACCGGGCAAACCCGGTAGTATCATTCTTTAAAACTGTTCACTGGGCGATTCCATATCTGCAATATCTCTATACAGCTAAGCTATACAACTCTCAGGGGCTGTCATTGGTTCATAGCCCCCTTGAGAACGAGATTACTAACGACAGGAATCAGCCGCAGAGGAGAAGAATCTACAGACCTCGGATATCTCACGAATTCTTTCATCATGAGATGATATGATATTTTGGCATTTTGCGAAGACAACAGCATCCTTCTAGGCTTGGAAATTCGGCAGGTGACAGCTTCTAGTTTCTTACAACTATCTAATACAGACACTCCAAAACACCACTGACCCACCGAATGTGGAATCTTTCTATCGCCTTGATTTCCTCCAACTGCTTCACGATCATGACCTGTATGGAAACTGGAATATCCGAATAATCATTCATGAATGGGGCTTGGAATACGTTCCTTGTCACTAGATATTCAATGTCCTGACGACCTGGCCTAGGTTTCGGAGCACAGCCGCCGGGCTGACTCCTTCAAGGCGTTAATTCAGGGTGATAATATCATTTGATCCCATTTTCCTGAGAGAAATCTTGCTTTCCTTCAGGATATGATAATGAAAACTGTTACCACGATACCCTGCGTCTCAAAGGATCGTTGTCATGATTTGCTGGTCGACTCCAGCAAGGGTTCAGTGGTTATGAATCATATCACAAGACGTCATATTCAATTGACGCGTTGCTTAATTTACTATCGTGCAGGCAGTAATGTTTCAGTCTGTGGTTTAGTGCTAGTATGGGAATAAAACATGCGTCTTTCCTCTTCGGACTAGGGTTGGTGATCTTCGCGGTTACGGGGAAAAAAAGGGTGTTTCCAGCCATAAATTTCGCCAAGGGGTTGTTGATCCGAGGATTTGGAGCGTTATTAACATCATGAAGATCTACCTAGTGCTTGTTTTCACGTCAGAAAACGACGGAACAAATCAAAATGCAGTTGACCAGCACGAAGCAGCCCTTTTAAAGGAATACATACTCCAAAATTCCCAGAAGACAATCGCTTCTCGGATACGTCAATATCTATACCTCAACATGTACGGAGTACCGATAAGTCATTTTCCTCCCCACGGAATTAATGATAAACCGGACAAACCGTACGGACTAAAACGGCCGATACCGTGAAGGAATTTGGATGATAAGCAGTAATCAAACTTTATCTCAAGAGCAGAAAGAGGATCTTGCCGTGGCGGGATTTGACACCTCCTGAACTGCCTTTTACGTGCTTTAGAGGGTTTGATACCGACATTCTGGAATCGTTGGACGGAATATGGCACTAAAAGAACATTATTTCAGCTGAGGCTCCAAGTCCGGTGCTATCCGGCTTTGCTCAAAAACGATGTAAGCCACACTATGTCGTGTCCAATGTCATCACCTATGAATCCAATAGTAAGGAGGGACATTACTATTTGAACTGTTGACCAGATTTATTGCAGACTCTGTTATCTTCATTTCTCGATATATCTAACGATGGAATATGAAATCTAGCCATGTATACACACAAGAGTTTTTATATGTTAAAATATTTGCACTTCAAGTAGTCTCGAAACTGCTTGTGCTAGAAAGCAGTGGATGGCCTGCGGTACGTAACTAATAACTATACTTATACTGCTCCACCCAGTTGCTTTTAGAGTAGAATAGACTGAGCATCGGTAATACCACTATCATAATCGCTGGCCTGGGAAAACGAGCCGAAGACTCGAACGGAGGACAAGATTGGGGCTCTAACAGCGGCATCCATCTTTTACCACCACTGGGAGTAACTTCCGCCGTATTCTGAAGGGTATCTTCTTCAACGGCCTAGCGGGTGTATACCCGAATGTCGTGTAGTCCATGCCCTCACCTGCCCAGGTATCAATGGGCTCAAATTCGAATACAGACAGCATTGTAGCCGCTATATTAAGGATTGCATGGGTAGCAAAATGACGGCCTGGGCATGCATTGTGGCCCATTCCAAAGGGGAAGAACGTGCCATCCAGTCCCTTCAATGAAAATTCTGGGTCTTTTTCAGATTCAGGGAAAGACTTTCCTTCCCTTGCCGCCCTCTCATACGGACAAACAAGGAATCGTTCCGGCCAGAACTCTTCCACAGGATGTTCCTGTGCGCCAGGCCGAGATTCCCAGAGACCCGGGTTGTTGTGGACACCCCATGAGGATGAAAGGATGACGGAACCCTTAGGAAACATATATTCTCCTATTTGGCAGTCTTCACGAACGGTGCGTGCTGTGAAACTGGTCACTTGAGTCCGTAGAACTTCATGATATGTAGACTGAAGAAAAGGGGTCTTTGCTAGAATATGTGTATTGAAACGAGGGAGGATGTCTCCTGGTTGTGAGGGCAGCCTTGCGTTATCAAATGCTTTCATAAAACGTTCCCGTAAGCTAGGAGAGTTTAGAATTCTTTGGACTAGCCAAAAGCCGACAGGAATGAGGTTATCGTTGCATCTAGGCCAAACTTAGTCCTAGAGACCCATTATATATAATCATGAAGGGTTGGGATGGGTTACTTACGCCCAGAGAATACCTAGATCAGCACCTGCACGAGCCTGGTCGTTACAGTATTCGGGGAAACGACTATACATATCATCTCTATCTCGCATAATCTTGAATCCCCAAGTTTCATCCCAAAGCAATGATTCAGGGTAGTCTTTGTCCACTGAGTCTTGGATGGCATTTTTCTTCCACTCTATAAGAGCTTTGATGCATCTATCGCGAGCATTGACACCTTCAGGCCTAAATAATCGAGCAATACCTAGGTTGAGGTAATGAATGTTGAGATCAAAAGTCCAGAATTCGTTGACGAAGTCGGAGTTCATTCCAACGAGACGAGGGCCACAGAGAGCATTCATCATGGCTGTAGAGGTAAGGTTTTGAATAAAATGAAATAAATCAGGTAGTTCGACCCATTGCTCTCCTATCCCATTAGAAAGGATCAACTTCTCCATGAAGTTGGTAAACTGAAGAACAAACATATGTATACCGGATGGAGACGTTAATAGGTTAAATGTCGTTTCATGCTGCATTCTTACGATGCGTCTCTCTGGTGGTAGAGAGCTTCCAGGTAACGGCCGGAGAGCAGACCCAGAGTTGTCATTGCCTAGTACTTGAGCAGCGCTCTTAGGGAGATCAAGAACCTTTAAAGCAAAATCACCCCGCAGAGCACCTTCTGTGAATATGTGAGGCTTGTTGGCAATTTTCTTGACAATTTCGGGTGAATTTATAAGAAACAGGTCGGTTCCACATATGTTAAAATGGATGGGGGTTGTAGTCTTGCGATATGGCCTGTAGTTAATGATTAGCATGTATGAATCTATGGGCGGTCATAATGATTACTCACTCGAACATTGAGTGCAGTTCAGCTCCTCCTCGAAGGAAGGACAGAGAGTGTCCAATGTAAGGCACCTTAGACCAGCCCAATGGAGGTATCTTAATAGAAACCCTTAGTGCAATCCACCTTTGTACGAGGTATAGTAGATAGAGTGGTAGGAGAATGCATAATGCGAACTCTGTCCATCCAAGTCTAGAGAGCATTCTTGTCCAAAGTGTTGAAGGTTCAATATACATGTACCAACTCTAGCCAAGGGAGACAGAGAGTCTAAAAAATGGTAATTAACTTGGGGGTATTCTCTTGAGGACCGGCGTATATGAGTGCTTTAATAAAGCCATTATCTGCGGAAAACAGGCAGTAGAATACCAAGGCTAGGAATACTGTAGGCGAGAAATACTAGACGAGTCAGGGTCAGGGATAATGAGAGAAGTATGCGACTCGGTGCTCTCTGGCTTCTAACTTATTGCAACAGCGACCCAGTCAGCATGTTCATAGAATAGGCACGGAGCTGATACATGACGTTTGTAGACAGTAAGTCCGGGAGAGGCAGGGTAAGGTAGTCAGGGCGATGGCTGTGGGGGCTATAGATGGTCATGGCCCCCTCAGCCTTAGCCATGCAGGTTGCACCCGTCTTCTCAGCCTTGTCACCTGGAGTGTAATAAGCATGGCGATCAGCGGCTCATGGCGGTAGGTTAAATTATAAATATCGAACACTGGACGGGGGCCGAGAGGAGATCAAGACCCTGTATCTCAAACCACAGATCGGACATACAGTCAGCGAGAGATTGTTATCAAAAACTAAAAGTCCAAACTACCACCACAATGCTCGAACCACTTGCTATGATACAGCCAACCAGCAGTCAATGGATGTGCTATCTCCTGGCATACTGCGGCATCCTCGGGCTCGTCCATTATCTGCAGCTGGAGATGGTGAAAGGACAGAAGGAATCAGCAAAGACGAGGGGCGAACAAGTAGTGATCTAAAGTAAGTAATTCTCAACACTCAGCTTTGGCAAGGAAACTGACGATGTCCAAGGGATGCCGCTATTGCTTGCTAACATCGTGTTTCGGTTATTGAGTTCCCGCCTGTGCTGAAGGATTCACCATCCCGGCCTCGCAACGTCATTTGATATCCCCCTGATGCGGGGCAGCACCTCGTGGAAGTCATTGTTGAGCGATGCTGGGCCCCATGTGGGCAGATCCATGAATGTTTCTCTTTTCTTTTTCTTTTGGTTAATGAGCGATGTGATATGATGGAGGCGTATGGAGTTTTTGGGCAACTTGTGCAGTTATATGGAACAACTCGTATGTAGGAGTGGCATTATGTTTCAATCAGCGCCGATGAATGAATTGTGAACATGTATGAAAGCATCTCGACAGACATTGGGGGCGACAGTTAGGCAGGAATAGTTACCTCTCTTCCCATTGGATTGCATAGCGAGACTGCAAGGCTGAGAGATTCGTTAGTTATGGTTTGCCATGCCATGCCATCCAGAGTGACATGGACATGTTTCCCCAATGCAAAACAGAACCTGGGAAGAGCATATAATTGGTGGACTCAGAGAGGTTTCCATCAGCGAGCTTAAGCGCTGCCAGAGAGGTGCAGAAATGCGCAGAGAATAATATATTTCGTTGTTTAACACGGGATAGATTAAACGCATCTTCGTTCCGACATCCATGCAGAGATGCATCTCTTCGCGTTTTGAGCCCATGCTTCATGCCCATGAAGAAGTCAGAGCCCCAATTGCAAGGCTGTGACACCAAAAGAGGTTGCTGCAGGGCAGCTCTCCAGCTCATCGCGCCCGAGTACCCGAGATGGACGGAAGGATGAGACTCAGATCCGGATGACTACTTCTGTTCCGCATGTATATAAGGGCTAGAGAAGAGCCATTGAAGATGCTACGCCGGGCCCTTTTGATAATCCTTGCAAGAAACGATGTCTTGAATCTCCCATCTTCGCCGCCATGGAATCGCGCGATCTCAGTGCTCTGTGGATGCTGCCGGCCGGCCCTCCACCGCCGGGCGTGGAGTCCAACTTCGTGAATCCTCCAAGCCTGGCTATGCCGATAGTCATTGTGAATGCGATCTCGCTAGCTCTGATGATGGTCGCAGTGACGGCCAGGTTCATTGCAAAGAGCCGTTATTCTCAGCAGCGCTGGGACTTGTCTGATGGTGAGCATCATTTTGGCCCCCAAAACTGAATTATCCCTTTGTCATGGTTCGTATCTTGCTGATGTTTTGGATAAGTGTTTTGTGTGTTGGCGACGGTTCGTATACACATAACTACTGTGGCTGATGCACGAAGCCAGCCTTGCGATGCTAATCATTATGATGTAGATGGGTTCAATAGCCCACTCAGCCTTGACCATTCACAGTATATACCTTGTTTCTCCATGGACGTGGCGTAGAGGCTTACCTGTGCATTAGACACCACTGTCAACTATGGGAGGCACATGTGGGATATCCCAGCGTTGAGTCTCACAGTGTCGAGGACCAAAGTGAGCCACTCTCATTTATTTTTGGACATAACCTAGCGGGCTGCCACATACTAACAGGAATAGCAATATGCTGCCGTCGACATCATCTATATCTTGACGAGCTTCTTCATCAAGATATCAATCCTTCTGCTGCTCAACCAGCTTTTTCATGTCATAAGGCAACTCCGCCTGTTGATTTACATCGGCATAGTGATTATATCGATTGTAACCATCCCATATTTGGCAATATCTATCATCCGCGTGTCGAGATGCAACGGTATCAATGCCCTGGGTATTATGATATGCAGCAACAAGGTAGTGAGCACGACAAACCTCGTCTTTGGGTTGTGGAATGTCCTTAGCGATTTCTATATCCTCGCAATTCCTATCAGCCAGATCCAGGGCTTGAAAATGCCAAATAAGAGGAAGATAGGAGTCCTGACCCTCTTCCTTACTGGATTCATGTACGAACTACCGCGTTATTCGACACTGCTAGAGGTGGGCCTATGCTGATCGCGTTTTTAGTGCGTGTTCGATGAGCATAGTCCGACTGGTTATCATTATAGCCAAGTTCAACAAGAAAGACACGATATACACGGGTGCCTCTTTATCGCCGTACAGGTTTGTTCCCATCCATTTCATTTTGGTTGATGCATTATGCATAACAGCTACTGACTGGTCTGTAGCGCTGTTGAGATGAAGTTGGCGATAATCTGCAGCTGCGTCATTTTCTTTCCTGCTTTCTTCCGGCAAAGAAAGACAAAAGGTCTAGCAACGCAAGGAAGCTCGTTCTGAAGCCTGGTAGCTAGATGATATGCTATGATTGTATAGACTTGTAAATAAATTAACAGGGGACACAGAAGAAAGCTGCATCCCTGAGTAACGACTCTCCTATCGTATAGATGATTTTAATATGAACCAAGTTCCGGAACCCCAGGGTAGATCAATCCTTTGCAGTCATAATATTCCACAGCATGGTCCGTATGTTGTGGTTAGTGGAAGCAGGGATCCTGGGTTCTTTGTCCGTTCGTTAGCCAACTATAAATACAGAGCCTGCCCGCCTGTTGTTGGTCAATAGTCTTCAAGACACATCATCACATTACTTCAGGTCTTAAATACCACCGACAAAGTTTATAGAGTTATTATGATGGATCCAGTTCTGGTGATAGGAGGATGTGGCGGGTTGGGCCATACCATCGTTAAACAGCTGCTGGAAAAAGGAGACGCATCAAACGTGACGGTGTTTGACATTGAGATGAAGAGAAACGTCTTGGATGGGGCCAGGTACATCAAGGGAAGCATAGGCAGCAAGGAAGACATCCAGAGAGCCTTGCAACAGGTCAAGCCTCGTACCATCTTCCACTCAGCCTCGCCTCTGCTCATGCAGCAGAAGAATACCCAGCGTCTCTACGAGAAGATAAACGTCGAGGGCAACCGATATCTACTAGATGCCATCCAGGAGGTGCAGTCCGTTAGAGCTTTGGTCTACACATCCAGCTCCTCCGTTATCCACAATGGCTTTTCCGACATCATAGAGGCCACCGAAGACCTACCCAGAGTCTTTTATCCAGAACAGCCAGAGTACTACTCGCACACCAAAGCACTGGCGGAGGAGATGGTAGTTGCAGCCAACAGAACTAATGGTTTGCTGACGGTAATCCTGCGAGGTACAACTCTTTTCGGCGAAGGGGACACTATGACAATTCCTCGCATGGTCGATAACGCAAAGACCGGCCGGAACAAGGTTAGAGTCGGCGACGGGAAGAACCTGTTTGATTTTACGTATCTGGGCAACTGTGCCTACGCCCATGTTCTAGCCGCCAAGGCACTGGTCGAGATTGATCCGGCTGCGCCGCCACCACCGGCCGACAAGCGGGTTGACGGGGAGGTCTTTGTGGTGACCAACGACGAGCATATATCATTCTGGGAGTTTGTCTATGCCGTGGGTGACGCAGCTGGCTATCCCACAAAACGAGAGGAGATCTGGCAGGTCCCAGCTGCCCTCTTCTTTGCCGTTGTCGTCGTGGTCGAGTGGGCTGTCTGGGCCATCAGCCTAGGTAGGAGAGAGTCGAGTCTCAACCGCAAGATGGTTCGCTACCTGTCCATGACGCGAACATTCGACATTTCGAAGATCAAGACCCGGCTGGGCTATCGTCCGCTGGTGGGCATGCAGGAGGCCATGAAGCGGAGTGTTGATGCCTACATGAAGGAGCAGTCCACTCAGTCATGACATCATTTTGTTATCTTCTTCAATTATACGTCTCCCACACCCTTTGTCGCCTGTAGAATGATAATATCAGTACTCTGTCAAGTTTATTCTGTTCAATCGTAGGTTATCGGCCGGTCAATTCGAGGCTGAAATAGTTGTTGTTGTTGACGTCTTGGAAGTCGAAGTTTGGAGTCGAAGTTCTGTCTTTTGCACGTGATGAGGATTTCAATTAGATTACATAAGAATCTTACATAATCACAAGGCTCGAAATTCTTCCGTGAACTTATCAGGTGACCTATCATATCGGCCACGTGACGCCGGCTAACGTCGGTCTGCGAGTCCCGCCTTTCCCAGCGCCGCAGCCGAAACGGGCAAAAAAGCGACTTCTCGACATTTCGACTTCCACGACTTCCACCAGCAACACAACAACACGCATCATCACGCAACGTCTCGAGCTTGCCGCTGCAGACGCCGACCTCACTGCTGGCCGCCAATTGAGCTATACCCAGGCACACGCCCGCCACAGACGCAGCACGGACGGACGGACATTGGACAGATACGCCGTCTAAGCAGAGACCAGATATAGATTCGGCATGGCCTCCCGAACAGCCGTGAGACGGCTCCTGTCAAGAGCACAGCCAGGCAATGCCCGTCTATACTCGTCCCACGCCCCCGGGGCGACAATGAATGTGCCCGTTAACTACGCAGCCACGCCGCTGCTGCACCACGCTCCCTCTTCTCTCTCCTCGAACAAAGAGCTGCCGGCCAACGCTCCCACCAAGCGCCTGAACCTATACCAGTCCATCAACTCGGCTCTGCGGACTGCCCTGGCTGCTGACGAGCGAGTGCTGCTGTTCGGCGAAGATGTTGCCTTTGGTGGTGTCTTCCGCTGCTCGGTCGACCTGCAGACCGAGTTCGGCTCCGAGCGAGTCTTCAACACACCGCTGACAGAGCAAGGAATCGTCGGATTTGGCATTGGAGCCGCCGCTGAAGGGCTCAAGCCTGTAGCCGAGATTCAGTTTGCGGATTACGTCTTCCCGGCCTTTGACCAGATTGTCAACGAGGCGGCCAAGTTCAGGTACCGTGAGGGCAGCACCGGCGGCCACGTTGGCGGGCTTGTCATCCGAATGCCGTGCGGTGGTGTTGGCCACGGTGCTCTGTACCACTCCCAGTCCCCCGAGGCTCTCTTTACCCATGTTCCCGGCATGCGTGTTGTCATTCCCCGTTCCCCGACGCAGGCCAAGGGTCTCCTGCTCAATGCTATCCTGAACTGCAACGACCCGGTCATCTTCATGGAGCCCAAGATTCTGTACCGTGCTGCAGTCGAGCATGTCCCAACTGAGTCGTATACTTTGCCTCTTGACAAGGCGGACGTTATTAAGCAGGGGGCTGATGTTACTGTCATCTCTTACGGCCAGCCACTCTATCTCTGCAGCCAAGCCATTGCTGCCGCTGAAAAGGACTTCAAGGGCGCTACCGTTGAACTCATTGACCTCCGTTGCGTCTACCCCTGGGATCGCGAGACGGTGCTCAACAGCGTGCGCAAGACCGGTCGTGCCATCGTCGTGCACGAGTCCATGATGAACGGAGGTGTCGGTGCCGAGGTAGCTGCCAGTATCCAGGAAGGCGCTTTCTTGAGTCTCGAGGCTCCTGTCAAGCGTGTTACCGGCTGGGATATCCACACAGGACTTATCTACGAACGTTTCAACATGCCAGACGTTACCAGTAAGCCTCTCTATAGTAGCAACGTTGTCTTAGCTACATCATTAACTATACCTTCCATGTAATGCTAACCATTGATTTCTGTAGGAATCTACGACGCCATCAAGGAGGCCCTCCACTACTGATTCTAGCCCTCCAATCACCACTTTCGATTACCTCCATGCCGTTGGCACACTAACTTCGACATCCCTTTGCTTTCCTCCCCCTTTTTCCCCCAGATGGGACCTTCCCCCATATCACGTGATTATTCAAGTCACATGATCATATCAACTCCAGACGTCACTCCATCCCCCTTTTCCTCCTGGATAGTGGATGGCATCTCCTTTCTCCTTGATGTTTGCCCAGTGACATTTCAGAAAGGCCCCTAGCAGTATAGAGTCATCTATCTTCAATGACAAGATGCTTGCCCGAGCGCAGGTGCAGCTGGCAGCATGTTTTATGCCATGCATAGTTCCCATCTTCCATTCCCTCCATTTTTCTGTTTGCTCTAAAAAGAACTTATTTTTGCTTCTTATTACGCACTACACGTTGCAATGTATACATCGTCCAAGAATTGTTGGATATTTGGCTTTGATCTTGCCAGAAGTACAAGATGGCAGATGTATAGACTTTGACCTAGACTATAAGAAATATACGAGCGTTAGATGCTGTCAAAGCTGTTGTTCTCTCTTCCTCACTACAAAGCCATTGTCTAGGTAACTAAGCCTTTGTTTGTTTGGCTAGCGCGTCTTTGTCTCGCTTCACTGTCATCAGCTTTGTGGGGTTTGATATCAACAAACCAAAGCCCCATCAAATATCAAATCAACATCCAGATCAGATCAACAAGATCAGATCAACCAAATCAAATCAACTAGATCAAGTCAGCTAGATCAGATCAACTAGATCAGATCACCGTATCACGTCAAGGAGTATCACCATCGTAGCCTCGTAGCCATGGCATCAGCGTGTCCTGCTGCCAAATCTCACTTGCTGTCCTGTCCTCGCCGCCGTCCTGCGCTAGTAGCCTGTCCTGCTCTCGCTAATCACGCTCTTCAACAGACACAAAGTGAGAGAAGTGAAAGTTCTTTCTTTGTTTCCTGCGTTGCTAGCGCAACAGTCACTGTCCTCGCCAGATCACCAAGCCGGGTATAAATATCTCTCCTCTCTACCTCCCACCCCCCTTTCCTCTCTCCTTTTCTTCTTCTTCTTCTCCGAGCAAGTCTTTTGTCACCTCTCATTACCATCACAGCCACGATCATATCGACCATCTCGAACCACCTCGACGACCTTCACACTCTCACGCCTCCTCCTGTGCTCCTTGAAACGCCCTCAAAAGCTATCAAGTCGTAGCCCCTTTTCTCTCCTCGCTCGGTATCAAACACCTCCCACTTGATATCGAATCAAAACAAAAGACTTCTCCTCCACGAAAGCTCGCTGAAGAGCCTTGCCAACCAAGAGTCGACCCTAGTCGACTCTCTCTTCGCGTTTTCGTGCGCGTCTTCGACTGTTCCCTCTGTCGTCGACCCTCCTTTTCCTCGACTCCTTACTCTCGACAACCAAAACACCACTGCTCCAACTTGAGCAGCTCCCTCACGCGCTTGTATCTTCCTGATATCAAGACGTCGAGGTCGTAGTTCCCTGTTCGACAGTGCCAGAGACTACCGAGTCTTGAGAAGAAAGAAGTTCGATCCCGTTCGTTCTTCTTTTTCGTAGTCCCTCTCTCTCAACGAACGACCCCCTTTTCAGCCATCCAGCCAGTCAATCATCCAACAGCAATGCCATACAAGATGTCTCCCCTGGCCATCTTGTGTGTGCTGGTCACGATGGTAGCGTGGTCCCTGCTCGCTACCATCGTCGAAAGCGTCGAGCTTGCCGCCGACGTTGACAACGACCTCCTGTTCCTGGTCTGGGACAACCCCCTGTTCTCGGGCTCGCTCGTGGACTACGCGACAATCTGCCCAACGGTTTTCAGCGCCCTCGTCCTCGCTGCATACGCCATGTGCAGCGGTTCCAGCACCGTCGACCTGCTTGTGCGTGCCTCCCGTGGTGTCATCCGTGGCATCACGGGCTCGCCATTCTGGCACGCACTCGTCAAGGGAGACCTGCTGGGGTTGGTAGTCCTCGCTCTGGGGACTACCTTCGACATGACGCTGTCGCTGGTCCGTCCTCAATGGGCCGACCGCATATACGCCGATCTTGCCATCCATCAGGATGTGCCAGTCGTCGTCGCGGTTCTCGTGAGTTACCCCCCCTTCTCTGCCTCATTCTTGCATGTTTTGATTTTTGATATCTCGTCCTACCCCTTGCCATTACCATATTGAACAAGCGTTATTCTAATTGGTATATAGCTTCCGTCCGCGCTTATGGTAGGCTGCTTAATTGCAGCTCCATCATTGCTTGCCTACGGGTCCGGAATGCTTGGTGTATTCATGGACAACTCCGGTGCGCAGTCCCCAAGATGCCACAATCTTGAATACCTAGGCGTTCCGGTCCCGTACTCCGGGCAACGCGATGTCGCTTTCCGACGTCTCTTTTGCGAGGGAGAGCTCGCCGGATTCGAACTCGCGGAATGGTGGGAGGAATTTGTAGAGACCCAGCTCTATGTAAGTGGCCCCTGAGCAGCCCCCTGAATACCCAACATAAAAAATATGCAAACCAATGCTAATGGGGTATATAGAACTGGGAGATGTTCCAACTCGTTGCCTTTACCACGGTATTGGCTGTCGTTGCCATCTTTTTCATTGCGGAATGGGCCTTCATCGAAATCCAGCGTGACAGCACCTGTGTCGCCTGGCTCGACACCCTAACCTCCGCCCCAACGACAGACAATGGCGATACCGTTGCCAACGAAGTTGGAACACCCGTCGAATCCCGGCCATCTGGCACCCATCACAGCGCCGACCAGATCACCGTCAGCACGACCAAGGATGCCGCCACCAGCACTGACGCCGACAACAACCTGGCTGTGATGGACCAGATGGCGTCCCGTATCAGGGACCTCGAGCGTGTCAACAGCACTTCAACCACGACTGTCACTCGCCTCCAGGCTGAGACCTACGACTTGGCCTACGAACTGATGACCAAGAACCAGTCTCTGTTGACCACGCAAGAGGAATGTGCCAACCTTGAGTCACTCCTGGCCCAGCAAAGAGAGCTGCAAAACACCAATGAGGCCAGGATGACGAACCTGCAGCGGCAAATAGCAGCTCTCGTATCATCCAACAACGCTCTACAGGAGCAGGTTGCTGCACAGTCCCTGCAACTTCAAAAACAAGCGGCCCAACAGCTTGTTGCGGCAACCATTGTCACGCCGGTCGAAGCACCGGTTGTCACCACTCCCGTCCAGGAGTTGGAGGCACCAGTCGCCGAGGCTTCCGTGATGATGGTCGATTCCCGGCCACAGCCAACCGAGTACCACCACCACCACTACCACCATGAGGCCCTGCGTTCCGACAAACACCTGGCGGCGCTGCTCAGACGCCAACTCCAGCAAGCACGCCGCCAGAGACGCAACCTCATCGCCGGGAACTCGAAATGCCGCGAGCAGCTGTCCGCTAAGGAACGCGCCACGGACGATGCGGCCATGGCTCTGGAGGCCGAGCAGAAAGCTGTCAGCCAACTGAAGGAGCGCAACGAGGCCCAACTTCGAACGATTGCCGCTCTGGAAATGGAAAACAACGAGCGGGATGCCGAAGTCGCTGACTTCGAGAAACAGCACGATGCATACGTGGCTGACCTCAAGCAGCGACTTGCGGACCAGACCGCCGTTGTTGAAAGTTTCTGGGGCAAGGCGCGGGAGAAGGACGGCCAAATTGCCGCACTGGAGGAAAAGCTGCGCAGCCAAAGCGAAGCCATCCAGGACAAGGACTCTAAAGTCGACGTGACAGAGTCCATGTATCAAGCGTTCCTTGAAGAACGGGACGAGATATCGAGAGAGGATAAGAAGATCCAAAGACAGAGAACTTATCAGAAAAAGGATAGAAATCAGAGGCTCAGGAAGAGCAGGACCCCTCTCTCTCTCAGAGCTCGAGCAGAGCAAACAGAAGCTCGAGCAGACCACAAAGGACTACAATGTCCAGAGAGCGCAGGTTCTCAAAAATGCCAACACCATTGAGAAACTGCGCCGCCGGGTTCAGCAAGAGGGACAAGCAACCCAAGGAGGCCAGCCAGTCCCTCGAGGAGCACCACAGCCAACTAACGAGGAGCCGCGCGAGAAGCCGGCTGCCTCTGGTGCTTCTCAACCTCCTCCAGCCTCTTCCTGAACCCGGCGGAGTCCTCAACCCCCAGAGCCCCGGTAAAGAGACAGCCAACGACAATTGATCACGGACACCGCCATCGCCTTCCCCTTGACCACTTTTTTTTGCTCTTGCCACTGCCACTGTCGACGGCCACCAGACAATCACCGCCTCCAGCTACCAGCAGGGTCTCCTTCTGCTTTGCCCGAGTCTTCGGACTCTGGGTGATGAGAAGTTGTTCCCCTTTCCCCTGGAGAAGCAGAGCAAAGGCGACATCGACAATTTTGGCGACCCCGATCAATGCTCTTTATCGGTCTCGTGTTGGCTTGTTAATTTTACATCACCGGATGTACCAGCACGAGATCTGGACCTTATCCTCCTTCTTGATATCAGGAACTTACATAATAGTGGAGAAGTTGCAGCAAGATATACCACAAATACATGCATGGCTGTGACGAAGCCAATGTATGGATATCCTTCTGTGGTATAAAGGCAAGTGACTCTCCTTTCGAAAGTATCACCAGCGTACAGACGCACACTTCGCCTTCAGCAACAACTGCACTTTGGCAACTCAGGTCAACCTGTTTTCCAGTCGAGTCGATTCACCCATACAGCTTCGCATGTAGATGCAAGCTGCGATACCCAGCATTCGACTCGCGCGCCTACACACTGGAGATAGAAAGACCCTCGTCGCTGAGCAGCGCCTTCGATCGATACAAAGTCTTTGGTCCACCTTCATATACATACGCATCGCCGCCAGTTTACCTAGCCTCACATTTACCTAGCGATGATGACTAAGACCAAGGCGCTGCTCGCCGAGATACCCCGGGACAAGGAAAGAATCAAGAGCACACACCTCCATAAAAGAATGACTCGACAGATCTTCGCCTGCAGCCAGCATATTAACCAGCCAGGTCGACAGATAGATCCGGGCTCTTTGATTTCCTACCTTGTCCCGTCGGGTTGCCACTGTAAGTTCCTCCGGGACATTCGACGGGAACCACCAGGGAGAGATGACGGGCACACGGACAGACAAACAGCATGGACAGCGGCACGAGATGTGAGAGATCCTGTGCCGCCAACGCGACCCCTTCCAGCACAGCGTCATTGGCGTCGATATTCAACATATCAACATCGACTTTTGCCTGCAAAAGTTGACCTGACGTCCACTTTAGCTTCGACGCTGACTCAGCCACTGCCAACTATGACTAAGCACTTCTGCCTGCATCGCGATCTTCGATCTGATGCAAGAAAAGCAAAGAAAAGAAAAAAAAAAAACGAAGACGCAGCAGAAGAAAAGCAAGCAAACAAGCAGAAGCAGGACGAAACGCGAAGTCCAGCCAAGTCCGCCCGTCGCTCTTCCCTGGCCGCATCAATCTAACTTATTTAACCCTGGACTGCACCAAGCGGACGCCCTCTCAAGCATCAGCTCTTCCTCCATCCCCATCAGAATCTTGAAGACAGCTCGCTCCGACCTCACCCATTTGATGTCTTGTTGAGAAGAGGACGCCCTTGACAGTCTCAGTTGATATTTAAACTACCCTGCATTCGGCTATCCGCATTGCAGGCATTGTACGAACCCTCGCCTACCGTGGATATCACCACATACAGACAGACAGACACAGACAGCTATTTCGATTGGCCTGACCACTTTAAATGACTCTGACTCGTGGTGGTGGTGGATTACCCGCTGGTCTTGCCTTGACCAAGCTCGTCTTATGCTCGCTGTCTCGATTACCTCTCCTCTATGCCGCACCGCTGACAACCTCGGCCGTTGAGAAACTCGCTCATGTTCCAAAGCCTCCAGATGAGTTCAGTTTATGGCTCTACCTCAGCATTGCTGCGGCGCTCGTCCTCAGCGGCGGCGCCTTCGCCGGACTTACTATCGCGCTGATGGGCCAGGTTAGTATTTACTCTATCAACAGCCCGAGAGGAACAGTTTATCTTTGTGGTTGACACTCGGTGCTAACTGTCGTACTTATTCAAGGATGAAATCTATCTCCAAGTTATCCAGACGTCTGGCGAAGGAGCAGAGAGAAAACAAGCCGCAAAGGTCCTTGACCTGTTGAAAAAGGGAAAACATTGGGTGCTTGTCACACTTTTACTGAGTAACGTCGTCGTGAATGAAACACTTCCCATCGTCTTGGATCGGTCTCTCGGCGGTGGTTGGCCTGCTGTCGTCGGCAGTACCGCATTGATTGGTAGGTGTCCTTTGTGTCCCTTGTGTTCTTGTGTGACTGCTGCAATGCAGCCAATACAGAATTTTCTGACGCCAGACCTGCAGTCATCTTCGGAGAAGTTGTACCCCAGTCAATCTGTGTGCGCTATGGGCTGCCGATTGGAGCATGGATGGCATCCGCTGTCCTTTGCCTGATGTACATCACCTCTCCCCTCTCGTATCCTATCGCAAAGCTTCTCGACAGACTCCTCGGCGAAGATCATGGGACTTTTTATAAAAAAGCTGGGTTAAAAACCCTCGTTACGCTACACAAGAATCTCGGCACAGCTGGCGACCAGCTGAACTCGGATGAGGTTACCATTATCAGTGCCGTTCTGGACCTGAAGGAAAAGTCCGTTGGCAGCATCATGATCCCAATGGAAGACGTTTTTATCATGTCGGCTGACACTGTTCTCGACGAAAAAATGATGGACCTTATCCTCTCCCAAGGATACTCCCGCATCCCGATCCACGCTCCAGATAATCCCCAAAACTTTGTTGGCATGCTTCTGGTCAAGATGCTGATCACATATGATCCCGAAGATTGCAAAAGAGTCCGAGACTTTGCCCTTGCCACCCTTCCAGAGACCAGAGCAGAAACAAGCTGTCTTGACATTGTTAACTTTTTCCAAGAAGGCAAAGCTCATATGGTCCTGGTCTCCGATTATCCGGGTGAAGATCATGGCTCTCTCGGGGTTGTTACACTCGAAGATGTTATTGAGGAGCTCATTGGTGAAGAAATCATCGACGAATCTGATGTCTTTATCGACGTCCACAAAGCAATTCGCCGCATGGCTCCAGCACCCAAATTCAACTTTCCAAAGGGACATTTTGTCGAAGTACCTCCCTCTGCTCACGATATCGGAATAGACACCCTTACTACCACCCGTACTACTGACAGCGAACAGCAAAATGAACATACTCAAGTATCAAAAAACGCTACTCATGTCGGCTCTCCTCCTCCACCCACATTTTACTTACGGCAAACACCCGTCGTCGACAAACCTGATGGTTCTAGCAAACCAATCATCCATAGAGGCGCCACGGCAGAGATTAAAGAGCAACTAAAACATCTCGGACCATCAAACCTAGCAAGCCGTCCTCGCCAAACCCGTTACAATGCGGTCAAAATAAAACGAGGTGGAATCTCACCTTCGAGGTCTTCTCAAGCCTTGAGTGCCCGCGACTCCTATGATTACCATCCACACTCAGATGTCCAACCATCCGAATCAGACAGTCTCTTGGTAAAATCTACAAGTGAACGCGCAGTTAACCCCAGAGAGCCGACATCATATGGTACTACTACAGACCAATCTAACCATCCACTTTATCTACCTCATTCCACCACGGAACCAAATATCAAACAAGGCGATACATCAGTCCCTCGCACATCATCACCGTCTCAAACACAGAACACAAAAAATACAATTACCGACTCACTGCCCACAATGCATGGTCCCTCTCCGTCATCCCAAAACGGAACCCGTTCACCGAGCGCCAACTCAGACACACCATCTTCATCTACAATATTCCACCCTCGCGGTCCTACAAGAAGTGGCAGCATAACCGAACAAGTCGTTGACATCCACGGCATCCGCAAAGTCGTCTTACAAACAAGCGACCGCAACTTCTCAGAGTGCGACAGCAATCAAAGCGTTCGTCCCTCATCTTCCTCTCAAACAAGTGATACCAAGGAATCTGCCGATCTGGAACATACCACCAGCGAGCAATCGACTCATCAATCCAATGGATTAAATAGTGCTTCTGGCAAAAAGAAGCGAAGACGCAAAAGAAAACCTACCGGATTATCAAAGTATGACGATCAGAATGACGAATCGCAACACCTTCTACGTTAACGAGACATAATTCCGTTTCCAAGTTTTTATTCATGTTACCATTTCTTGTTTTATTTATGTGGTTTGAAAGGGCTTTTTTTTTCTCTTGCTAATGGCTGGGTTTACTAAGTTTCTTGTTTTTCTTTGCAGGATGAATACATCCGTTTGAAGCATGCCGTCGTCTGTATATCAGTCGCCCTGTTCCTCATGTTAAATATCCACAAAGCGCCCGTTTTTGAGGGCTTAATTATGCTAATTTGCTTCTAATCAATCCTGCCCTCCTATCACTTCTGTTCACCATGTTTTCGAAAGTTAGGGACGATGCATTTATAGAATTGCCAATATATTTATCCTCTCGGGGCATTTCAGCTTCTAACACTTATAACCTCCTAGTAGCTATATTCTAAATCTACGAACTAAACTTATCTACAAAGAGAATTCTAGCTGCACACGTCTAGTAATAATATCTATAGAAAAAAAAAATGGACGCTTCCCGCCGCAGCAAAGTGTACGTTATCCCCGTCTATACCAGCCAGCAATTTATTCAGCAGTGGGAATAGGCTGCTTCTGCATGATCTCCATAGCTCGCACCTTCTCCCCAGTGGTGCGATCTGCTGCCAAAGCTTCTGCCGCCTGAGTCTCCCAACCGGCGATAGCCTGGAGGAAAAACTCCTTCTGCATTTCACGAGATGGAGGTTCAGCTACTGTCTTCCCTCTTCTCTTCCTTGAATCAGCGGTCTCTCTAATACTTGCATTGTCACCGTCAATCTTGTTGCCATACAAGTCGTCGGTGTCCGCGGAATCGGTAAAGTGAAAAGTGCGGAACTCAGTGTTGGCCCAACCAGTGCCTGGCCATTTGGGCGAAGGACGACCATTAGCATAATTATTCGGGCTTGGTTGCTTTTTGGTGACTTTATTTGCACATTTTAACAAAAGACGGAATTCAGAGTTATGCCAATTGAAGAGGAAGATATGTGGGAAGGGTATGAAGCGTGAGCTTTACGTACCTTGATAAAGAGTACTATCCTGCCAATCTTCACTGATATAGTGTAGGACACCTCCATGAGAAACCACAGCAATGTGCTTCTCTGGCCGGGCTTTCAGCCATTGTCTGGCCTCACGAGCACGTATTGTAACAGACTTAGCATTCGCTGACCACCTCTCTAATGTCTATAGTGACTCATTAGCTTTGACGCTCTTTGCCCGATACCAGATTAGAATATCCTCGTACCTTATCATTCCAATCTTCTGGGACCAAGGATAGGTCGACAGGCAGTCCTTTCTCTTCTATCTCCTTCTTTAGATCGGCAAGGTCGCTTCCAGTATCACAAGGAACGTCACTCGTTTCCTGTATTTCAGGCAGTGCAATGACTGTAAGCCCCTTTTCTTGGATGATATTTGCAAAAGAATGCAGGGCTGTATAAATTGTTCGGCGAAGAGGCGAGGCGACTATTAATTCAACATCTGCGTGATAGGGAAAGTTTGCCCGGAGAGCACGGCATTGCTCTTCGCCGAACGGGGTGAGCAAGGGGTCCTGCAGGACATGGTTTTCCACACTGAGGTTATGAAAACCCTAGTTCAACGAATTTAGAATGGAATATATACTCAAAGAGGAGTTATTTCTACTAACCTGCGCATGGCGGACACAATGAAGGACTGGAGGCATCTTATTAGCCCAGTATCTTAGCGGGGTTGTCAGAGTGGCTGTTGCGTCTTTCTGGGAAACGACTAAAACAGATACAAAAGAACAGAATAAATGGTTCTGGATAATGCAAGGCTGACGGATATCAAAGTGAAATAACGAAGCAACGACGTCTCTCTATCAAACACCCCGTCGATACGAAAAGTGACTCGAATGTAATTTGGACTTTTATGCCGCAGTCGCCACACCTTCCCTTTCGGCTTCGGTTATATCGGCGGTAGCCCCGGGGGATAATTTTGCCGTCGGGATAGTTGCTATTAATGGGAGAATGGTATTAGTCATCGTCGACAAAGCTTCCTGCCCTGGCGACGGCAGGGTCAGGAACAAACCGCGAAGCCGAAATCCTGGGATATAAAAAGCATAAAATAAGAACAAAAAGCATAAAGTGATGGTCGCTGGCTCGCGTTAAAAGATGCGCGAAGTCCGCGAGGGTAGAATGTTTGTCCCACTCTATAACTAATGGTTACTGCTTAGATAAACCATCAAAAGTAACGTTTCACTTGCTTGTTCCCCGAAAATTATCAAACTGAAGAATTGATGAGCAGCTCTCCCACCACTTTGACCAACCCATAAGTCTAAAAAACCAAGAGGCCATCTATAACAAACAGCGAGAGGAATGCAAAAGGCAAATAGGTCATAAGGGCATCACAGAAGGCGAATAAACAAGGCTATAAACAAGAAAACGTGGAGAAGAATACTCCGAAAAATGCAAAAAGAGCAGGAAAAACCACTGTCACATTCCTAACGTATGTGTGAATCACGCAACTCCAAACCCCCTGGCATTATTCAATGCTCTTTCTAGTTTTTCTTCGAGTACTGTCGCAGAAGTATACTCAGGCAGTAGAAGCCGGCCGAAGCAAGTTAAGCTAGTTGGTAGCCGCTATCAGCAAAGTTAGCATATCAGGTCTTTTTTTGGATAGTTCTGTTAATAGGAAGGATGGAACATACGCTATCGCCCACGCCATTGCGTTGAATGACAAATAAGATGCTGCCTATTCCATTAACTGGCACTCGGTCACTGGCAGTAACGAATTCCAAAAGTCGGCGCCGCTTTTCAAGGGGGTATCGTAAGACGACGCGCCAAAACCCTTTGACTATTGGGTGGTTTCCATCCCATCCACCTTCATAGCGAGCATGCCTTTGCAGTTCTGCCAGGTCAATCTCCTGGATACCTTCGAGAACCGTTTTCAATGCCTCAGGATTGAAGATGGACAAAGCAGTGCGATCCAGGCAGGTAAAAAAGCCACGCTGGAATGCCTCATACTGTGGGCGAACGGACTTGTCAGTCAACCAAAAAATGTAGTCTTTCACAAATTGTCTACGATTGGCGTTCGTCACGGTGGAGGCCTCTGGTTGTGGCTCTGTGGATACTTGGTGTCGTGGCAGCCTTGAGGGAGCGCCCTTTAAGATACCAATGACATGTGTATCTCGAGGGTGTTGCCGCGAATCAGTAGAGTACTCCTTCAACATAGACACACTGTTACTCCAATCGGGACCATTTTGGTGGCTAAGTCTCCTGGTAGCAACCCGCTGGTCATTTAACTTTTGTTTAGTCTTTTCCCACTGGGCATATCTCTCCGGAGCTGGCCAGGGTTCATTTTTATCGGTTCTCTCCATGTCAACAGTGACAACAGTTCCAAATGCGTTGAAACTAAACTCATATGTCCGCATAAAGATATCTCCCACGTCGCCGTCTTCCCAGGTCAATAATTCATCCAGGCCCTTGGCAAGCTCAGGCCAGCCAACTCGAATATGATCTGTGGTTTTCACCTTGAGTCCGAGAAGTCTTCGATATAACGCAATTGGGAAGTCCACCGGCAAAGTCACGCCATTGTAGATAGCAAGGGATACCAGAAGACCCAAAAGTTCGAACTTGTAGAGAGGCTCGAAGGAACAAGGTTGGAAGTAGTATGTGCCACTCCGACTATCAATCGTGAACATCCCAAATGCCGGGTTCATGGCTTCTAACATCGCAATTCTAAAAAACTCTTGTTGAACACCACCCTGGTCCACGCCTTCTTCACCATCATCCATCCCCATGCGAACTTTCAATGGCCGTAGGAGCTCCCGCCTTTCTCGCCTCCATAGTTGGTTAAGAGCATCTTCCAAGGCATGGTCTCGCCGAACGCTGATGACAAAAAACATGGTGAGCCCTGTCCTTAGCCTGGCAAGCAGGCCAAGATTATCATCCACAGAGATTGTGCCAGAAAATGCCATAGAAGTGACATGCTTCGAGGCAATAACCGCATTCTCAAATGACTTGGACATGGTTGCATGGTTTATTGCTCGAAAGTATGTTACCAAAGCTGACGGGGGGAATATGAAAGAACAAGAAAGCAAATGCATTGTTCGATTGTTGTAAAGCAGGTCTACCCACTCGGTAGGCATGTCAATTGGATCTAGCCGGTCCGCAAAAAAAGGTGTATGGAAGTCCTCTGGCAACAACCCCAGTTTGGTCCGGTCCCTGTATAGGAAGCTTAGGAGCTGTAAGGCACCTCCGGCTGCACTGGCTTTTGACAGCTCTGGCTTGCCGTCCCATTCTTTCAGGAGAACACTCCTCAACCACTCTACCACTACCATGGGCGTGGTAGTCTTTCTGTCCCCGGGTAGTGATATCTTGTTACTACTACCACTCGATCCAGGATTATGAAACTGCCGGAGCATGAGAATAATTTGCTCTATGAGCTCACATTTATCATTACTCGTGAAGTCGGTGATATGAGACGCCTTTGTTTTGAAGACCTCATGGAAGGCAAGCCGGGTCGAAATAACGCGTGCTAACCTATTGAGCAATCGTAGGGCTAGGTCATGTTCGAATCTGTCGGATGTTTCAATTATAGTTTGCGTTTGAAGCTTGGAAAACGTTCGCATCATGCTGTCTGGCATTACTGACCCAGATGCTCTCATATGACGGATAGCTTCCCATGTTCGTCTGTCTGTATGAGGAATGGTGCTTGATAAGGCCAGCAGCGCGACAACGGTAATGGAAGCAGCATCGGAATCTGTAATGTAATCATTTGGGCCCAGATGTTCAAATCTGGGGGATGTAGGGGTAGTTAAACTGGATGATTTGGAGTGGCGGCGTTGCATCCTAGTGAGAGAAAGTTCTGCGGGAGGGTTAAAGAGCTTTTCCATGCTGAGCCACAGACTATGAAGGGTCGTTTCCCAAGGACATATACGGTGCAGTTTCCTAAATGTGCCATCTAGCGAGTCAATGTCCAATCGTGAAGACGTAGGCCGGCTGTCAGAGCTACTTCGAAAGGAAAGCAGTAATTGTTGTGGGTTTCCTAGTACGTAGAACACGCTTTGTGCAATGAAAGGAAATGCTAATCTTTGCTGATGAGTAGCATATTTCCATTCCCATGGCTCAGAGTATCCCATTGACTCCAGTTGAGATATTTCAGATTTCCACGCTTGCTTATCGTCCTCTGTCTCGATCATGATTTTCTCTAATGAATCGACAATTTCTTCTGAGAGATGGGAAAGACTCTGTACCGGGGGTGCCTCGTCCGACTCCTCCGTTCTCGATTCGGGAGCTAAGCCTTGCCGGTCAAGAGGAAAGAATGCATCTATTGTAGGCTCTGTGGGCGAGTCACCATTGGACTCGGGTTTAGGCCATCTAACTGTACTTTGATCGCCCCATGAAACGTGCGCATTGCTTTTGGATGTGCCATCGGCAATGCGGCGATGTTTCTGGGATCTGTGTCGTAAAGCTGGTGGGGATGGGAGAGATTGTGAGGTATTAGCGGCTGCCGTGGGTGTACTGTTGACTGATGCATTCTTGGATCGCTTTCGTTGACCTTTCGAGCGTTCGTCGGTTATAGAAGAGCGTTGGGATTGCTTCCGTGATTCCAAAGGTTCGAGTGATAGGCGCTTCACGGGATGGCCTGGGACTTTGACCTCAAGCGTTGAAGAAGTATGATTTACCGAAGGAGTTGATTGATTAGATGACGAAATAAACTTCGAGCCTGAGCTTCCTGTGTCAGCCGGTGCGGTGCTATGCGAGGGACGCTTGTTGCTTGGGGATTGGTTCTCGAGCAATGAAGAAGTTGGAGCAGAGCTCGTCTCATCCGCCGGTTTAGCTCCGTAGAATGTTGTTCGCTTAAGCGGTAGCCATTCCACCATTCGTAACGACAGGGTGTCAAAGAGATTCTGGGTAAAAGACTTTGGATCTTTTCTTGTTTTCGAGCTGCTTTCTAGGACTGCCGGCGCTGTATCTAGCGTCGTCGGAGGTGAACCGGAAGGCACCCTTGGCCTATTCCCAAGGGTGCTGTTGCTTCTTTGATGCGATTGTGAGCGAGCGGATTCCGCGTTAATGTAGGAACTGGATTGTCGGGTTTTGCGTTCCACGTCCGGGGCAAGTGAGGTCGATACCGCTGCTGATGGATAGTGGCAGAGGCCCGACTCCGCGTCATCCTGGCTTGCTAAATAGCATGCAACTGTTCTAGCACTGAGGTCTGTAAACCTGCGCAGCGGGGCTTTGGTGTTTCGACGGCGAAAGCTAAGACACGTAGGGGTCATGCAATTTGGTTCCTGGCAACCATAGAGCAGCTGCGCTTTGTACCTGTGATTTTTTCAGGCCAAGAGTTAACAATGAGCTCTTATTTAGATACGGAAATCCGACTAAGAAGTAAGATCGCAGGAATTGGGGGGGGTTCCTCACCTCTTCACGAGATGGTTAAAGGTCCGCTGCCGCTCTTCTTTGGCCCAAGACAGCACCCTTGAAGGGTCCGAGACGTTCACTGTATGCCTCGAGATCACCTCCGGCGCTCCGGAAGGGAGTCTGGCATGGTGGTAAGCCGTCCTCTCTGCTGCGCAGTTCCCATGCGCCGCCCCTTGCAGCCTCGTCATCTTGTCTGCACAATAGTTATGACATGTCCAGGTCCGTCCGTTCCGTCGCAGCGTCTCTTATAGTAAGCTATTTGCACTGCCTTAGCATCCTTCCGCGGCTGGTGTCCCGTTCATATATTGTTCGTTGTCGTCCGGCTTTTTGCTGCTTGATGGTTGTTGTTGTTGCTTTTTCTTGACGTCGAAGGTCGAAATTAAGACAGCCCTTACAAACCCCAAAAGGGGAAAGTGATCGGCACAACGTCATACTTTTTTGGCTTTCTGTTTTTTTCGCCTCACAATAAAAAAAAGGTCGCTTGATAAGCAAAGCGACGCCAGGAGACGCGAATTTGATATCAACCGCAACTCCGAGACTATCGAGGAGGAAGCCTTGTGGAACAGAACGGAATACAAGCTATATAAAAGGACTTTCAGTTGCTGTCTTTGTTAGCCCTGACACTCCGTTGCCCACACGATTTTTCGTCGACGTTTTGGACCAGCCCTCACACCCCGCCATAATATATACAGCCGAAGAATAGCAAAGACTACTCCAAAGATATTTACTTCAGTCCTGCGGCAATATGGAGACCCATCCATACACATGCAACACCTGTCAGGTGGCCTTTCGCAGTAGCGAAGCGCAGAGAGGGCATATGCGAAGTGACTGGCAGTAAGTGCTAGCAATTTAGTGTCTACAGTCTCTGATAAAGGCTAACCCAGGGTGTTTCTACAGTCGATACAATTTGAAGCGTCGTGTTGCTACACTGCCACCCATATCATCCGAGGTCTTTACCGACAAGGTGCTGAACGCCCAGGCATCCAACTCCGCTGCTGCCGCCAAAGCCATATATGAAAAGTCCTGTGCTGCATGTCAGAAGACATACTATAGCGAAAATGCATTCCAAAACCACTTAGGGAGTCAGAAACACAGGCAGCGAGAGGCCATGCTGCGTAGAGAGGGTGGAAAGGACGAGACGGCGTCGGTGATGAGCGGTACTTTCTCCATGGGAGATCCGATTAACGAACGCAGCGAAGCTGGTGAGGGTGACGTTGAACCCGGAGAACAAGAGTTCTCCGAAATTATCAGTGGGATCAAGGGTACGAAGATTGATGCCCATGATCCACTACCTATCCGTCCGCGCCGTCCCAGCCACACCACAGAGACGGAGCCGGCAAGTGCCGAACGGATCGAGAAAGATGGAGAAAAAAAAGAGTTATCGCTTGCCCAGTGTTTCTTCTGCAACTACAAGTCGCCTAATGTCAAACTCAATGTTCTGCATATGGGAAAGTTCCATGGCATGTTCATTCCTGAACAAGAGTATCTCACTGACGGTGAAGGTCTTCTTGAATACCTACAAACAAAGATCTACAAGAACAGTGAGTGCCTTTACTGCCATAAGTTAAAGGCGACGCCAGAGGCTGTGCAGACACACATGAGAGATAAGGGCCATTGCATGATTGCCTTTGAAACAGAGGATGAACAGATTGAGATTGGCCAGTTCTACGACTTTACAAGCACCTATTCAGATGACGAAGAGGTAGAGGGAGAGGAGGGGGATGAGGAGGGAAAGGAAACACAGGATGATGGCTGGGAGACAGATACCTCAGTTTCATCACTCGACTCGGCTGAGATTGGTGCTGAGCCCATTGATGATCGATCACATCAGTACTCTAAACTCTCACGGCATTCCCATCACTCAAACACTGATCCTCGCAAGCATCGTAATATAGACGGCTTCCATTCACATGCACATTCGCACGGCCATGCTGCGTTTGTGCATGATGGTGAACTTCACCTACCAACTGGGCGCACTGCAGGCCACCGGTCCAATGCCAAATACTTCCGCCAGAACTTGCACAACTATCCTACCCCGGAAGAACGCTTGACCAGACAGCGTATGATTGAAGAAGCCGGCCCTAATGCTGATGAAGAGGACGATGAACAGGCTAATAATGCCAACAAGAACCGTGCTCTGATCTCTAGGGCTAACGGAGGTTTGGGCATGATTGGTGCTTCGGAGAGCCAGAAGAAGGAAGTCCGTGGAGCCGAGGTGAGAGAACGTCGACGAGCCGATCGATCTCGACGACAGTACGAATGGAAAATCAATAAGGGAGCGAACAGTCAGAAACATTTCAGGGTATGTCACCTTTTAAATTCGATGCTGGCTTGTCATACTAAGATTCCTTGTAGGATCACCTTCTCCAATGATCATCTCTGTTACGAATATCTTATACAATTCATGTTATGGGTTCTTCGGCTTTACTAAAATAGACTCAGCCTATGATATGCGAAAATAATGACAATGACTAGTTTTATTGACGCTTCCCTTCATCATAAAACCGCCCCGTAGCTTATTCCAACTCCGTCACCTCCTACAATTGCTTTCTCTGCTAACCCTATCCCTGCGCGAAAGTCACGTAACGCTTCCATACGCCGGCCCCAATACCAATATCCAAGCTGCCTCGTCACCATTATATAAAATTGCGTGGCTCGCGTGGCTTAAAATAGAAATCAGGGCGCCAAGATGGATGGGGCTGGCTGACAAAGCCGCATGACGCAGGCTGAGACGAAGCTTACAGGCCGCAGCAACTTGTGGTAGATACAGAGCCAGATGAGCAGCAAGATATGCCTCTAATGGGTATATATACGTTATTTGCGCTATTGAGAATATTACTGGAGACAGCCACCTTTATCTATTTGCCAAAAAATTGCCATAGACTGCTAAGCGCTACTATCCCTAAGCGTGGTTGGTCTAAACGTGACTGCCAGGATGCTTGATGAGAACCTCCCTAGTAAGCAAAATTCACAGTTTATCAACCTGGTTACCCCTACGCTGGTATTGTTTATCTAATGCTGACTTGTTCTAGCATTTTTCGTGAAGCCATCATCGGAAAATCCCAAGTCATACTCGACTCTGTTCGTTGCTCAACATGGAAAAGAGCCACAGCCAGCGTACACCGTCCGACACCTGGACCCTGAACTACAGACATCCCGAAATCGTTATGCTGTTGCACTATACGATGCTTTCTGTCCCGATGCACTGTACGGAGAGGTCTTGATAGTACCCAAGTGGACTTATCCTACATTTTCCCAGGAGGCTATCCGGGCAAATGGAGGGGTACAACCACCACCAGAGCCTATCATACCCACTGAGTTCATTATCCAATTATATAACCCCGAGCAACAAGTTCTAGTCCGCCATAAGCCCAAGACATGGAATACACCAGCCACATGGGCCTTTGAGATGCCACAGAAGACGTTTCGAGAACCATCTAAGTCACAACTTGACAAGACTCTTACTACACCCGCAACATCAGACGCTACCTCTCGATTAAGATTCAACTGGCGAAAGGACGGCAGGATGGGCTCAAAAGACCTTGGATGTTACTTGTCTGGCAAAGTTGTCGGGCCTAGTGAAAACTCAAAGAAGAACCGTGAGCCGGATATCACAGTTGCCATCTTTAGTGCATTAAAGGAGATCACCCTCTACGAGCCCAACTTCTCCCGGATTGAGATGGAGGATTACAAGGGCCTGGAGATTGTTCTCATGCTGGGAGCCATGGTTATTCGGGATGTATTCTTCACCCCGATGAAGGAAGCTTTTAATATAGTTAATCCATCTTCAAATCCAACAAGCCCAATTGACAAGCAGTCAAGCACCCTAGTACCTTCAAGACCTTTAAACGGCTCAGCAAACCATCCTCCAGTTTCTGGTCCTCCACCAAGGTCTCAACCGCCCGCAAAACCACTTCCTCAACAATCACAGCAACGACCCGCCCAACCTCCTCGTCAGAACATCCCACCTGCAGACCCCCGCACGCAATGGGAGCTAGACGCTGAAGCTAATGCATTAAAACAGCAATCTGAAGCAGAGAAACGAGCACGGCTCAAGAGGGAGAAGGAGGCTGAAAAACAAACTAAAAAGCTTCTTGAAGCTGAAGAGAAGGAGGCTAGAAAACGTCAAGCACAAGTTGACAAGGAGACTGAGCGACTGCGGAAAATCTATGGCAAGGAAGAAAGTAAGGTGCTGAAACTGCAGCAGAAGCAGCAAGCCAACCCTAGGCCACCACAGCCCCCTCGCCAGACCCAAAATCACCCAGTACCACCACACCCGCGAGTGCAGTTTGCTCCACCCAGACCACAATCTGTAGCTGGGGGCCTGATACCACCACCTCAGCAACAGCAACCACAATTAAAGGAGAAACGGAGTATATTTAGCTTCCGGAAGAAAGAGAGTGGAGCTCCTCCTAATACCCTTGCGAAGAAACGGAGTTCTATGTTTTGAAATTAGAGCATTTACATGGGGAAATATGGAGCAGCATTTATTGTTTATATACTCATTACATTTAGATACCCAACCAGGAATTACTTTACTTATTATATGTGTCCTAAAATATTTCCGCCAGCTACTCTTGTTTACTTTCCTGCAGAATCTCCATGAAGCGATGTCCGGCTTGTACTTCAACAGGCCTTACCTCATTGGGGGCAGAATATGCAGTTTCATTGCCCGAAGAACCAGCTATATGATCCGCATCGGGAGGTAACATTGGAACCAGTTTCACACATTGTTCAGCAGCCTCCTGTTTTCTGCCCCAAAAGCAAACATTGCGCATGAGGGAAACCATCTCTTTTCCCTGGCGAGCTAGCACAGTATTACCATTTATTGATCCTATGTCCCGCAGAGATCCGCGGAACCGAGTGGTTGCACGTGGTTTGCTCTTTGATTGGGAATTTTGACCCATTTCCCGGCCATTGGAATAACCGTCCAGCTTCAAAGCTTCCATCTGGGTATTGATGCTGCCATCCAAACTCGTAGCCTTATCCTGATTTTCCAACTCTTCTGCATACAGGTCTTCATCACGGACAAATATCTGGACATCCGGAAGCACAGTCTCTTCCCGTTTAACCCATCGGTTCTGCGCTTCATAAGCTTCCAGCCCATAATCCAGACCCGAAGGCGGCCAGCGCGATAACACTTTTCGTTTACGTACGGGTTTGATCAATGATGTGAGAGATGGTCCACTGTCTGACATATTTTCGCTGCCGTCTGTACTTGGTGAGTTTGCTGACGGTGACGAAGAAAGTAAATCCGTCATGTATAACGCGTCAGCTTCGGTCTTGGGCTGTCGTTTTAGAACTGGTGTGGGATACCCCGGCCCCGTCAGATAAGTCGGAAACGTCAAAGGTATATATTTTCCTGAAGTTCGGAGGAATAGGGTCGGAGATGCGAAAGAATCAAAGTACTTCTCCGGGGTAGCGAAGAGTCGGCGCCTTGCATCAAGTAGAGGTACAAGGTCCGCTGGTGTTGGTAGAGGCTCCTTTTTCTTCCGGCCGCGTTTCCGTGACAATTCTTTATCTTGTTCTGTCTCCGGCTTCTCAGTATCAGGAGCTGCTTTTTCGATATCTGTAATGCAGTAATCATCTAAGCCAACCCAATCGCATATCGGCTCTTCTGCTGCAACACCCTTGAGTCCTCGAGATTCAGTTAGCGCCAACATAAGGGCCAACGAGCCACCGATATATCTCCCAAAAACAAAGACATTATCCGGCTGAAACTCATTCTTTGCCCAGTCAAGTCCAGCCAACGTATCGTGTACCGGCGTAGGATACCTATAGGTCTTTCGGATTCCGGCCGCTTGTATTCTTCCAAGGCGGTATTTCACCACCACAGTAGTACATAGAGTAGTTACCGCCAGATTCTCTTCTGGTAAAAATGTGAAATTGTTCTGCTTTGCAGCAGAGGAACAGTTTGATGTGCTCGTTGTACCCGTAGAACCATGGCCTTTGGTGTATTGTGACCGGTCAAAAAGGGGGCCGGGAGGGAGGTAGAGTATGAGATTCGAGCTATTGGACTTGGTTTCCTTCTTAGGAGACAGGACGCTGTGTAAATGCGTTAGCTGGGCTATCTTTAGTTCATTTAACAGTCGACGAGGACGCGGTACGCACGTTAATGTGATGTTCCCATTACTACCCACGGGAACCTGTACAGCATTTTCGCGAAGGAACGGAACAGCCGCGCTGGAGAGACAACGGCCTATTGTCCGGCCTAAATAGGCATACCTCTTGTAGCTGAATGAAGAAGTAGAGGTAGTGGAGATTGATAGGCGCATCGCTCCATGATGTGATGGAGTCACGAATTGTTCAATTAACTACCAAGCTAGGTAGTTAGGCGACCGTTGAATACGGCGTTGTTAGTTGAGTTCGATCTTGTTTTGCTAGTCAACGTCAAGGCTTCAGCCGCCAAGACAACATTAAATATCAAGGAGACGATTTACTCTGTTTATTATTTCTATTATTTACAACAGCAATACTTCGTCTGGAATCTAGAATGTTAAGCATCTTGCAGATGGGACATATTGTTCCCTCCTTGTTAAGAATATAGACGGAGGTACGGTAGGAGCAAGGACAAAGGAGGATTAGACGTGGAACAGCAAGGGGAGGTAAATCAATGAGAGTTCGTAAATCATTGGTAGACAGGAGTTCGGCCGCGACTTGAGTATGCAGAGCTGCATGCCTGGAAGTATGGGTGGATACATGCTTGTTTGGCTGATATGCGGCGTGCGGGATCGTACTCAAGCATAGCATCTAGCAGCGCGAGGCCGTTCTCCTCCAAACCAGGCACTAACTTGCGAATATCTTCTCGTTTCCACTTTGGGAATGATGTCTTAAAGTCAGGGAACGATGTTACGCCTGGCCAGATCCGTTCATCAGGAGTACCACGTAGCCTATATAGAATATTAGTTAAGAGTCGAATTAGTAGATTTCATAGGCAAGTATGCTAAGCGTACTTAAATATCTTGAATATCTCATCAATTTCCGAATCACCTGGGAAAAGGGGTCGTCGAGTACACATCTCAGCGAAAATTGCACCGATAGACCACATATCGACACCTGTAGAATACTGACGGCCACCCAGAAGAATTTCAGGGGCACGGTACCACAGGGTGACAACCTATTCCGTCAATCCTTAGTAGATAAGCCAAGAAAATAGTTGAGGAAATTCCTAGAGACTCACCTCATGTGTGTATGTTCTTAAAGGAACACCAAAAGCCCTGGCAAGGCCAAAATCTGCAATTTTAAGGTTACCATCCCGGTCAATAAGCAAGTTCTGAGGTTTGAGATCTCGATGGAGCACGCGATGGGTGTGGCAGTATCGGACGCCTTCCACAAGCTGGGCCATGAACTTCTTCACCATAGCTTCGCCGAGACCCAGCCTGCTCATCTCGTGGGATCCATCTGGCAGGGCTTTGCCACGGCCACCCTCGCTCACCGGAAGAGCTTCCATATATTTCTTCAGATCCAGGTCGAGGAACTCGAAAACAAGATAGAGCTTATGTCCGTCTGCATGGACAATATTAAATAATCGGACAATGTTTGGGTCGTGCATCTCCTTAAGTAAGGATATCTCTCTAATTGCTGTGCTAGGAACACCTTCATCTTCTGCCTCGAGTCGAATCTTCTTTAGGGCAACGATCCGACCATGGTTAGACAGATCTCGAGCTTTGTAAACAACACCGTATGTCCCTATATAAAACGGGTCAATGAACATATCCCTCTAGTATTAGATATAGCAGCAGATATACCCTCTCCAATCTTCTCTATCTTCTGGTAGTTCTCCATCTTCCTTCAACAGATCAACACAAGCACGGAGGCCGGCGATCAGTATAACTGGAATATCTATTCGACCGCACACGGCTAACAACTGGCTCACAACTGGCAGCAAGCAGATCAATGACGCGGGTTTCGTATATCTCTTGATGAATATCGAGGGGTTGTGGCGCTGCGGGAGCTGGGATAAACGTAGTGCAGGTTCAAGCTCTCTCGAGACACAGCGGGGAATTTGATCTCACTTCACAACGCCATTTATTCTGGTCTAGTCTCTTCCTCTCGCTCGTCTTCTGCTATCTTCTTGTCTGTCTTTTGTCCTTTTGTGGCGGTTGGAATGTCCTGCTTTCGCGTGTTTTCCTTCTGCTTTTCTTGTTGATTTTCTTTTTTTTTATATCTTCGGCGGGAGAAAATAAACAAATAAAAGGGACGCGAGTTTCAGCCAATGGAAAAATAAGTGGTAAATCATTATCCAATAATAAATTAGCAATTTTTCACCCAATAGTAAATTTTTCATTGGAACTTTAGTCATTATTTCTTAGTCATTCATGAGTCATCGTTGCTTAGTAAGTTAAAGAAATTACACATGATTTAATTATTTCATAATCATGTCTTCAACGAGCACAAAAGAAAAAAGAAAAAAAGATCAAAACGTCAGGAAGACCAAAAAGACACACAACGAAGAAGACGACAAGGACAGAGAATAAGAGGAGGAGGAGGAAGTATTGATGCAGTGGTAGCACTGGGAATGGGGGCCATTTGGGGTTTAGATGCCCACGAACACCCTCCGGCCAGGCTGCGGCAGCAGTACAAGGCTTATCGTGCATTGAAGGTCCCTGATATCGACTCGCACCCCGCGATCATTGATCTGCGGCGAGATGGACACAGCGACAGCCTTCCTGATGGCATATCGCTAGACAGATGGCTTGCTCAAGGGCCCCTGGAAGCTGCATTTGGCCAGTTCATGGGAGGATGTGACGTCCGATGCGTTCCCCAGCCAGCGGTTGAGCCGCTACCTGTCTATACACATCGGGACATCCCTGGTAAGTCAGCAACTAGAAACAAGGCAAATCCAAAGCGGACGAGCGAGGGCTAACACGTCTATGGGGCAGGCCTCGAGATTATCCCTTCGATTCTTCCGCCGAGGGTCCAGGTTGAGCTGCTGTCAAGGCTACTACATCGTGATCTATCAGACCAGCGGCACCAGACCAACCTCCACCTACACTATAACGTCACCTACCCAGACGCCTCATGCTTGCCCGGGACTAGACAGGCTGGTGACAAGCCGTCCTTTTTTGAGGATTCGCTGAGCCGCTTCATCTCGCCCAAAGATAGCTCCGTGCACGCCCCTCTCACCATTCAGGCGATACTGAACCGCAAACTCCGGTGGATGACGCTTGGCGGCCAGTACGACTGGACCAAGAAGTGCTATCCTGCCAGCCCGCCTCCGCCATTTCCCTTGGACATATCTCATCTTCTTCAGGGTATCTTTCCAGCTACTCAGCCTGAGGCGGCAATCGTCAATATTTACTCGCCGGGAGACACGCTACACATCCACAGGGATGTCAGTGAAGAGTGTGATACTGGCTTGATAAGCATCAGTTTTGGCTGTGACGGACTCTTCATGGTCAGCCATGCAGATAATTCGGACTTGGCCGTTATCAGACTTCGCTCAGGTGATGCAGTCTACATGGACGGCGCATCCAGGGTGTCTTGGCATGGTGTTCCTAGAATCCTACCAGATACCTGTCCAAGCTGGCTGCAGGACTGGCCTGGCGATGCAAGCAAAAAGGGCGGTGGCAGGTTCCAGCAGTGGAACGGCTGGATGGCTGCCAAACGAGTCAACTTGAACGTGAGACAGATGAAGCCGTCGGGACCAATCGGTTGAACTCGAATCATTACGTCACAGGGCGGGCAGCCGCCCACATGGGACGTGATTCCTGATGGCTGGGACAAGCGTGAAGCCCGAGATCCTTGGTGAATCGGGGTTATGAGTCGCCGTGTATAAGGTATCAGACCTCTTCTCCCCATTTTCTGGCCCCTTTTCTGGGAATAATACGACGTCGGCTGGCCTCCACATCCGCCGTAAACTGCATGTACCTTAAAGGGTATCTGTTCAGCTGCGCTCAATATAGGAGAGCAAGGCAGTGGGGGTTTCCGTGGGGTATCAAAGGCGCTCTGTACCGTTCGTATACATCTAGCATCCGAATCTGGCCAACAAGTCCCAACCAAGCACCGTTTTAATCTCCAGCCCTAGGCGGTGCAACACGGCAAGACGCACAGCGCGAATCGAGGATTCTGTGCCAACGATAGCGACAATCGAGGCTGTATTTCACATCCGCAAGAGATCCAGTCCGTTCCTCGTACAGCACTATATGCTCCTCGTGTAACCCGTCACAAGTACCTGGTCAGGGCATCCGGCGCATCGAAACTCGGGCATATGTGCATATCTGCCCTCTTGAGATCGGACCTCCCATAGCCCTCAATGGCTGAAATTAGACCCACGGAAGGGTGAAAAAGAAAAGAAACAATAAAGCAACAAAGCAGCAAAAAAAGTATGAAGAAAGAAAGCCAGGGAGATGAAAACCCCACGATCGAACCGAACGGGGACGCCGACGATATCGTTGAAGATAGGCCAGGTTCTCGTCTGGTTTCCCCCCTGTCCTCGCTCTTTAGTCACAAAGTCAAGGCGCCCTTCCACCACGCTATTAAACATAGTATCCCCAGACGGATGGCGCTCTAATTGCTCAACACATTTCATGATTGCGATGGTTCATATCTTCTGTTCTTTCTTTTCGGCAACGGGCGGTCGACGCATGGGGGGAGGCGGAAGGAGATTGAGAGAAGCAGGGAGATGACGGGAAATCCCGAGCAGAGTGCCGCCACCAAGTCTCGTCAGCCAGCAGCGCCAGACAGTCCACTGCGATGATATGAGTTCGAAATTGAGAAGATCGCGACGCGCTCAGGCACGAACTCGGTTGATATGCATTGTTTCCCATGCATGCCCAGCCCCTAAAGAAGCCTACCCGCAAGTACAGCGTATGGCAGTGTTTGAGCGGTGCGGAAAGAGTCTTTCCACTGGTGGAGATGCATCGACGTACATCGAACGGGAGGCCTGCCTGTCCGGATGCATGTATGGATGGACATATGTATGTACCTCGCGGGAAGGGAAGGGAAAAGATATGTCCGTCTGCATGCACTCTCGCTCACGGCACCCATCGCAGCAGCGCATCGCATCGCATCGCCGTTCCTTGGCCAGGGTCCCCCCGGCTTCACACATCTCGGACCCGTCAGTTCTGCATGGAACGCATTATGGACTTGCTCTATCACATCCAGCTGCGGACTCCATCGAGGCCAAACGGTCGACCACGACAGCCCTTCTTTCAGGCGCTTCTTCCATCCATCAGAACCCACCGCCTTCAAATTCTCTCTGCGCTCTGTTGGCCGCCGCTCATTGCTTCTTCCCTGCATCGTGTCTGGCAGGCCCTCCTGAGCTACCGTCTCACCCGCGGGACTCCTTCCATGCAATTCCGATTTGTTGACCTGCTCGGCGAACGAAGAAGAAGAAGCAAAGAGAGCAGAGCAACAGGTTCTTCTATTTCATATTGGCCTGAAGTACTTGAGTGCTTGCATATATACGCTTATTTGCTTCTTCGCAACGACCGCAGAAGCAAGCATCCATCGCCTTTCCCTCGCCTGTATATTTATTTTTCTACTTTTGTCACTATTGCTAATCCATATAATTCTTTTGGCTCTGTATTTTTGGTCCTCTTCATAATTTTCTAGGGCCCGATAGTAAGATATTCCGCTCTTCCTCCACTGCTAGCTTGCAGTCAGCTTGCCTTTTTAGCCCAGATTCTTCGGCTTTTACCGCTGGCGCTGCGCATCCTCGCTGCCCATTTTTATTATTTGGCAGCAGCAAACATTGCTTGACGGCGACATCAGGGCCTGATGCCTTTCTTTACTCTGAATTATCCCGGGCGGGTTTATGTTTTTTTATGCTTTTTCAGCCTTTTTATTCCTGTCTGCTAGCTTCATTGCTTGCTTTTTTCTGGTGGTGATAAATCGGGTTGTTATATACGCATGCGATAGCCTTGCATGCGCCCACGGCAAAACCTGTCGCGCGGCTTTGTTGCTGGCAGGTAAGCAATCTCACATCGCCTCTACGGGCAGAGGAGGCATCGAGCAAGCCCTGGGGATACTGGAGGATATGTAGCTAACAGCTGTGCGTTAGGTGAAAGCTCTCTTATTCACCCGAATTGCCGAGAAAGTTGCGCCAGCTCTCGCTTTTTTTCATCTTCTTCCACCATCGACTGTCGCTTCCCGTCCGCCGTATTTTTTTTACCCTCCCCCCTTATCTTAGTTAGCTGTCTGTTCGCCTTACCTCGATGAGCGAGGCGATTTAGAGCTATGGAAGAGACGTCTCCCGCGCGGGCGGAAGAGGTGAGGGACTCCAATGCCTCCAAGGACGAGCGAGAAACCTCTACAGCACCCAAGGCCCTGGCCGTCAAGAACAAGCAGTGTCCGTACTGCAACCAGACCTTTACTTCGTCCTCCCTCGGCCGCCATCTGGACCAGTACCTTTACAAGAAGAAGCCGGATGGGGTGCACAATGTGGAAGAAATCAGACAGCTTCGCAGCAGTATCACTCGGCGGACGGCGCGCGGTGGGACAAAGCAGAACAGCCCGGAGGTCTCGTCTGCATCAGGGCCTGCCTCTGGGCCCGCGGCTGCAATCGGTGCGGCCTCTGCTGCTACAGGTCCAGATCCGCACTCTGTCGCTCCGTTGCAGCTCAACTCAAGTGGTGCAGGCAAGTCATATCGACTTCTAATCAACCAGCCAACATGGCATGCTACCGGCGTCATCAACGATATTCCCAATTCCTCGCCGGTTTCACAATTGAGGATCCCTTCTACTTCACTAGAGAGATCGAATCGGCTGAGTAGCTCCAACTCAACCGAGACTACAAGAGCTCTGGAGCTTGCATTGAGGGAGGTCCTAGATAGTGTGAAAGCAGCAGCGTAAGTTCACCACACCAATCGATCCTATTGTTCCTACATCCAGCTGAAACTGTTTCTGAACCGGTTTCACAGCAGCAACTATACTCAGTCCATCTCTCCGTTCGACTTTGATCTCCAATCGCAAACGTTTCCTGCCCTGTGCCTCCAGGCATTACCGCACCCTCCGAGCCTCTTTTCTACCCACCCATTCCCATCGCCCAACTCATTTCCCATTGACCCTCCGAGCGTGAACCAGCGGGAGATAGTACAGCAAGCATTGCGCGCCCAGGTTCACCAATGGAAATACGACCAGCTCACAGCGGCTAACTCTGCGTCGTCCTCGTCGTCACACCAAAGCCAGCCATCAAGCCATGATGCAAGTATGATCGAAAAGGTAGCCTATCAGCATGAGGAGATGATCCCCCGGCATCTGGAGCTATCCTTACAGAATTGGATGGAGCTTTCACCTGCGGCCCAACGGGAGTTGTGGCATCTTGAGATAGTACGGGCTTTTGCACGAGAAGCCGAGAAACGGAAGAAGATCGAGGCTCAGCTACTCCGCACACAGCAGGAAGCCAATCAGTTGCGTGCACAGGTCGAGAAGCTTGCATCTTGCCAATGGCCAAGAGAATTTGCTATTTTCCCGCCGAACCTCCTGCCCATATCCCCTGATATTGCCAGGGAACTTGACAGGCATGATAGCCGGATACACTCGCCTGAGTCGTCGAAATGGGACTACGACAACCTTGTAGCTAAATGGCAGCGTGTTGTAATGCACGATAGATCCATGGGGAGAAGCGGTGTGGGTGGTCTGGATAACACTAACACTGAAGTATCGGCCCTGCCTAGTATACCTCGCCAGCCCTATTCATCACGAGTTGCCTCTCCCCTTCAAAGAAGCAACCAACTCCCACCTCCAATTCCAACATCACCAAAACACCAGCCGCCATTCCAACGACATCCCCATCCTCCACCGTCCCCTGCCAGACAATCCCCCCGGAACGAAGATAGAGAGCCCAACGAACCAGCTGAATATTTCCGTCCACCCAAACGCCCACGACCGCATGAGGATCAGCACCCTAATAAGTTTTCCAGCCCAGGTAGCTCATCTCCCAGATATTCTTGGAATCATCCACCGGCCCTTGAACCATACTCTACCCCGCAGAATCGGTCTAATTCAGTTTTGTCTCCGACCCTTCCTCGCGGACCCGTATTCCCTGTCAGTTCTGGAACCCCAGCTACTCCCCCGGCACCAGGAAGCGCCGCCAGGCAGTCTGGCAGCCAAGCTAGTAGTGAAGGCGTAGCTCCTCCACACAGACTGTCAAACGCCTCCGGCCCCACGGATGGGAGCGGCTCCGATAGGGTCGAAGCATCCCCTAAAACAAAGATACAGTATACCCCCAAAGAACAAGACTCGCGAGAGACACATTAATCCGCATTTCCTTTTTTATCAGAGCCTGCTTATATTATTGTGAACGGTAGAAGCCATGGACTAAATAAACATGTATTAGAAACGGCCGACTTGTGAAATTCCTCTTCTCATTGTGTTAACTTTTTTTTTCCTTTTTTTTTTTTTTTTTTTTTTTTTTTTTTAAAAAAAAAACTCGCTGATGTATATAATTAATGCGAGAAGAAGTAATACACAAAACCCACAGCGTGGGCATTTAATAAAATCCTCAGTCGCTTGACGGGATTTAATTTCATTAGATCAACGAAAACACAAACAAGGTGAAAATGCCTTGAATTTTCTTCCCACGTGACAAAACACCCAATTCTAGGCCGATAATTTCTGCTAATGATAAAAGCCTCCCTTTAACCTCCCTTTAACGCCTGGAATTTGCACTCATGCATAAGAGAGTCGTGATCCCATAGATGCATCAACGTGATATATCGTATTTCCCTCCTCGTTAGATTTCGTAGTTTTATCAAGTGACCTTTCCATCCTTTGGTTCATGGGAAGTAGTCGGTGTTATTGCTCTTCATCTACTTCTCTTGCTCTTGCGAACCAACCCAGGCGGCTGTTGATGTAGAAGATTACAATTCCGACTGCGGCAAGGAGGACGAACAGTACAATGAGAATAATGGCGATTGTGACATTTCGTTGAACCATTTTTGTGTGTTTGCCGGGGGGCTAGGCTCAATGAAGCCAGTGAGCAGTCGTTCGATAGTCGTTCGATGGACGTCGGTTCGTAGGAGGAATAGAGAGATGCCTTTGTATCCGTGTCTTGGTAAATATGAAGGCAGGATGCGTTATAAGTGGTGCTCAGTAGTGTAGGATGATATATAAAGAAGCAAATAAATAGCGGTATATATCTATCTAAGTCAGAGCTACCCAAGGTGTACAGTTGGAAAACAGCGGGGGGAACTCACCAGGTATACTATGGCAGCGTGCTCGGGATAAACAATAGGTATATGTAGAAGGGAAAGTTGGAGGTCGACATGGAAGAAGAAGAAAGAGGGAAAGAGAGTAGAACAAATGTACGAGTACAACGGCAATATATGAGGGAAACCCTGCGGCTGTCTCCCCTGCCACCTCCCCAGCCCCCCTGTTTAAGTAACCATTCAGACAAAACAAAACGCTTCTTCTCCCGTCATCGCGAGATCTCTCGATGTTGTTTTTTCTCGGTGGCTGGGAACCGTTTTGCTGAGTAATCATCACGTGACTTACAGTTTTTGTCCCTTTTTAGCTTAGCGTGTCCCAGCCATTCTTATTTTGTTGAAGCTTAAATTTAAACTTTTAAACTCGCGCTCAGACGTTTTTTCCCGTTTGAAGCCGCAAAGTAAACACGGCGATGTTGGATGTTATTTAGCACGACACAGTCCATGTTCTCAAGATATTATTCATGCAAGAGGCCTTTTCACGGTGCTATTGACACGGTATATACCCTGATACTCTGCCCTTTCTATAACCACGGAGTGCAGATAAATATGCAGGAGTTGACTAGAAACTCGGCGTACATTGACAAGGACATGATGACCTAGACAACAGCCCCATTCTAGACGCGTAGGGATATATCTGCCATTGTTCAAGTAAACATCCGGCTGCTACAGAGTGAAAAGCTGCTCATAGTATTCATAAACGGGGCTTTCTGGATGCTATGGGCTGGTAGACGCTTATTCGGATACATGGAGGTCTGTCGATCACTTACGCAATACCCAGCCCCTGCTGAATAGCCAGCCACGCATAACTCGCCATTGCGGTGAAAAGGGAAAATACCCATCCTAGGCCTGTCCATCCAACCATCCTATTCAACAAAATGAAGCGTTTCGCGTATAGAATTGCCTCCCGGTCGCGTTGTTCCATGGTCATCTCTCCCCGCCAGACCTTGTCCATTTGCACAGCATGGCGAGCAGCCTGTTCCGATGCCATCCCCAAATGAGACCTGAAGCCAGTGAAGGCATCGCCTACAAGGACAACGCGCCCATCGTAGAAGCTGGGCGTAAAACATTGCGCTTCGCCCACTTTCGTTACGAACGGCCTAGGTGTTTTGCTCACCACCTCAGCGAGTGGAGCCGTCATTTGTGGGAGGTATCGCGCCACCTGAGAGGCCCAGACACCAGGGTTGACAAGCCCCTGAGGAACCGTGTTGGGGTGTACCTTGCCGTGTATGTCGGTAAATATGGTGTCCATCTCGGGCGATTCGTCAGGAAGAATATAATACCACACCCAGTTGATCAGACGTTTGCCGGGTTCGACATGTCCGGTCTCCGTTGGGATAAAGTAACTAAACCCATGTCAGCGGGCATCCACAAATGTCTAAACGATTGACTCGCCTTATGAAATAAGTGCCATTCATAACGGTGAAGTTTAGTCGATTCGAAAAGTATTCAATTGTCTGCTCGGACAGCAAGCTTTCTGGCACTGTACCGCGCCATCCAATATACCCTGCATATTCCTTGCGTGTCGGTACCTGTAATATTTTCCTGATCGTGGAGTGCACTCCATCTGCTGCAATGATGGTGTCTGCGCTCACAGTTCCCTCCTCACCGGTTGTTACATCCACATACTGGAGGTGCACCTTACCCGCGTCGCGATCATACTTCAGTCCCGTCGCACGCTTTCCAGGCCAATACTCCACGTCCCCGTCTCCCTTGCGTGGCTGTGGCGGGTTTGGAACTGTCTCGGATTTCAAGCCGTCGAAGTTCGCTCTCAGAATCAGGTATAGACATCCCCAGTTGCTCATGCTGTGTGCCCAGTGAGTATTCACTACCCTGAGCCATTTGTGCCATGCAGCACTCAAGTACTTTGCCGGAATTGCTGCTGGTCGCCCTGTTGCATCGTATTTATCCAACAAGTGTACCACAGTTCGTCCGATCGATACCCCGGATTCATGACTGTGGCGGTCTTTCGAGGGGTCTTGCTCGAGCACGATGACATTACTACCGCTGCGTTTGAGCTGTAGTCCCTGTAGCAACCCTGCAACTGAACCTCCAACCTATGTCAGTTATTTCTCATTAGCACATCGGAATATATACCTAATAAAGGGCTTTTACATACAATTACCACGGATTGGGGCGGCATCATATATCTACCTCGTTAAAAAAAAACCCCCAGCGGTGAGGCGGCCAGAGAAAACTGACAATTTCATATATAAGCTGCACTCGTTTTCTAACTGCTCTTCACCTCGATTCCCATCATGCTGGTGCTGGGTCGAGTGTTTACATATAGAGCATCGGACACTTCCCATTTGAGCTGTCATGAATCCGAACCCGGAGTCGGAGAAAAACCAAATCGATTAATAAGGTATACCCAATAGAAGCTCCGAATTGCTGGTATTTCTTCCGAATCGTACGACATGTCGCAGCATAGCATCAGCATGTATCATCTCAGATGTTAGGATTGCTACTGGGCCCTCACCGTGGTGGCCTGGGGAACCTGCCCTGTGTACCAGTTGATGGTGAATTTATGGAGTGACGGCATAGATAAATTTCTGGTTTATGCACTATTACTCGATCTTCTTCGATAAACTAGCTGCTTATTTGCATGTCTAGCATCCATTGACTTAGGTTATTCTACTGTTGATCAAATGGTGGGTTCTGTATAAAATATATTCACATCTATGTGCTGAGTATGTGGTCATATACAATCATAGAAAAGCTATAGCTAATCTGAGGTGAGTCTATTGAAATGGCATAACTAATATCTCCTGATAAGTGGTCCGCTGACCAACCTTTAGTTGCCTATATCTCCAATAACCCTTTCAAAACATCGTAGACCTCATCTACTTTCTCTCGCAGCTCTCTCGCCTGCTCCCTTACCACCTTGTGCAGGCGGCTATTCGTCAGCCCGACCAGCAAGCCATCCTCGAGTACCATCATCTCGTCCCCTTGATCGGGCGATGTGGATATTCCTCCGCCAATATTGGTATCTACTTGAACATCGGGTATCACTCTCACGTCTGGCGGCAAACCTAACCTCCCTTCAGCACCCTCAAGGGATGCTAACAACATTGATACTGCTTTCTTCACCCGAGTGGCCGATTCCTTTCCCGCACACGCGCAGATTGGTTGAATCTGACCTAGGCGAAGGCCGCGGTAAGCGTGCATATCCGTCAAGGAGGAGACAGAGTGCCCCATCCCGTCATTCTGGAAGTTCGCCTCTTGAAGCTGGCAGAGTCGCCCATGGAGGTATCCGAATACGGATATAAGGATACGAGTTAGGGTCATATAACAGGACAATGTGAGTAATTTTGTAGGCATGTCAAGATGCGACGTTTCTCCTATCGAATTAACAGGGTTATGTTCGGATAGCACTGTGAAGAACCGCTGGGAGAGGAAGAGGGCGTCACCAATAGGATAGTTGTCCAGATCACCTCCTGGTAACTTCGGTAGCTGGCTCTCATAATGCGACATCTTCGCCAGAAGCGCAGTCAGGTCAACCAGAGGGCCTGGCTTCTCGGCCATCAGCATATCCATTTCCATTTCCAGGCCGACCGGTGTGTGATACGGTAAAGGGGGCAAAAAATCCTGAACATCCAGATGCGCATTGGCGTCAAAGCTATAGTCGGATATCATTTCTGGAGAGCCGGTGAACTCATCTGCATCGAAGATGAACTCCGCAGGCTGCAGTATTGGGTTGTTGTTGCTGTTGACATCCCAAAATTCTACAGGCGTGCCTAGGGGTTCCTTTGCTGCGCTTGTTGGTGGCAATATAATGTCTTCACATCCAAGGTCCATTCCGTCCAACTGCCTCTTACTGCGAGATGGTTTTGCTGGAACACGATGCGCCTCATTCATCTTTTTCTGCTTCCCGACCGCTGCGCATTCTGACGGTGGTGGAGTGGACAACGCAAACGCACTCATCCCGGGCAGCCCAGGAGACTTTTCCTTCTCTCTGCGGGTGGCAGCCTGGCGGGACTCTACGGTCCCAGCTTTCACGGACCGTCCCGTCCGCAGACGCTGGCTAAATATGCATGATTTCGGCGACTTTGCTCTTAAACATCTTTGGCATGGCGCTGTGGCGTCCGAGGTCGATGACGGCACGCATCGCAGCTTTTGGGCCCGGCATCGATCGCATGATGCTCGCAGCGGCGGCGTGATGTTAGTGGTGCTCATGGCGGAACAGGGGCTTTCCAGAGGTCGGGGTGATCGGCGTGCGGCTTCTTGGTATGAAAACGCTTAACAAGCTGGAAGGCAAGGAGATGGCTGACTAGTTCGTTGAATACGGAGAACACTTCTTTCTTTTTTCCTCCCTCGCGATGCTACGGCTCAAGCTCAGCTATTCCACGGCTGATCGTCAAACTGATATGTTGATATGTACTTAGTTATGGTTGTGGAGATGCGTAGTTATGTCTCGCGAAGATCGTTTTTTGGGGATGCTGTGCACAATTCCAATCTCCTGAGCAGTGGGAGTAGTCCGACTGATATAGCGGAAGCTGCATCCCAACTTGCAGCCTGACTCGAGCTGGAGCTCTTCACCTGGACTGGGTGAAAGAAAGCTTACGGCGAGCAATAACTTCCCAGCCTATTAATAGGGCCAGGAAAGACAGCAACACGGCCAATCGACTAATTCCATGCACATAGGCACTCGCAATCCTCATGCCTTAGCCTTCAGCTAGATGCATACGAAGCGAGACTGATGTTTTACCAGGCTACGATGGACAAGGCTTGGGATCTCGGTGGTTGTTACATTGCATGGCTTCCTCGTGTCTGAACTCACACATGCCATGGTTCTGCGTAGAGATCTCTACTTACGGAAATGGTGTCGCTCCTGAAGGATCTACTAGCCTATGGAAATCCGGCACAGCACTCTCCTGAGGCCATCCCTGGCCGGACCAGAGCGGCTCAAGGGTTATATCCCTTCTCCATTCCCTCCACTTCCGTGCAGATATGTATGGTGCTGCGTGGTATTCAGGAGTTAGCTGGCGGAGCTATGGTGTTGACATCTGCCTGCGTCCGGACGGTGGATTCCACAACGCACTCGTATATCCGCCTCGTGAACTCATGCAGGGTAATGACGAGAAATGGCCAACAATTACATTTTTTATGTGATCAAAATCATTGGAAGATCTCATCTATGGGCTCCTCGAATTTGCACGTACTTCAGGCACATGGCGATTCGGGTATCACAGCGTGGTAGGAGCCGAGTGATAACCATAGCACAGGCTAATGCCGTACCTCCCCAGTCTAAAAATGGATATTCCTATTTGACTATCTTATGCATTCTGGTAACAACAGAGGGCGCGGGAAGAGGAGCAAGGATGCAACTAAGTCGTTAGAGCTACCTAATTTAACCTATAATAACGCCATTCTAGATGCCCACTCCCATGAGTTACCAGTCTCGGGCAAAGTTTAAGCAATAATTACAATTTAACAACATTTTTAGCACGGAGCCATTCACCGTATTTGTAGAAAAGGATCGGAGCCGGGACAAAAGCAAGGGCAAGAAAGCCAAGTAGTGTGTTACCCCAGCCGTAGTGCAAAGTCTTATACATCTTAGGCCCGGCTAGTGGCAAAAACGTACTTGACAGATAACGCATCAGGTTATTAGCTCCCAGAGCTGAAGCGGCAGCCTGAGAGCCAAATAAGTCGACTAGGTATAGCTGGGCAGGCATCTGGTGGGATTTGTTAGTGTTGATAACGACCAGGAGGGATTGATGGCAGAAGTGAAACTCACGAGAACGAAGAAGGCTCCAAACCCCATCACCATAGTGCCGATGATGGGAACAATCCAATGAACTCTATAATGGACTGTCCAGCCGTAGATGAACAGGCCTACACCAACCAAGGGACTGAAGAAGATCATAAGAACGAGACGATATTCAGGCCGGGGTTGTGTAGCACCATCTGCCTTTAGGCACGCAGCTTGCACTCGCTCATTGAGAGCGCCAAAGAGAAGCATACAGATAACCAGAGCGACTCCGAGTCCAAGATAGACTAAGCCAGAGGTGGATGTTGTGAAACCATACTCGCCTTCAAAGACGTCGGTGAAGGTGGTGAAGAGCAGGTACATGAGGCCAAAAACAAGAGCCACATAGAGAGAGATAATCAGTAAAATTGGCGAGCGAATCAGAAGCCTGGTGGGCCGAATAAGAGCGGCAGCAAGGAGCTGGCGTGGTGACTGGGAACGGGCAAGCTTTGATCGAAGATGTAGGTTGCCTGTAGACTTGCGAAGACGAGTGGCTTTGCGTTCGAGAATGATTCCGGGGTGTGTCTCACGAAGAATGACGAATCCAGTAATCGTGGCGGCAGCCCCTATGATCGCCAGAATCCAAAAGATCCAGCGCCAGCCTTTGCCAGCGGCGATAAAGCCACCGATAACAGGTCCCAGAACCTTTAGTCACATGGGGCCAGTAGTTAGTATTTGCTTTTTGCTAAACGGGTGGTGACCGAGGGATGGACGGAAGGGCGGCTTACTGGTCCAGTCAGCGGCCCAAGACTGAACAAGGCCATGGCAACTGCTCTGCGTTGGATAGGAGTTACATCCGCGATGCTGCCCCCACCGAGGGCCATGGGGGTACCTCCCGCACATCCGGAGAGGAAACGAAAAGCGAGAAACTGGCCAATATTCTTGCTCAACGCATTGCCAACGACAAATGCGACAAAAACTACATTAGAGATATGGTAGACGGGCAAGCGGCCGTACACTTCACTCAACGGGGAGATGAACATGGGGCCTACTGAGAGGCCGAGAAGGTAGAGTGTTACCGCAAAGGTGCTGACCACGAATGAGCGGATATTGAACTCGGCAACAAGTAGATTGATGCTGGGAGCACACATGGTAGGTGCAATGTTCCTGTTCGGGTAGACGCATATCGTGTTAGCATTGGTCAAGCAATATACGAGAACACCTTGCACCATCATGGATGACAGGGCATAATACATACATAACTAGGCAGATGATTGCAATAACGACAACGTGCGCCCACCGTTTACGGCTTGGCCAGTTATGAGGATTCTCGGGGTCCTCTGGCCCATCCCAATCAACGACTTCAGGGTCAGCGACCTTGGTCTCTTCAATTGGGCCCGCCTCGATCGGAACGGTGTCCGTGCTAGCATCGGTCGTTGACATGGCGTTAGGTGCGGCTGAAGCTGTGGTATTTTGATTATCGAGCTTGAAAATGACCGCGGTATCTAGAGAAGAAGCCGCTTGGAAGTAGATAGGCGAATCGTTGTGATGCGAAAGAGAACATTGTAAGCAATAAAGAGCGACGGAGTTTAAGTAGGCGTTTATGAGCCCTCTCCAACTGTGAAAAGCGAGAGAGGACGACGGAGATATGACTTCATCGCGCCTAAATCCGTGCTTCTTTCCCAACGTGGCCATGTTGAGCCGCATGGCACATGGGTGAAAGCCGCGCCAAAAAGTGGGGCCGCGGATCGTCGGAGGGTCAGGACAGGAGCATCGGAGGGTCGGAGGGTCGGATGATCCCCTTAGCATTTGGGATTAAGCTTTTTCAACGCACGCCAAGGCTCGGCAGGGCAAACTTTATTTCCTTGTTCGAAAAAGGTTCAGCTCAGCTCGTGTTCGCCAACTTTTACTACAGGCTTTGGCTGACCGCGTGGCATGTTTAGGGATAGCATGGGTCTCCACAGCAAACAACTGGATGGATAAGGAGTTGAGATAAATTATATCTGTATCTGTATACTCTGTACTCCGTACGAACTGTCCTAAAATAATCTCGAGGGAATCCAGAAAGACGAACAAACAACAAATCCGCGGAGTTGAGCGTTAAGTCTTTTTAACTAAACTGCCTTCAAATTTACCGGCAAAGTTAGCTGTAATATCCAACCAGCTTCCAGGATGGCTGCTATGTCAATCTTTTTTAATCAATTAAATCACTCATTGTCGGGTCATAGTTATTGCATCTACCTAGCCTAATCATAGTCACATGATGCCGTTAGCTAGGTCACCAGCATAATGTCACGTGGATTGTCAACGTCAAGGCTCCGACGACAATGTCGAGACCAACAGCATCAGCAGCATTGTAGCTATACACAAACCATATAACCATGAAGAATAGTGATGATCGGCGCGTTTGGGTGCTTGACTGGGCTTATATCCTAGTATCAGCCTGCAGGACATTAGCTTTTTCGAGAACAGCAATATAACATCTTCTCAGCCGCACAAATGATAAATAGGTGAGCAGCCTTGCACTTTTATCTGCGTTTTGAGGCCCCCTTAACAATAAAGGTGATATATCACCTAGAGCGCCACTATTTTCTCTAGGGCAGCGCCATTTATTCAGCTGAGAGACCTGTTTGTTCCATCTTGACTAACCTGTGAGCTTACGATGGCGCTGGTTACTGAGACTAGCACCCCCTTCACACCTGGCCCCATCATGCCGGAATCACCAGTCAATCCCGGGTCTGCCATGACCACATCGCCAAATGCTGAATATCAGGAAGTTGATGCCGATAGTATTTCGAGGCCCCGCCCAAAGCCCAGTCGGCGCAGGGACAAACCTCAGCTTTCCTGTAACCTCTGTCGCCGCCGCAAGTGAGTATGATTTATACCTGATCTAGTTTCATTTATATATAGAGTCAGGTACTAACGCTGGCAACCATTATGTAGATCGCGATGTGACCGCCAACAGCCATGTTCAACGTGTTTGGCACGAGGACAAACTTGTGTCTACGTAGAAAACCATCCCTCGCTAACGAAGCCGTCAATGCCACTAAGTACAACGGCACCTTCAGCCCCTCCTGCAGTCCACGATCGCCTGGTCCAGTTAGAACGTCTTGTTATGACTTTGATGTCTAATCCTACCCAAAAAGCAAACCATAGTTCTACTGATACTCCAGCTGCTGAAGTAGGCCCACGCTCAGGGCCAGATTATGGGCAAGCGCCAGTTCCTTTATCAGGGACTGGCAATAGTCCTAATACCCAAGTAGATGTTCCAGTGGATGGGCATTCTGAGTGTGGAAGCATGCGGGTTACTGCGTCGGAACTTCGCTATGTCGGCGGGGACCACTGGGCGGCCATACTGGAGAACATTGCTGATTTAAAGGACCATTTCGATAGAGAAGAACAGCTGAGACTTGCGAATAGCCCCGAGGATCTGGATGGTAACAATGGTGATCCGGCAAATAAACCTAGGTCACCTCACGCGCTACTTCTGTATGGATGCCGTCGCCCAACTTCACGGTCTGAAATACTTGCCGCTCTGCCCCCAAAGAGTGCCGTGGATCGCTATATTTCTCGCTATTTTAACTGCCTGGATCTTGTGGCCTCTTGTAAGCGCAACGAAATAACGGGCATTCTGATGAAAGTACTAACTAAACCGATAATATAGCAGTGGTACATGGGCCTAGCTTTCTAAATCAGGTAGGTCCTATTTTATTACATGCGTATTTATCTCTTTAAGCTAACCCGCGGTTATAGTACGAATCTTTTTGGAGTAACCCATCTGACGCTCCGATTGTCTGGGTTGGACTATTATTTGGCATGATCTGCCTTGCGTTGCTTGCCTCAGACCTGCCATACGCGGCATACAGTAACAATGAAATAGAGCAGCAAACTCTACAGGCTGACTTATACCGTGAAAAAATAGTTCAATGCCTCGTTATAGGGGAATATACAAACTCCGGACCGTACGTTCTGGAGGCAATGATCCAGTATGTGTATGTGGAGTATATAGTTCGAGCGGACGCTGGCAAGGATAACTGGTTCTTGCTAGCCATCCAAGTGAACCTGGCAATGCGTATGGGCTACCATCGTGATCCCAGTCATTTTCCTGGCATCTCTCCGTTACAGGGTGAAATGCGACGCAGGGTGTGGGCAACGGTTCTCATGAGTGATATTCTTGTTTCCAGCCAAATGGGCATGGCAAGAATGATTGCAGATTGGAAGTGCGATACTGCTGAGCCGCGAAATTTGAATGATAATGACATGGATGAAAATACCACCGAACTACCTCCACCTCGACCAGAAACCGAACACACAACAGCTTTAGGTATTATTGCCCGGAGAAGGATGTTAATGGCCTTAGGCGCAATCTCGGATGTTACCGATGCAGTGAAACCCTCTAGCTATGCTGAGGTCATGCGAGTTGATGCAATTTTACATGATGCTGCTGCCAGTATCCCTCCGCCGCTGAAAATGAAGCCTATGGCATCAAGCGTCACTGACTCTCCACAGGTGATTATGGCTCGTCTGTTCATTGGCCATATGTTCTATAAAGGGCAAATAATGCTTCACCGCAGATTTCTATACATGGAGTCACCACCAGGAGAGGAGGATAAGTATGCTTATTCACGAAATGCGTGTATCGATGCTTCACTTGGAACATTAAATATACAGCATGTTCTGGACGAAGAAACTTGCCAGGGAGGTCAGCTATACTCTATGCGATGGCGTGTGTCCTCTATGATGAATCATCAGTTTTTAATAGGAACTATGATACTATGTTCATTACTACATCGTGGAAAACATCTGGAGAGAGAACAGGAAGTTACTGCTGCACTCCGTACGACCCGAGCTATTTGGATGAGACGCAGTTCTCAGTCCCAGGAGGCCAAAAAGGCCGCTGAGACTGTGAGCATTGTTTTGGCAAGAGTTGGGGAAGGACGAGCCCAAGGCGAGGAAAAAAGTGGATTGTCTCAGGGGATGGGGCCTTCAACTAACCCAGCCACTTCTACTATCAATAGTAGCGAAGCGGGCATGAACCTTGACGAAAGAGAGGTGTTAGCAGATAGTATGGGTCTGGGCTTTTATGAACGTAAGTTGTGAAAATTTGAGTTTACGTGGTTTTTGCATGTGGTTAACTAACAAAACATTTGACCAGCGGACAAATTCGTGATGCCAGGCCTTCTCGGAAGTTTCACACCTCCTGACCAGCAAAACTTTTCCTTTGATGTAAATTCATTAGAGAGGGGTACGACTCTAGACGATTGGATGTTAATGAACTGGCCTGGAATGACAAGCTAGTAATAGCCCTCAGAGCTCGATGATCTACCTGATTTGTATGGGTCGACGTCTTGTCTAGATTAGCCTAGAACGGAGGGTCAGTATGGAATCGTGAGCCAAGAGATACAGATAACTACTGGGTATGTAGGACAAACCCAACTATCTCACAATCATTATCGCCCATCTCGATCTTTCGTAATCGGAAAATTCCCTTAACATTTCTTTGCACAGGTGCCTGCTATAGCACTGCGCATCGCTGCATTAATTAAAAGCCATGCATGCCTCAAACGAAGGGGTGTTCGGTTAGTAAATGACGGCTCATACCTCAGCCGCCGCCTAGAAAGTGCGACACCACCTAGATCCTTCTCCGCAAGTACCGGTTTTTTATTCGGCAGGCTCGTAAGAGATTGAAGTCCTCAGAATCGAGCACTTTTGATTTCTCATTCACTGGTTGGTTATTGCTGCCCGGACTCCTGCAACGGTGCTGCAGCATTCTTATTCTTCACTAGAAATGTGGAGCGCCTAGATATGGCACGATTCCGAGCTGCACATGTTCACTAGATTGTCCGTGCTAACTAACTAGTAGCACATTCCCACGAGTCTGGCCCCTTGACAAGATGTTTATTCCGAGTTCCCAGAAAGTATCTGGCTAACCGTGTTGATTGAATTATTCCCTGCATAGCCGACCAAGACTTGCGTGGCTGACCTCAAGGCTGATATACCGACCCTACAAGTTACTCTCTTGATCGCCGAATGATGCGTGATTTCTTCTCCGACTTCCGTTTCGGTCATGCAGTTTCCGGTATATCTCGAATTGCTTTATGCCCAGTCATTCCACATGTCCCTCTTCTCCGAATGTTGACTGTGTAATCACTCCGGCCAATCTACCATCAGGTTGTGTCTATTCGGTACCATACGCTTCGCCTCTCCTAAGCCCGATATGCCATTTCCGAAGCATAACAGCAAGATTCCAACTTCCGGGCGTCTTCAGAGGCAAACGACATCCTGCAATGAATTATTTATATACCATGAAAATATCCACAAGACCGCCTGAATGGTAGTCGATTATCATTCTTTGGCCCAAAATCTTCCAAGGCAATCATTTCGTCTTTCTGTGCCTTATTAAACCTGTTTTGCAGGATTCATCTCCTTGCACTGTTCTGGCTTTCTTTTTACCTCCCTAGATCTGAATTCATCATTCAACTATTTGGCTTGTTCCGGCATCGAGGAATCGTTCATTAGAGTGTACCTATCTAGAAACCAGGTTCATACCAACCAACCGGCATTCAGGCGATCCAGGTCTTATCAGATTCGACTGTGTCAAGCTTGTGTACCCGTACAACAATGATTCAACCTATTGCTATTATCGGATCCGGATTTCGTTTTCCTGGAGGCGCCGACACACCCTCGAAACTCTGGTCTGTTATCCACAACCCTCGTGACCTGAGTAGCAAACCGCCGGCTTCTCGCTTTGATATAGACTCCTTCTACCATCCTGTTGGTACACATCATGGTACTACGAACGCTACCAAATCTTACTGGCTGGAGGACACAGATAAGAGCGATGTTACCAAGTTTGATGCTGGGTTTTTCAATATTCAGCCCAGTGAGGTGGACGCGATGGACCCCCAGCAACGTGTTCTAATGGAAGTTGTCTACGATGGTCTCTGTGCTGCTGGGCAACCTATGGAGAAATTGCGAGGTTCCGACACCGCCGTCTATGTTGGTCTGATGTCCGATGACTGGAGCACTATGTTAACTCGAGACTGGGAGACATTACCCAGATATACTGCTACAGGGCTCGAAAGAGGCATTGTAGCAAACCGTGTGTCATATTTCTTTGACTGGCATGGACCAAGCATGACTATTGATACTGCGTGCTCTAGCAGCTTGGTTGCCCTCGATCTCGGTGTCCAAGCTCTAAGAAGCGGCAAGTCAAAGGTAGCGGTTGCTGCTGGCACAAATCTCATATTGAGTCCAGGTATGTTCTGACATCTTTGGCCAAGATAATATAAAGCCCTCGATATACTGATGTCTTTATTGTTTAGCCATGTACATCTCCGAGAGTAACCTTGGGATGCTTTCTCCTACCGGACGCTGCGCGATGTGGGACGCTTCCGCGGATGGGTATGCACGAGGAGAGGGTGTTGCGGCTGTTGTGCTCAAAACACTTTCCCAGGCCATAGCAGATAATGACCCAATTGAATGCATAATTCGTGAAACGGCAGTCAATCAGGATGGCAAAACTACTGGCCTGACGATGCCCAGCAACGTTGCACAGACAAATCTTATCCGCGAGTGTTATGCTCGGGCAGGGCTAGATCCAGTAAACAATCTGGAGGATAGGCCGCAATTCTTCCACGCCCATGGCACGGGTACTCAGGCAGGAGACCCCCAAGAAGCTGAAGCTATTTCGAATGCGCTATTCCCTGCTGGATCCTACGCCGATAAGATGGCAGACAAGCTGCTTGTTGGCTCTATCAAGACTGTCATCGGCCATACTGAAGGTACCGCTGGCCTAGCTAGTGTTATCAGCACCTCTTTGGCTTTGAAATACGGCGTGGTTCCTCCCAACCTACACTTTACAAACCTCAGTGCCAAAGTGGCTCCATTCTTTAAGCACTTGGATATTCCTACTGTCCCGACTCCATGGCCTGCCAAGGAAGGTCAGCTGAGGAGGGCGAGTGTGAATAGGTAGATAAACCTCAAACGATCTCTTTTTCTTTTTCTCCCCATTACTGTGCTAATACTACCATTTGACAGCTTCGGCTTTGGTGGAACCAATGCCCACTGCATTTTGGAGCAGTATATTCCAGAAAAAAAGGCTGTATCTCCTATTTTCACTCCTCTCACCTTTTCCGCTTCCTCAGAGATTGCCCTTCGAGAGATGTTGTCGCAACATCTCGATTATCTCTTAGCAAACCCAGAAACTGAATTTTCTGATCTTGCCTATACCTTACAGCATAGGAGATCCACCCTATCGTACCGAAAAGCAATTGCGGCGATGACAATACAAGATGCTATCAAGTCCCTAGACGAGATTGTGAATTCTACCTCAAATGCTACAGGTAGTGCGGAGCTTGGAACGAGATTTGGTACTATCTCTGACCCAAAGATAATTGGCATTTTCACCGGACAAGGTGCTCAATGGCCACGAATGGGAGCTCAGCTCCTTGAAACCTCCCATTTTGCTGCATCTCGTATATCTGAGCTGGATTCCGCTCTTCAAAGTTTGCCATCCCCTGGAGATTGGCCTACTTGGACACTCAAGGACCAACTCCTTGCAGGAAAGGACACATCACGCATATCGGAAGCTGCTCTCTCCCAGCCCCTGTGCACGGCAGTGCAGATAATCCTCATTGATATTCTCCGAGAAGCAGGTATCTCTTTTCGTGCTGTGGTTGGCCACTCATCTGGTGAGATTGGTGCCGCTTATGCAGCAGGCTTTATATCTGCACAGGATGCCATACGTGTTGCTTACTTCCGCGGTGTCCACGCACGGCTAGCTTCTAGCCCAAATGAACGTGCCCCTCGTGGAGCCATGATAGCTGTTGGTGCATCAGCTGACGACGCTCGCGACTTTTGCGCTACGGCAGGGTTCTCTGGTAGACTTCAGGTTGCTGCGGTAAATTCAGCATCGAGTGTGACTCTAAGTGGAGACGAAGACGCTGTCACTGAAGCTGAGGACATTTTCAAATCTCAGGGGATCTTTGCCAGGAAACTCAAAGTTGACACCGCATATCATAGTGCCCATATGGCATCATGTGCTGGGCCGTATTTCTCTTCTTTAGAGGGATGTTCCATTCAGTCAGTTGCACCACTACAGGAGTCAGCTACTACTACTTGGTTCTCGAGTGTTTACGCAGGCGAATCGATGACTAGTGACAGACTTACTAACCAATACTGGGTTGACAATATGTGTAATGCTGTGCTATTTGCTGATGCACTTTCGAAAGCTCTGAAACACGTTGACCAATTTGACCTTGCTATCGAGGTTGGCCCACATCCTGCTCTGAAAGGCCCTGCAACATCTACCATTGGTAGTATTCCATATACAGGGCTGCTCTCCCGCGGACTTGAAGATATTACACAACTCAGCGATGCGCTAGGCTTTATCTGGACTCGACTTGGCTCTGGAAGCGTGCGATTCTCTGACGTCGAAACACTACTCTCTGGCGTTCAAAGTAGGAAAAGTTTGAAAGACTTACCTTCATATCCATTCGAACACCAGCGCAACTATTGGTCGAATAGTCGCCTGGCCAACCATTTCAAAAACAGACGAGCTATACATCTTCCTAACCCAGTTTTGGGCAGCCCTTGCTCCGAGGCTACCACTCCTGGGGAATTCCAATGGCGAAACTTCTTGCGTCCAAATGACATGCCTTGGCTCAAAGGTCATAGGCTCCAAGGTCAAACCGTTTTTCCTGCAACTGGATATGTGAGCATGGCGGTAGAGGCTATTAAGGGTATTGTGTTTGACAATGGAGCCGGGAACACCATCGGCATGATTAGACTAACTGATGTCGACATTCCTCGAGCAATCGCGTTTAACGACGATGATTCTAGCATTGAGACCATTTTCAGCATGTCTTCAATCGACATCTCACCTACAGCTATCACAGCGGAGTGGGGTTGCTACTCAGTGGCTGATGGCGGTAATACCCTGCTAAATGCCAAAGGCAAGGTTTCTGTCCAACTATCTTCTGCTAAACCTAATACCCTACCTCTAGTCAAGGCGGAGCCCTTCAACCTGGTTTCTGTTCAGGATGATCGTTTCTATTCAAACCTCTCCACAGTTGGGTATGGTTACTCTCATCCGTTCAGAGGGGTGTCCGATATACAGCGAAAGTCTGGCTATAGTATCGGTACACTTTTTGACCAATCCGGATCTGAGTGGGATGATAATTTGGTCCTTCATCCTGGTATGCTCGATTCCGCTCTCCAGACCGTTTTCGCAGCGTGGTCATATCCTGGAGATACCCAGCTATGGTCATTGCATGTTCCTGTTTCAATCTCTGCTGTGACGATAAACCCGTACTTCACGATACTTGGAGCCGGTGGCAAGCAGGGTACCATGAAATTCGAGACCCTTATTCGAAGCAAACAAAGATCTCAGATTATTGGAGATATCTATTTAATTACGGATAATAAGTCTCACACTATTGCGCAGTTTGAAGGCGCAACTCTGGTTCCATTCTCCCCAGCTACTCCTAAGAATGACCTTCCAATGTTTTCCCATTTCGAATACCGAGTCGCATCACCCGATGGACTGTTGGCCGCTGAGGGTGAAACAGTGACTGCCTTCGAAGTCCAGATGTATAAGGACATTGACCGTGCCTCCTACTGGTTTGCACGTCATGCCTCTACATCAATTCCGGCTGAGGAGCGTGCCGGCCTTCTCCCTCATTTTCAAAAATACCTCCAGTGGTGCGACCGTATGGTTGGCATGGTCAGTCGAGGCGAAACTCCGAAGGTTGAACCAGAATGCAACAATGATACTCGTGAAGATATTGGCAAGATTCTGGCCCGTTACGAGGGCCGAAAGGATATTCGCTTCGTTGAAGTGGTAGGGGACAATTTGATTCCCGTCATTCGCGCTGGAAATTCCATGCTTGAACACATGAACCAGGACGGTCTTCTCCGAGCCTTTTACGAGGAGAATGCCATATGTGCCGGGCCAACAAGTCGTTGGCTCGCTCGGGTTGTATCACAAATTTCACATCGGTACCCTGGTCTCAATATTTTTGAAATCGGAGCTGGAACAGGCGCAACTACATCATCGGTACTCCGCAATCTTAAGGGTGCGTACTCGTCTTATACTTTTACGGATATTTCAAGTGGATTCTTTATGGCAGCAGAGGAAAGATTCGCCAAAGAAAGTGGTCGTATGACCTTTAAGGTGTTCGATATGGAGAAAGGCCCTGCGGAACAAGGCTTCATCGAAGGCTCATACGATCTGATTGTGGCTGTTAATGTGCTTCATGTGTCTGCTGACATGGAGGCGTCAATGTCTAATATCCGTCGCCTCCTCAAGCCCGGCGGTTACATAGTGGTAGGTGAGCTCACCTCTACTGACCTCTTATTCAGTGGTATGACTGTGGGAACTCTCCCGGGATGGTGGATTGGTGCTGAAACAGGCCGCCCATGGGGGCCATTGCTTACCCTTGACCAGTGGGATTCCGTTTTGAAGAAAACTGGGTTCTCTGGAATTGATACCGTCACTCCTAACATTGATTCTTCTCTTCCAATCAGTGTATTTGTTGGCCAGGCTATTAACGATCAAGTCACGCTTCTACGAAACCCCCTTAATGTCCAAGAGCACCCTGTCGGCGTACGAACTGATGCTCTTGCGATCATTGGGGGAACAAAGGACCGCGTTAAAGAACTGGGACATAATGTATCTGACATTCTATCCCACCGTTTTCCTGTCAAAGAGTTCTTCAATACCGTGGAAGACTTTGCTTGCTCGACCATGGCTAGTTCAGTATCTATTTCTGGCGCTGTGACAATCCTTTCCCTCACAGACCTTGACCAGCCGTATCTCGATGGCTTAACCGCCGATAAGTTCAACGCACTCAAGGCATGTACAACAGCTGGAACTGTTGTCTGGGTAACCTGCGGATCCCGTGAAGATACTCCATATAGCTACATGATGATGGGTTTTGCCCGTACAATCAAGAACGAGAACCCTGACTTAAATTTACAGCTATTTGATCTGGATTCCAAAGCCGCAAATGATGGCATTGAGCCACAAACTGCAGCTATCCTGGCTGAAACATTGTTAAGGCAGCGGGTGCTTCAGAGCTGGGGCATCGATGAAGACGCCCTTCTGTGGACGGATGAGCCTGAGGTGTTTATGGATAATGGGAAGCAATTGATTACAAGGCTGCTACCGGATCCAGAGAAAAATATGCGTTATAACTCACAGCGAAGAGAGGTATTTACTGAAGCTAACCCCATGATAGATACCCTGGAGCTTGTTGGAGCTGGATCTGGTAAAGGGCGGGTTTTGGAGCTTCATAAAGTCTCACCGCTAAGACTACCAAACATTCCGGAAACCAAATACCGCACCTTGAGAATTACTCATTCTCTTCTTCAAACTGTTGCTGTGGGCGCAGCTGGATTCTTCAGGCTATGCATGGGTGTTGATGTCAATTCGAATGAAACCATTCTGGCGCTTTCAAGTTCACCGGAATCCCCTGTCAACATCCCAGAACGTTGTTGTATTCCTGTCCCCAGAATTCTTGATAACAATGCCCTAGTCTCGATAGCCTCCAGCATTGTCGCTGAGCGGGTCCTCTCGTTTACTCCCGAAGGGGGTACCTTACTTGTGAACGAGGCAGACCCTTCTTTAGTGTCCGCTATACAAAGGAAGGCCAGCGCTAAGGACGTCAAGCCCGTGTTTATTACCGCTAAACTACGACAGAAATCAAACTGCAACTCACTCTTCCTGCATCCAAACTTCCCCCGCCATATTATCAAATCCATTGTTCCCGAAACTACGGTCGTTTTCTTACATTTCTTGCGAGGAGATACATCTGATGCTGTTAGAGATTGCATTATCCCCTGTTTACCGGCTGGCTGTCTTCAAATAAACGAAGAAGCGGTTCTAGGCCATGAACTCACAGAGATGTCCAGTGCGAAGTCATTGGTAGATCTATCGCAGATTCTACAAAGTGCGCTAAACGACACCGATAAGGCTGCATCAGACGATGCCAATTATATATCTCTTGAATCTCTATCCTCGCATGGAATCATAGGAGAACCAATGACCGTTGTGCAATGGACTACCAATACTCCGCTGACTGCCAAAGCCCAACCTATCGACTCAGGAATGTTATTCAGGGCTAACCGCACATACCTCTTCGTTGGCATGGCGGGTGAGCTTGGTCAGTCTCTTGCTGGCTGGATGATCGCCCACGGGGCACGGAATATTGTCCTCACTAGCCGTACACCGAAAGTGAACCCATCATTCATAGAAGACATGAAGAAGAGGTACGGAGCTGTTGTCAAAGCCATGCCTCTCAACGTTACGTCCCCAGAATCTCTTCACTACGTACACACAGCTATTATGGCTACTCTTCCCCCCATAGCGGGTGTCGTGAACGGTGCCATGATACTGGAGGACGAACTCTTTTCCAGGATGACTTATGAACAGTATACTCGCGTTATAGAACCCAAGGTCCTGGGTACTCAGTTATTGGATGAAAGATTCTATGACGACAAATCTCTCGACTTTTTCATCGTGGCTTCTAGCATTGCATCCGTCATTGGTTGGAGTGGCCAGAGCAATTATTCAGCAGCCAATGAATACATGACTTCTCTTGTATACAAGAGGCGCAACCGTGGAGTTGCAGCATCTGCCATGAGCATCCCGGCTGTGCTCGGAGTGGGATATGCCGCGAATTCGATTAACTTTGACTTTGACTACTTCCAGTCGGTTGGGTATATCAATATTAGTGAAGAGGATCTACACGTTTTATTCGCAGAGGCCGTGGTCTCAGGTCGGCCAAGCCAAGCGCCTCGGGTGAAAGCTCAAGTTGCCATGGGAGTGAACTACTTGCCGAATGATTTCTTCGTCCAGGAAGCCCATAGACGAGATGTCAAATTCAGCCATTTCATTCACCGCGAAGAGACTGGCTCGGAGATTCAAGCTGTCAAGTCTGGGGTACGTGTCAAGGTCCAACTACAAACTGCGAAAAATGCGGAAGATTCCTACGTTATTACTCGGGATGCATTCTTGAGTCACTTGAAACGTATGCTGCGTATGACGGAAGAACAGAAATTGGAGGACTCTATAGCTCTTGTTGACCAAGGTGTTGACTCACTTGTTGCTGTTGATATCCGCTCTTGGTTCCTCAAGGAACTGGAGGTTGATATCCCCACCCTCAAGATCCTAGGGGGAGGTTCAATTGCCAATCTAGTGAAGACTGCGTTAGAGAATATGGAGCCCATCAAACAGGATACTCCTGAGAGCTCAGAGTCATCTACCAAACAAAAGCCCCAGCCGGGAAAGCCTTCTGGGTCTATACCGAAAAAAGAGACAGCCAGCTCCTCACCATTATCAATGGGAAGCCCTGTATTTACCCCTGCACTTGGAGATACTCCCTCACCCTCCGATGATGACTCCATCTCCACGCCACTGCCGTCTCGAGAGGATTTCGTGAAGAAAGGTGACTTGAAGAGTCAAGGAAAGTCTGTACCTACTGTCATTGCTTAGAGAAAGGCAGAGCTATTGGTTCTGGTCTCTTTAAAAGGCTTCACTAAGCTCTCTCATACACCTAACATTTTACATTTTGTATTCATACCATTTCTTATCCGTCGTATATAGTTGATTCGTCCCATTCTTAATGTTTCCGTTCCAAGTATGATGTAGATAAGCTTATAGTTTTCTCACCATAAGGCAATAAACTGCGTTCGATAGAATCTGTATACCTATCATAATTTAATTTGTTGGCGAGAAAGAGAAATAAAATTTATTGCTGGTCAGCAAAACCTATACGCTTCAAAACAGCCGCCGCATCGAGTAAGATAAAAAAATACTCTCAATAGCTCTTCACATAGTAGTCATTAAACAGTCATTATAAAAAGATAATTAATAATATAACCCCTACAGTCCATTCCGGGGCAGCTTCGGGCCTGTATATGTTTTGTGGCCGCGTACAATATAGTACACAATTCCAAAGGCAACGACCACACCATAAACAGGGCCAGAATAATTCATGTTCTCAGCAGTGACGGGGACGGAGGGAGGGAAAAACGCAAATATGACTGTCACAGTGGTATATATGACGGCAACAATGTTGATCGGTAGGCCGTACCGACCAAGATTCCATGGGCCGAACTCGATCTTCCCATGGGTAAGTCGTTTATGAATCATAACACAGATGACGATAACGTAGGAGGACATGTAACCGGATACGACCAGGGAGACGACGGCAGAGAAAGCGACGTTTGAGCCAATGCTGATCAATCCAAGGAGGGCATTAAGTACTCCAGTGAGGGCGATTGCGAAAAGAGGAATTGATCGTTTGCGGTCAATCTGTTATATGCCTGTTAGAAGGCTTCTTGAATTTTCCAAGATAGATAAATCGAGTCGTCTAACAGTACCTTCCGCAAGAGATGTGAGAACGGTAGACCGCCATCACGGGCAAAGGCCCAAGCCTGTCTTGAAGCAGAGGCCATGAAATTGAAGTTTGCAACAATGTATGTTGTTATCAATAAGGAGGTTAGGACGGTGGCAGCCGTGTTTGACTGGGTGGAATTTCTGAATAGCTCAATGAAAGGGACCTTGGTTTCTGTGTTAATGACCTTGTCTATGTCTCCGATGCAGAAAAGGATGACAAGGTACATTGCCAGTCCCATGGCACCGTTGATAAACATTGTAAAGAACATGGCCCTGGGGACGTTGATGCGCGCATTTTGTACTTCTTCAGCTATAGTATTGTTAGCATTGCAATACTTGAACAGAGGTAATGTATAGATGATTACCCATATGACATGCGCCGTCGTATCCAATGAACAAGACAGCGCTGGCTGACTGGCCGATCAGCCAGGATAGTCCATTGCTGCTGTAGCCGGAGGTGTTTATGAACTCGGTGAAGACAAACTTAGCTGAACTAATAGGAGCTAGGTGGACCAGGGGTATCATGATTGCGAAGAATCCAACGACGTGAATAATCAAGATGACTCCTTCAACTCCAGGCAGCCACTTGACGAGAGAAACATTAACAGAGAGAGAGAGAATAAGGACTGCATATAACATAAGTGTAGCCTGCCATCTCTCAGGCGTGTATTCAGGGTAGTTGAGCTTGACAACCCCCTGAATGATGGTACCCCCAAGATATGTACCAGTGGTAGAGGCAGACTGCCATCCGAGGACAGAGAGCCAGCCTAGATTTATTCAGCTATAATCATGTTAGGGTAGGTCAGCCAGGCATACTTACCAGTCAAGAAACTAAGGAATTTGACCTTTCCTGGGGGGGCGAGAAGAGACGCCCAATAGTACTGTCCTCCAGAAATAGGGTACCTTTCAACAATCAGTAATGCGGTCCCTCTAGTTACAACAATAGGGGTGTGGAAGCATAGGAGCTTACATTGAAGCCATCTCAGCAAGAGAGGCACATGTCGCCAGAGACCCGAAGAAGGCCAGAATGAAGCCATAGACCATAGTAACCGGTCCTCCATTGATATACGCGGTAAGGAAGAATCTGTATGTAAATTAGTACTTTTTTAGCCGTTCTCTCTGCTGCTAAACAGGAATGAAAACATACGGGAGGCCTGATTCCCATGTCCCCATGATACATGTTGTGAATCCTAATATTGTCACCAAACCGAATCGTCTCTATCGTGCAATGCAAGGCTGTTAGTTGCCTGTCAAGTCAGGCCGGCTTTCCCCAGGTTATCCAACAATTGCAACGGTTTAGAGCCTACAGACCTTTGTCTCTTGGGCCACACCCAGCCTGGCCATGTCAGCGGCATCTTGATCTGACCGTGCCGCTGCTTCGCCATCATAGTGGTTAACAGGACGGTTCTCCACCTGAGAAATGATCTTCTCCTCTGACTGTCCCAGCGCCATGGTGATAAATTCCTCTCGAGGAGTAGAGAAACTGATTGACTATCCGCTGTTTGAAACAAATCCGTTTTGTGAGCAGCTCTCGAGAGAAAAAAGGGAGGACGTCAAAGAGGGACCAGAGTAAGAGAAAAGAACGGAGGGAAATGCAGATGCAATGTGGATTGCGGGAACTGCATGTAGGGCTCCCCGGCCAGCTTCTCTTTTTTTCCTCTCTCCCTTGAAAGGAGACCGGGGTAGGATATTATCGTCGCAGTCTTATGTAGGTACAGGCGGCCCTGTTGGCTGCATATTTGGTGCCCTGTTGGGATCTCAATATGCGAATATGCGCTGCAAAGGGGCAGACGCAGCACCCTTTTTCTCGACAAACAGCTAACCGCTACAACTTATGCCTCTCTGACAGAGTAGTTAGAGTTACCCTGTGCACATTTAAACATTGAAGCTCCGTCAGTGAACGTCTCGTAAGAGTACGTTTCACCCCCAGCCAAGCTCGCTCGCGGGCGCTTCTCGTCCCGAAAAACCCAGCGTACAAGCCTCTCCCCCCCAAATATGCGACTAGCAGGCAAGCCACAGGCGAGAGCGCCAGGAGAATGGGCTGCACAAGCCGTTTATCGACAGTGTCTGGATGTCTGGAGATTCGACACTGCTTGGCAGGTTCAGGGATCTTTTTCCTTTGCATCCCGCTCTTTGCTCCCTTGCGGATTGGCGGACGAGGGGCGGCTCACGGCCTCTGTGCTTGTCCCTTGGGCGATGGTATCTGACGCTTGCTCCGTATTCACAACAATTGATTTGTGCTTCTCTCCGAAGGTTGGCCCGCCACTGGACTAATTACGGGGTGCATGAGGGCCGAGACTCAGATGGCTGTGTCTCTTCCATGTCTGTTGAAAGATAGACACAGAGTAGCATTCGGCCACCATGCATTCCCCAGCCGGCCACCGCCCACATACTTACACAGATACTTAACTATCCGTACTCCGTACGGAGTGGATACAATAATAATACGCTCGATCGGCAGCTGGCATCCTGTTGAGTTTTCCCAGGAGCCTGGAGAGAGACAGCCTTGGGCGGGTGAAGGCCTGTCTCTGGAGTAACGATCTGGCCATGCAGAGAGTTGAGCAGGCAGTGGAGAAAGAAAATAGAACTTTCCAGTGTCTCCATATCAGTCCAGAGTATATGCAGGGTGCGTCGCTCACTAACTCAGTCGAGCTCTTGCTGGCGCCCAATAGCATCTACTTCTGCTGGAGATCAGAGCAGAAAAGGGGATAACCCGTCTCCATCTGGACTGGAGAAGAATCCTCCATGCAGTTTAGTTGCAGGTCAAGCGGCCACGATGAAGCAACTTGGTTCAGAGGCGCATCCCAAACCATAAAAGGGAGAGTATGTATGGGTCCCCACGCTATCAGCAGGGCGATTTCCTCGCAGCTGCGTATGGGAGATACCAATACACCCCCTAATCATGGGTCGGGGGTCCAAGCCCTCCAGTTAGCGTCCTTGATTAAGCTGGAATATTGGCATGGCGCTCGTAATTGATACGGGCCAGGATTTCGAGATCGCCAGACGGTCAAACAGCAGACCCCCATCCCACCGTTTTGCCCTCGGATCTCTTGGCCAGGAAGCCTGTTCTGATACGAAGCAGAGAGAGAAAAGGATAACTAAAGTCGGATTCCATGTATGAAGTAGTGTGAGACTCACGCCAACGGTGACTTTTTTGCCTGCGCTCTCGGAAGAACCGGTGGTTATCGCTTCGCTTCTTTGGCTCGCAGCTTAGCTCAGAGCGCAAGGATTGCCTAGCCTGGCCACTATTGCCGTCTGCGTGGTAAATTAGGCATGCCTCGTAACATGAAAAGGGCGAGGCAGGGGACGAGACCGGGGTGGCTTGCTCTGCCCAAGTCTCGAGCCTTGTCTGTCTGAGTGATGGCATGATGCCCCCTGGGAGTTTGATGGCTGCTCAGCGAGAGGCTCGAAGGGCCGCTGCCGCTGCCGCTAGTTACGGCTTCGTGCGCTCTCCGTATATCGTGCAGCATACGCTGATTCCAGGGATGGATATGACACCCGGATTGGCATGTCGACTTGTAACGGGCCAGCCGTCCTCTGCAGGATGAAGAAGATTCATTTCATTCCTTTTTTCCCCCTTCCATCTTTTCGTCTTTCCATGGCTCTTCGTCCAACTGTTTTATCCAGCCAGAGCCTTTCCCTCGAAGCCCGGCCAGTCTCGCTCTCGCACGCCACAGTAGCCTGCCTTCGTTCGGGAATAGACGTTCTGGCTCTTGGGCCTCCAGATCGTCAGTTCTTCTGCTTTTGACTTCTAGTGCTTCGTCTCTTTTCTTTTATCTTTAGAGCTGCTGGTGTGCCTTTTTTGAAACCGTCCAACGCCGGCGTTTTCTGCCTGGAATCCAGCGTTGCTTTCGTGTAGATAGATAATATCCCGTCTTCGTCCTGTCCTGCGTTGGCAGCATTGGCCCATGGATTTTTACCCATCATCACTCTGGCATCAAGAGCCTCTCAGTCCCCCCGTCGAGACTGACCCCATACATCGCTAACCCTTCGTTTTCTGTCGTCGTGAGCTATGCAGACTGATGGTGTGAGGCACACGGTAGTGACGCCCGATAACCATGGGCCCATCATCCAGATCGTGACCTGGTTTGCCATGGTGGTGATGATTCTGGCGACGGCACTCAGACTGGCAGTCCGATATCTGACATCCCACATCCCCGGAATGGACGATGCCATTGTTGTGGGCTCCATGGTATGGATATCAACCAACCCCCGAGGCCCTTGTCCAGCTAGGGCATAGCTATAGTATATGGATCATGCTGACTCGGCCACAGCTTGTCAATGTCGGCGGCGTCATAGCCATATCCCTGGCGGTCACTCACGGCCTGGGGCGGCGTGAGTCGAAGCTGACCGAAGCCCAGGTGTCAAGAGCTGGACAGGTACGCTACGCAGGATATGTCTAGCTGTTCACTCCTCTTGTCTCTGACTCTCAGAGTGTCTAACATGGAGGAGTTAGGACGTGTTTGCCTCGTCGATCATGTATATCCTGGCCATTTCGCTGGCAAAGCTGTCTACTCTTAGCTTCATCGAGCGAGTTGTCCCGGCAAACAAGTATAGAGGCGTGATCAAGGGCTCCCTGATCTTCTTGTTGGCCTGGACGGTGATATCAATCATCGTGTACGGACTCCAGTGCGGCGTCTCTGCACCTTGGGACCCGCGTTCCACTGCAAAGTGTTTCAACATAGTATGATATGACCAGCCTCTGACTTTTCCTCTATAGCTGTGTAGCGTGCTAATGCGTGTTAGGTCGCATTCTGGTCGGCTGCCACGGGTATAGACGTGTTCACCGACCTCTGTCTAATTGTGGTGCCGGGATGGATTTTATGGGACTTGCAGATGAACAAAATACAGAAGAGAATCGTCTTTGGCGTGTTCTCCAGCAGAGGAGTGTAAGTTCTCCATTTATTCCATCTCTTCTAATCATTTACAGCTTTTAATAAGTGGATTATAAACCAGTGTTATAGCAGCCTCTATCCTGCGAGCAACATATCTTAAGGATATTGACGGCTCAGGGGACATCATGTTCGATAGCGTCCCTTACCATGTTGCAACGCAGTGCCATGCAATGCTCAACACGATCATTACCTGTCTCCCAGGTTTCAAGCCATTTATGGACAGGGCGAATACCGGTCTGCTCAGTATCTCCTTTAAAAGCCGTTTGGCCGGCGGAGTGTACGATAATACGTTTACCGAATATGCCATGACCAGTCTGAGGCGTGTTGTCCATCCGCGTGGAATAGGGGCGTCGAGTCAGCGACAGCTCAAGAGCGTCAAGGGCTCGATACAAAACAAACTCGGGGGTACGCAGCGGTCGTTTCGCCCGGATGAATACAGCCAGCATGCGGACGCTTTCTCGGACAGCAGGATACTCACTGAAAGCCGGTCTCAGATTGAAGAGGAAGGGCCCGATAAACTCATCATCAGGTACACAACGGACTGGACCGTCCATGTGCAAGATGAACACCGCTCGAATTCTGATGCAGCGAGTCGATAGCCATAGCGAGCTCGCTAGTCTCCCAGTGATATAATCCATACGATACATGTGTGATGATATTTAATATTCCTTCTTCCCCTTCACTATACCCATTACTCTTTTTTGAAACCTGTATATTTATGACTAGTCCAGATAATATGGTGCCATGGGATGCTACCATTTCATTTTCTTTGAAACTTAACTATGCACATACGGCAGTATACATGTTTATGATTGCAAAGGACCGGATTTTCTCCATCAGCCGTTCCCATTATCCTATTGTTACACTCAGGGAAGCGGTATGCTAAAACACTCCACCGATGCCACGGTCCTGGCCTCGTTGACTGTTGGCTGTCCTAGCACATACATCGTCTGGAGACCCTGGTACTTTCCTCCAACTTGGATAATCAATCTAGTGTTCTGAGTTGCGCCAGACCCGATACCGCTTTCCTCGATATAAAACGGCGATCCGTCGCTGGCATGGCCGTACGCGTAAATGTATGCCATCTGCGCTTTTGCCCCATCATCACCCTTGACGATAATTGGGGAGGCGACCCCGCCTTCGATAGTGGCATTGAAAGCCGGGCCTTCGATGGTTCCGCCGGTGATGGGCTCAACGATGCGGACGCCACCCTCGAGGAGTGGAATTGGGTCGAGTGGCTTTGCGAGCGTCACTGTTGCACTGAAGAGATAGGTAGGCATGGGAACAATGACGCCCGTGGGAACGCTGGGAATTGACATTTTGAATGGCTGGCGCGGCTGTTTTTCTTTGGCGTATTATGATGAGATTGTGAGGACGTGGATGACGGTTGAAAAGTGGCTCCCTCTATGTCTAGGTTGTCCTCCCGCAACAACAGCAGTTACCGATTTAAATAGAGCCAATAATCCTTTCACTTGCACCTGAATGGCCTCTCTGCAGCTATCCATACCTCTCTCGACACAGAATATCAACTTCGCCGGCTTTCCTTTCTAGTCAATTCCTCCGAGTGTAGTAAGTTCCGGCTCCGACCGTCCTCGCTTTGGACAAAACATTTTTCAAAAGAAAAGCATCAGCAAGAAGAAGACGTTTTCCCCTTCCAGAAGACCTTCCAGGGGGCTCTTCTCATTATTTGTCTCCTGTCGAGCGCTAGACATACGGTACTACACACTGCGTGGCTTTCCGTGTCGGCGCAAACAATAATGATATTGAAGAGGAGAGAAATAAAGTATTTTAAGCTTAAGTTGGCCCGCTAGTTAAGGTTGGCCCCACTTGACCGTCCGCTTTGGGTGCTCCGACCATCCGACATTTGCTTGTTAAACGAACTAGATTAGCCAGTTCGAGGTTTCTTTGATCCGACCTGCGTGTCGCTCGACGTAACTACCGGAAGACATCTCGTATCTATCAATGCTTAGGTCTTAGGTTGCATGGCGCATGGCCACAATGCAGGTCCGGTGGTCGGATGGTCGCTGCCTCCAGAAAAGAAGCTCCGAAGCTCTAAACTCCGATGTGGCCGGGCAGCCGCCGCTGGTTTGGCCCCTTTTTTGTCTACTTCGTCTGCTTTCGCTCCAGCGAGAAGTCGGACTACTTGAACACGTCTGGTCCAGTCGAGAATCGGTAGTTGCATAGTGGACGAGCCAGAGTAAAGTTACCCGTGACAGTTGCAGGGTCAAAATGTCTTCGCAGATACCTGGAAGAGTGACCAAACGCGCCATCCGCTCTGCTCTCAGGGCATACCCAGCGGTGTTATCACCCGTACCGGACGCCTCTCCATCTTCTATAAGATTGACGTCACCCTCTTGTCCTCCGTTGTCACTGTCTCAGTCAACTAGGACTCTTTCGACCTTGCAGTCAGCCAGTACACGCGCTCAGCAGCTGAAGAAAACCCATCCACCCCCCTCCATAAACCACTGTCTACAAGCCGCCACCATGTCTACCATGCCTGCTACCCACGGCCATAACGAGGCCTGCTGTAATATCCCACCCGTCATTACGTCGGGATATGTTCCCAAGGGCTCATATGAAGAGCTCGGAGGCCTGAAAACATGTACGTCCGTCTACACCCTGTGATATTCCACAGACTAGTGACCATATAACTAGACGTCACTGGAGCTTCTGACGCAACCAAGGGCATTGTCGCCGTGTTTGATATTTTTGGATATGTCGACCAGACCGTTCAAGGAGCCGACATCCTCGGAGCCAGTAGCGGTAACAAATACAAAGTGTTCATGCCTGACTGGTTCAAAGGAAATCCATGTCCCACTGAGTGGTAAGCTGATCGCCATTTTCTTCAATGAGACCGCGAATAACGCTCGGATTTCTTAGGTACCCTCCAGACACTGAGCAGAAGCAGAAAGACCTTGGTGCCTGGTTTGGGAATAATGCTCCTCATGGAGTTGCTGACGCGCTGCCGGGCTACGTTGAGGCCCTCAAGGCTGCGAACCCATCTATCCAATCTTGGGCTCTCATCGGTGTAAGTCCGCTATTATATACCTGTTAAGCAAGCCCACTAATGGCTTTTAGTACTGCTGGGGAGGCAAGGTCACCGAACTTGTGACTTCTCGTGATTCTAACCCATTCTCCATTGCTGCTGGTATCCATCCGGCAATGGTAGACACCACTGGCGCAGACAAAATTCGAGTGCCGTATATGCTCCTTGCATCCCAGGAAGAGCCAGCGGATGTTATCAAGGAGTTTGAGAGCAAACTGAATGTTCCACATCATGTTGAGACCTTTGGTGACCAGGTTCATGGCTGGATGGCGGCGCGAGCTGACCTTGCCGATCCCAGGTCGAAGGAGGAGTATATTCGTGGCTACAAGACCGTTCTTCGCTTCTTCAACCAACATTGGTAAATCATGTAGCTGTCGATTACAATTCCTTACTGAATATGCCCACAGCCATATTTTAGTTGTACATTGATAGGTATAGGTTTAGCCAAAATTACTGCCGGTCAAGGCTTAGGTTTAAATTGTCAGTTTACATACTTCATATCATCTGATTCGGCATACAGATATCTCTTCAGAGCATTCTTCCCAAGAAATATATGTTCGAGCTAGTAGACATGACGTATGTATAACTTACAAGAATTAAGTGCTGTCTAAAGTTGATAAAAGCTGTCCAGTTATATTAAGTGGGAATCTTCTATATACCAGAATCATCTTGTGGCCAGGGAGAGCTTGGAGACCACTTCTCCCACGAAGCACAAGTATCGTCATAAACTTTTCGGGCTCCACTATTGACTGATATAGAGTGTGGACTCTCAACGAATTCCAATGCCAGCCCCTGGCTGCTGTGCCATGCAATATGGCAATGTATAAGCCATGCACCAGGGTTGTCAAGTCGGAAAGCGATTGCAAGATATCCTCTGGCAGGAAGCAAAGCAGTGTCTCTTCGCGGTACACCCTTTAATTTGAAGGAGTCCATGTTTCCGTCCCATAGCTTGCCCGTTTCCTGAGCAAGAATCCAGAAGTCATGTCCATGGAGATGGATGGGATGGGCAATACTATAAACCAGACACTATTAGCCAACAATATTCTCAAGAGTTCGCGTAGATCAAAAATGGTTAAATGGTATTTACTTTGCAAAGAGTGCTGCCGCAGTATTCTGAATTACTAACACCGCCCACTCATCACCAGTCGGATTCTTTCTCTATTTCAAATATTAGAAAATGTTAGATCATCACGGAAATATGGGTAACACTTACCTCAACAGACACCACATTGTAAGGGGTGGGGATGTATGATGCGTTCTTGAAGACATATTGCAGGGTTGGCTTATTCCAGTCCAAGGCCAAGCTACTGCCATTAATAGTCCACTGAAAGAGGGCAGCATGTGTGAGGCGGACGTTTATTCCCTCGACAGTCGTGCCAGAGATGGCGCCGACATCAAACTTCACGCGAGGTACTAGTTTAGTAGCTGGTTCGTCTGCGCAGAACTTTGGTGGCTGAACTGTGCTGGTGGTAGTTGGCTCTTTGGTGCTTCTGGAATTATACCGTACAATGCCCGTGATGGAGCCGGGGTTATCGTTTGCGACACCTTGACAAGCTCTCAGCCAGCCGCCACGCATCCAATAGTCTCCCGGAGTAGCATTTGCCTCGACCACAATATCGTATCTTTCACCGACGTTGACCAGAACGTTGTCAGTCTCATATGGTACGATTGGGACAAAGTCAACGGCAATAACCTTGAACTTATGGCCATCAATATTGAACTGGAACAGGCTATCCATTGCCACGTTGGCCAGACGGATGAGGTACTTCTTTCCAGGCTCAAACACTGTTTCGAACTTCTTACCCCCTCCAACGCAGTTGGGGTCCGTCGAACCAGTGCAGTTGAATGTGTTCGTACCATTGATCAGAAGACTGTTCAATGATTTGGTAATACCATACTTTTCCTTCGCACTCCAGTCGGTGAAAGTAGATGTATGTGACCAATCTTGGAGGAACAGAACACCCTTGTCTTCGTCATAATTCGCGGTTGCAGGGCCCTTGAATATAAGGGGACCGAAAAGCCCTTCCGTGTATTGAAGAGAAAAGTGGCTGTGGTACCAACTCGATCCGTATTGGGTGACCTTGAACTTATACGTGTAGCTTTCTCCCGGGCGGATTGGGCATTGAGTAACACCTGGGACTCCGTCCTGTTCGACACTATTGAGTTGTCGAACACCATGCCAATGGATGGCAGTGCCATTGCTCTTCATATTATTGGTAACATGGACAACGAGATCATCTCCCCAGTCGGCAACAATGGCAGGGCCCGGCATGGTGCCATTAAAAGTCATGCATGGTCGTCGATATCCATCTTGGTTGCATATCCCTTCTTCAACCGACAGCCAAACTTCAACCGTTTTCCCTGCGTCTGGTATCGTAGTGTAATAGTTCGTGTCGATATCATATTTCCCCCAGCAGTGCCGAGAAGTAGGAGTGTTTTCGCATGTCGCCCGTTTAATATCTAAACTGTTGCCAGGAATCTTTGGTAGGGCGTGACAGCAGGATGCCAGGGCCAGGAAGGAAAGAAGAGGTAGCTTCATATTGGAGACGGAGTTTGCTCTCCAACAAGGTGGAAATATATACCACTGGAAATGAACTCGGGGTTCTACCGGCAGAGGAATAGCTCAAGAATGGCGCGCCTGCTCGGTGCGACACCCGATGTACTTATGCTCCTAGATCAACGGCCATGATCTCTTTCTCAGAGCGAGTCGAAAGCTCTTGACAAAGCTGAGATGCTCCGATATAGCCGAAAGGAGGCACGGAGCCAAGCTCAGGCTACAGTGGGTATCCAGCCGGTCATATAGAACAAGGTATGGAATATAGCGAGTAACTCCAGGGTCATCAGCCAACATAATGAACCAAGCTAGGCTCGAATAACCAGGGACACTAGGCGTCGTTATGCAAGTTTGCAGGGATATCATTGGGGAGAGTTCGAGTTCGTGCAATCGGAGGGAGCGGAAGAAAGACGCTCGGAAAATCGAACCCTGGGATGTTTTCGGAGGAATAGCACAAATGGAGTATTCGGAGGTTATGGCCCAAAACGAAGTCCATCTGCGTTTGCAGAGGTCCCTGGAGTCCTTGTACGGGCTTTTGGTAGCCTGGTATATATGATCGCGGGATGGCCGCCACAGGCCAGGTCAACGACACCAGAAGCTGCTTAGTTACCCCCTTCCATGGTGGCATGCTAGCAAATACCATCGTCAATCTGCAGGGAATCATGGGCTTCTTTAGTTGCGGCCGGTTCTTCGCTCTGATCTCTCTATTGCCGTTTCTTGTGAATGCTATCACAGAGTGCCGGCCGTCTCTCCCACTTCCATATCGGGTACTCCATCAATTCCCAGACCCGACATATCTACAAAGTCTCTACGTTCGATCAAATGGAGACATCCTCCTAACTACCGCCTGGCCAAAGGGGACGATTTACTATGTCTCAGGCCCCACGACGAAGTCACCCAAAGTCACCCAGGTCTACCAGTTCGACCCCGAAGTCGTAAACGTTACAACCAGTATCATCGAAACACGGCCTGACGTCTACGCCTTTTTCGCAGGCCAGCAAGTCCACTTGGGCATCGGTATCAACGGCACTTTTGGTGTCTGGGAGCTCGATCTTCGTCCTACTCGCCGTCGATTGAACCCTGGAAAGGCGATTGTCAAGGAGCTCGTCCATATCCCCAACGGTGGCCTCCTGTCAGGATTGGATGTCGTCCCAGATGATCCCAGCACTCTGTTAGTTGCAGACTCGACTGTCGGGGTGGTATGGCATGTGGACACCGTTGCTCGCAAGTACAAGCTCGGAATTCAAGATCCAGCTATGCCTGGTCCTCCGTGGGCAGCGACACAGTTCGGAATCGATGGACTGCAGTACCACAAGGGATACCTATACTGGACTAACAGCTTCGAGGCAAGAATTTACCGTATCCCCATGACACGGAAAGGTTTCGCGGCGTCTGGAGCGAAGGGAGAGCTGTTTAAAGAGGTCCGCTCATTCTTCCTTGACAACTTCACATTTGGACCAAGGAATAGCGACACGATGTGGGTTGCAACCAATGCAGATAACCGTTTGATCACAGTCTCACCCGATGGTAATGTCACCGTAGTTTTGGGTGAGCCAGACGAACTAACGGTGTCTGGGGTGGTCCAGCCGGCATTCGGGAAGCTCCCTGGTGACACACATACCATGTACGCTATAACATCCGGCGCGTTCAACTTCCCGATCAACGGAACAGTGACAGAAGGCGGAAAACTCATTGCCGTCGATACAAGAGGTTACTGTTAAAGGTCAGGCACATGCAACAATATATGCAGATAATCGCTGGGAGAATAGAAAGCCGAGAAACTTTAAATGATATTCTCGAGTCAGAATTAATAGAGTTCGCTTGATCCTGATACCACCAGAAATAGAAGATACTGTCATGTCCTCATCGTTTCTAAGTAAAGAGGTCATCCTCCTTATACCCCGACACACACGTAGTAGCCAGCCCAGAGATTCAAACAAGCAGGATCAATCTCGGAGTTCCACCTATGAAAATCAGCATCGGAAATGCCATATGCTTCCTCAATCTTGATGCAGTTATCGTTTGGCCGAACATAATGAAATGCCCTACAGCCACGAATCGTTCCTGGCTGTTGACGCTCGGGGCCAGGGCCGGTTGGGATGGGGGTAAGTGTCGTTATTACTGGCGAGGTAGTCGTTGGTATAGGCACCCTCGTCGGTGTGGGAAACGACCATCCGGAAACACCAATACAGTAGTACCATCCCGCATATAGACTTGTACAATCCATACCCACGTCTGGGTTCCATTGTATAAATTGTTCAAGTGTGAAGGAATGGAACTTTTCTTCTGCTATGATCTTGCAGTTGTCATTTGGCTGCGCTTTATACCATTTGACGCAATTCTTAGAGACATTTGGCTGACTTGGCGTCGGGGCATCTTCCGCCCAAAGACCGCCAGTGGGTATTGAGCGAGGAACTGGTTTATTGGAGGTAACTTGCAATCCAACGCAAATGACTCTCCCAGGCCTGAGCCTAGAGCATCTAGTTCCAAGACTATAAAGAGGGCATTAATCAGCAACAGGGTTCTAATAAGACCTCCGAGATGGATGGGGAAATGATAGAACACACTGATTCCAGCGAGACAAATCCTGGGGCGGGATATTATATTGAAGGGCAATCTCTAAGCAAGTTTCTCCTTGGAGTACTTGGTGATAGAGCTTGCACTTGTGCGCGATAGTCGGGTCAAGCTCCGAAACGCCCAAGGAACCTCTTGGGTAAGTTCTAGCTCCCCGCACTGTGGGTTCTCCATACGCGAGGGAGGCAGCAATAAAGGCATAGAGAAGAGTAAGCAAAAGCATGGTTAATACTTGACGAATGTAGTTTGTGCTCTGAGGGTATTAGATTGGAACAATGGAGACCAAGAGGGAATGTAGAGTCCTTTTATCTTGCATTCGAGTTAAGGTATGGTAGACAAGCCGTATACGATATCTTGGGGGTATATTAAGCAAACTTTGCCAAATCGAAAATTTTGTAACCTAGCTTGCTGGGCAATCTAGGGTGGATAAAATCAAAGGCAGTGTAAGTGTCCATTGCAATGTTTGCTAGACACGGGGAACCACTGGAAGCCAAAGGGTAGGTACAGAGTTACAGCATATTAGCCTGGTTGAGACCATCGTAGAATCAAAGTCGAAAGCCAGAAGCGGTAGGCGAACGGGTAAGTGCATCGGGCAGAGTACATGTCGTGGTCCCATGTGTTTGCCCGCGTATGCATCCTTGGCTAGAAGAACTAGACTATCCCAGCCATACAGCAGGGAGCTAGTAATTTTTTTCCAAGCAGACCAGCTAGATTGGGGTCATTCACTGCGGGTGGGCGACGTATTTTCGTGACCTGGTGCTGGAGTACTGGCAGCTTCAACTTGGTGTGTCAACAGTAGGGCAGTCCGCGCAGTCGGCAAACGGGGGCCCTTCTTCTAGGTGTTCTTCAGATTGTATCTCTGTGGTCGCCTCTTCAATGTTTGATAGGACTGGGCGAAACCACATCGCAGCCCCAAAGAAATGGAGAATGAAGAAACGTGTTGATGTCGATAAAAAAACCTATGCGTCTATTTTTGTGGGCCGAGATTATTTCCGAGGGTGAAGCTAAATCCGAGTGGAAGGTTAAGTTCGGCTTTGTGGTAGGACTCGGTATAACGTTGAGCCGGAACAGATTGAGTATATCGCCGAAGATGCATCCCAGAGGTGGCGGAGATATCAGATTGCAGGGATGAAATAACCGGAAGGAACGAGCAATATATAAGAGCCATGGAAAGCTTCAGGCTGATTGAGAGCATGCGCTCCCTTCTGCATGAGTAGCATCTTTTTCCATTCAGTCGCCCCTGAGTTCAAGCAATCATAACCATGGAAGAATCGACTGCTACTTCTGATGTGGGTAGCCTTGAGAAAGCGCTAGATATTGAGATGTCTAGGGAAAATAAGGGCGAGCTCCCAAAGGATGCCATCCCTAGTTTTCCAGAGGGGGGATTCAGGGCATGGTTGACGGTTTCAGGAGCGGCTGCAGCCTTATTTGTTTCATTTGGATGGGTCAACTGCATAGCATTGTTCCAGGCAAACTATGAAATGAACCAGCTCAAGGGGTATCCTAGGTCTACCATCTCGTGGATCACATCAATGGAATGTAGGTGGTAGTAACGTGCGTTTGTTCGTCCCGGTTGTACCATTGCTAACGACCAACGTTTAGTCTTTTTCATGATGTTCATGTCACCGGTAGCAGGGAGCCTGTTCGACAGATATGGTCCGCGGGTACCATTGCTCATTGGAACAGTATTGCATGTTCTGGGCCTCATGATGGCAAGCATCTCGACGAAGTACTATCAGTTTGTGCTTAGCCAATCTGTATGCTCAGGAATCGGGGCTTCTTTTATTTTCAACCCAGCAATGGCTGCAGTATGTATCATTACTTCTGCCAATAGTTGAAGCAAGCTAAATTTTGACCGTTTGTTTTCAGCCTCAAACATACTTCCGAGAGAGGAGGGGCCTCATTGCCGGCCTCACCGTTGCAGGCTCATCCTTAGGTGGGGTAATATTCCCGCTTATGGTTCAGCATCTCCTGCCAGCGGTAGGATTCGGCTGGACCATGCGAATATGCGCCTTTTTAATACTTGGATTGCTCATATATGCTGATTTGACGATCACATCGAATTTCAACCATGGCCCGCGTCCTTTCAAGTTATCAAACTATTTCCTTCCATTGAAGGAGTTAAACTTCAGCATCATGTGGTTTTCCATGTTCTTTTTATTCTGTATATGGTATCATATTTTTCTCTGATGCGAATGGCGGGCTGACTCATTTTATCCAGGGGGGATGTTTATCCCTTTCGATTACATAGTAGTGTCTGCCATCCATTATGGCATGCCGCAAAGGCTAGCCTATTCGCTTGTACCCGTTCTCAATGGTGCCAGGTAAGCATCAATAGAATGTACATATGCCGTTAGTGCTCTTGTTAACTTTGAAAAGTTTTATCGGCCGTACGGTGCCCAACTATATTGGCGATCGCATTGGGCGATTCAACGTCATGATCATAGTGACACTATTCTCAGCTATACTCGTGCTGGCGCTCTGGCTTCCAGGCAGGAGTACGGGTGGCATATTTGCATTTGCAGCTTTATTCGGAATCAGCTCTGGTGCCGGAATAGGACTCGGGTTACCATTGATAGCCGCCGTATCCCCAATGAAGGAGCTCGGGTACCGGATGGGAATGATCGTGTCCATTGCCTCTATCGCCACGCTCACCAGTCCTCCAATCGGTGGAGCAATCGTGGCGCGAGATAGCGGCAGTTTCACGTATCCATGTGTCTTCTCTGGAGTAAGCTTCTTCGTGTCGCTAGTTGGATATACCGCACTGCGAGTCCGGTTAGGAGGCTCAAAACTCAGGGCTAAGATATAAACCCAAGCCATAGCTACTTGTAGCCTTATACGCACTCTCCCCACTCATTCACCGGTCGAAAACACAAAGGATGCAGCGATAGAGAGGATACTGGTCAGAAGTGTGTATATTAGATTTTTAGGAAACATAGAGAGCTTGAACCATACCTGATCCCGAGAGTTACGTACATGACTATCCAAGAGAGGCGAGTAGCGTGTCTCTCAGCAGGTTGTATCCTCATCTTCGTTGCTGTCGTCGCGTTGCTTCAGCTTCTATCTGGATGTTGAGATCAGCCAACATTCGAACCTACTCAGGGGGTAAAAAGATATATCACGTGATTGGGCTGAGGGAAATCTGGACCACAACATCGCGACATCACAACATCACGACATCACAACATCGCGACATCACAACATCGCGACATCACAACATCACGACATCACGACGACCAGCAGAGAATCTTTCTTGTGGCGTTTGGGCTGGCCGTCTGGAGAAACCATGTCTCACTGATAACTATACCAGGCATCTGCAGCAGAAGGTGCGCAATAAATATCGGCCTGTCCAGTTCAACGCCGACCGCCAGTGCAGGACAGGCCAGCAGCTTTGGTCCGTTTAGCCCATCCATTCTCTCGCCCGATATTTCGATATTTGGCAATCGGGTTGATTCGTCGCTTGTTCACCAACTTCCAGTATTGAAGAATAGAGATGTGAAGTCTCTAAGGTCACTGGGCAGTTTTATACAATCCAATTAATATAATAATTGGAACTGAACCACTATAATACCAGATCTCCATACTGGAAATATACCGTCGTGGAAAATGCGCCATCACCAGACCTGAAAAATGATACTCTTCAGTGCATCCATAATAGGCAAAAGTAATATATTACTGATTATTAAATTCACATAGAATGCCGCTCTCCCGCAAGTATATATACCAATATCTATGCACACCCGCATTCAAAAATCAAGGATCAAGGATTTACTCCCTCGATCTTTTTGATCATGAAGTTCATGCAATGTTCGAAGTAGTTCTTGAAGTAACTGCTGTGAACCAATGGGTCAATACCATGATCACAATATATATCGCCATGGTCACAGTATGAGACGCGAACACAATCGTATCTTCTGCAACTTTCATCGTTGAGACGGGGGAACCACTGAGTTGAAGAGTCAGCATATATCCCCACAATTGAACCATGCTCACCTAGCATGGCTTCGAGGGGGGCAAACTTACTCCTTTGCGTTTAGAAGTTCCCACGTTGTACGGCTGGCCAGGATTATGGGTGGGATCTCCCATTCCAACAACGGCAACGACTAAAGACGGTCAGCAGCAGTTTGTTCCAAACATTCGACACAACAGTGTCGTCAATAAATTAAAAGCAAGACTTACTGTTCCTTCCTAGTCTTGGATCGATAGGATCAGTTTTTGGGAAGGTATGCTCAGCCATACCACACATTGTATCACTTAGAACTTGGGCTCCCTATTCGATTGCGATTTCATGTTAGCAGATGTCGCGAATGATGAATGATCCCTGCACAAATTATGAATCTACACACCTGTGAAAATCCCAGAAGGACAATTTTGATCTTTGGGCACGAAGAAACATATCTGGCGACCGTCCTCTTGACGGCCTCAGTACCTTTCCGAACGGACTCGCCATAAGTGGGGAAGAGAGATGCAGGCCAGTCAAGAGGAATGTGCCCGACTCGGTCCTCACCCAGCCTCCGTTGAAGCTCCTCGCCAAAGATGTGCTGGGGTCCTTCGCCTGGTGGCTCACTCGTTCCACGGGCTATGATCGCGAGAACTTCTTTGCACTGCACCCGTCCTGGAATGTTAAAAAAGTCGTCACGTCCGGCATTGCAGACAGATGCCGCAAGGCAAAGAATGAGAGAGACGGCGCGATTCCACTTCATGTCTGCAGCTGTGACTGCTTTGCCTCGGGTGCTTGAAGAGGCGTTGATCGAAATGAATTTGGAATCTGTGCAACAGGTTCTCTCTTGCCAGCACCGGGGGCAGCAGGGGGCATTTATATCTTAAGCACTCAACTAGCTTTACCAGGGGAGCAATCCCTGCCCGGTTGGAGGAGGAGAAACAGGACATCCACTTGGGCGAATGCTACAGCTTGAACCGTTGAGTCCTCGAGACATTCCCGCCAGTTTCCTCAGTATACACTTTTCTTTGGGCCAGCTCTGCATCCCCAGGGGTTAACTAACTCCTCTCACCCGATTGGATTACAGTTTTTTTCTTTTTTACTGTTCCTGCATTGTTCCTGGCAGCAGCAGATCACCGTCACTACCGTGGCGGGGACCCATGTGGAACTAGGGTCTTGCAGGGTGTTTATACCCAGTAGTAGTGGCTACCAAGTGCATCTGGGCTCTATTTAGTTTGCATACAACCAGAGATCAGATGCATATCAACTGAATATGGTCTAAGCTCTGCCGTCAATCATTGGCGATCATAACGTGAGCCCACAGCTGGCTAGGTGATAGCATAAACTAAGCTCGGAAATATCTGACTTCTTGGGATGGCCCCGATTCATACGGCTATGGAGGAATATCTATAACTGCAGAAGTCCCAAGACCTCGGCACAGTCTAAAACCCCACTGGGAAGTTCAAATACAAAATACGTCTTCTAAGAAAACACTCGCCTATAAGCAAGATCTGGGTGTCTTTGACTGCTCTCAGGGACAGCTTGATGCCGGTGGTTTGGAGTGGATTATGCTAGCAAACGGTAAGTTAAACACCATATCACGAGGAACTGGGTCTTGTTAACTACCGGAGATTAGTCCCCGCGGTACGGAGTACACCAGGAGACTATATACTGCATCTTCTTAGTAGAAATTAAGCTCCCGGCTTCTGGGCTTTTTCTTCTTCTTCTCCCCAGATAGCAGTATTGTTTAGGGAGCAGCCTATGTTTGTCTCTCATAGGAAGCATGCTTGGTGTTATGAGGTTGATTATGATGAAGATCGCCTTGTTGATCGTTTCTCCACGGAAAATGAACACTCAGCAAAGAATTAGTTTGCTATCGAGTTTCCTAGCCCACACTACGAACCTGTATGCTCAAGAGCAGGCAAAGGAGTGGAAGACTGCATTTGAAACGCGGTAGGTAGGGAACGTATATATACTTGCCACTAACCCGAAGCTCAACGTCCTCCCTGTTTGGGTGAAGTGTGTCTACAGCGATTGATCCTATAGCTTTTGTTTGTATCTACAATCCGCATGAAAGGGCCGATCTGCTCCGTACATCCTCCCTAGGCACTTTTCCGGTAGAACGGAGAGAGAGAACGGAGAGGGCAGAGGATGAGCCCACGAGTTTCCAAGCTAATATATTTCTGGCTAGCACTATGCCGAGTCAACCTGTCTTTCCTTGTTCTTATATCTCTTTTATACCTGACTCCCTCGATCACTGCCTGTTCCTCTCCTTCCTGACTGGCAACAGAGTCAGGGGCCAAGATGGAGAAACCGAAAAGGAGATTTGCTGACCCTAAAGGAGGTATATAATAACATGTATAGTAAGAGTCACTAAAGGGGGCGGGTAAAAATATACTCCCTGTTTGGCTTCTAGAAGAAGGTACTCCGGAGACCATGAGGCTAACCTCCGAGTAGAAACTGCTGTCTATTTACGATACTCAAGATATCAGTTATATCTGGATTGCCTGAAATACATACTTCTACTCGGAGAAGTTGCCGTAAATGTGATAGGTAGAGATATGACGTTCCAAATTTTCATCCCAAGTGTGAGGATGCAGTTTTATCCCTACAGGGCCGGAAAATATTTACAATACACCGAACGCCCGAGGGAGTGGGGGCAAAACAGTGGCCATGCCAGGGGCAGATCGATGTTTTAAAGACCGAGAAAAAGAGGGCTCGGAATCGCACTCTCAACCACCGACTATTTAAACAGTCCACAATATGAGCAGACGTGTTGAATCTAGGAATCAGCCCACAGTTAGCCAGCCAGACAAAAGAAGGCGCTGTTTTTGTTCTTCTCGTTCATGTTTTTATCTTCTTTTAGAAAGCTTTTTTCATCCACCAAAACGAAAAAGCCCCAGGACGACATCACGTGAAAATTACATAACATATTCATTACATAATCATAATTCACGTGATGGACATCCTAACGGAAATAGGCAAGGCCTGTAAACGTCGAAGCTTCGTTTTCTTGAGGAGTTGGCCTGTTCACGAAGAGCTTGCTGGGCCAACCTGCGTTATTGTCGGGCTGCAAGATGAATAACGAACAGTTTCGGAGGCTACTTTTTGATAACAAAACGGGTTCCTCCGGGCCCGGCAGATATTACGGCGAAAAAAGCCTCATCCGGTGACAATGCTGCTGCTAAAGGAAGAAGCGGTGCGCTTGGGTCAAGGATGCGATCCAGCATTCCAATGACACCGTAAGTTCCTCCAATTTTTTTTTTTTCTTTGCAAGGCCTTTGTACATTTCATACTAAGTAGATTGTCTGATATTAGACGTGCGGTTTCAGGCGTAGATTTTGCTCGCCAGCTAGCGGAACACAGACGCGACTCTCAGGACCAGCCGCCGTCAAAGAAATTCAAATCATCTACTGGCCCAAAAGGGTTCAAATACGCACCGGGATATGAAGACAGGGCATCACTACGACGGAGAAATGATGGCAAGGAGACAGATGACCGGGAGGAGCGAGTTCGTGGGCTAGAAGAGATGTTGAAGCTTGGGCAGATTGACCAGTCTACGTTTGACAAACTAGGAGCCGAGATTGGGGCGGGCGGTGATATCTCTAGTACTCACTTAATCAAGGGACTTGACTGGCAGTTATTGAAGAGGGTTAAAGCAGGTGAAGACATCACTGCCAAGAGCCAGGATCCAACACTTGAGACACCGAACGATGACGACGAGTTCGAACGCATCCTGGAGGAGAAGGAGAAGGACAAAGTCGAGAGCGTCGAGATAAGGGGCAAAGAGAAGAAGAAAGGCAATCTGGCGCCTTTAGCACAAGTGGGAAGCAAGAAGATGACACGCGATGAGATCTTGAAGCAGCTCAAAGCCAGCCGCTTAGCTCAATCGGCGCAACCGGAACCCTCACTTGGAAGCAAATTCAAGAAGATCGGCTCTACAGAAAGTAAGAAGAAACGGTGGGTTGAGACGGATGCAAGTGGGAGACGAAAGGAAATACTGGTCATAACGGACGCAGACGGGAAGACAAAGAGAAAGATAAGATGGCTGGACAAGCAGGATGCTGCCGGTGCTCACCTTTTGTCTGTGGACAAGAACGCGAAGCCGCTTGGAATGGATGTTCCTGCAGAGGTTTTGGCGAGGATAAAGCCTACTGACGCTTTGGAGGCTGAGGATGATGAGGATATATTCGCCGGGGTTGGAGATGACTACAACCCCTTAGCAAATGCTGCTGAAGATGAGAGTACATCTTCAGAGGAGGAGAGTGACAAAAAGGACGCTTCACCACCAAAGGAACTCCCTTCTGGATCTGCTGTGGGAATACACGACCAAAACAAACCCTCTTCAACACTGCGGCGTGACTATTTCGCTACCGGTAAAGCCAAACAGCAACGAGAACCGTCTGAGCAGGAGTCTACCGACCGTTCCAATCCGCTCATGTCCGATCCTACCATAAGAGAAGCATTGAGGAAGGCCGCGACAATCAGAACACAAGAACCGATATCTGACGACGACACCAATGACGTGGATAAAAGGTCTGCTGAAAAACAGAAATCGTTTCTCGAGGAAGCTAAACGCCGGGAGATGGAAGATGCTCTGGATATGGATATGGGTTTCGGTGATAGTAGATTTGGCGAAGACGATGAGGAGGAGTTTCTTCCGCGTGGCTCTAGCCAGAACAAGAGGAAACGCGGTCCGAAGAAGAAAAAGGGAGACAAGAACAATGTTAGTGATGTGTTAAGTATTTTACAGGGAAGAGGGAATGGTTGAGTACGCTGAAAGGGATAACGGGATTGAATTCTGTGCAACCTTCACTAGGCCCGAGATAACCGCCCGAGCCTCCCACCTTTCTCACTTTACTGGGGCTCCCCCCTTCGGCGATACGCCACCCATTCCGAAACCCCATACTCCGTACTTATGCATCAATTGCGATGTCTAGTTTGCCGTATTACGGGAAGGCCTTACTTTCTGCAGACTGCTGGCACTTCTACTAAATGACGACAAGAGAGAGTAGTGTGTATGGAATCCAGTAACTACCTCTAGAAGAAAGGCAATGACAGGCGAGCCGTCGCCGATATATATACTAATCAGGTAAGGTTTTCCATGAGGACATGATTGGCATAGGTGCTGTCCGATCTCTGTTGATTGACAACACCGTCATGACGGGTACGTCCCATCGCAATCGAAGATCTGGTACTTGTCATGAACCAATTTATGCATGCAAGGGTCATTCGACTCCCTCAGTCGAGGGTTGACAGTCACCTCCCCCCGCGTTTCCCATACTCAACTTCCATCGGCGGATCCTGTCAGTTTCATGTGCCCCAAACTCTTACGTGGCTCGCTCCTTTTCCAACCTTTCTTTAGGCAGTCATGTGATATGGCGACAGATTAGGGTTTACGCTTATGTAACAAATCCAGCAAGCCTTGGCATTGACCGCAGCTTATTTTGTCGTCGATATCAAAATGTTCCGGCATCAAAGGGGGCTCCAGGAAGCAGTGCGGGCCACGATGGCTTCAAAAATGGCTTTTTTTGGCATGAAAGCAAACGGTAGACGGCTTTCTTTGATCAGAATTTTTGCCGATAAATGGTGGCCCAGGCTATTGAGCGCTTTGTCATCTCCATCTGGGGCTGAATCCATGGAACCTGGTTGGCAACCATTAAATCAAAAAAAGAAAAATTTGCCTCCAATCTTTAACGCCATCCTCTCTGGCTCGCAGATGGTCTTATGCATGTTCCAGGAACAAACCAATGAACTGCCATTCCCTGGGTGAATCCAATCCATACCAAAACGCCTTCCCTTGGGTTGTGCCCTTCAGGTACAACCCTTTTTTATACGGGATTACGTGGGCATGAGAAAAAAAAAAAAAAAAAATTTTTTTTTGACTCCCCGAACAAGCGATCGTTACGATTTTGAGAAAGGGATTTCTATCCCTTTCCAGTCTCCTGTCTCTGTGATGCCACATGTCTGTCGCATCGACCATCGATTTTACCCCCATTTCTTTTTGTACCAATGTGCCACGGCCACCTGTCTCCCGGTAAGGCACAAGGCTGGACACGCAGGTTTTCCGAGCGATCCAGCAGGATTTCCGAGAGCCCGACTTGTTTGGTGAAACGTTATGCAAACATGCTGCAGGTTATCACAGAAACATTCCAGACAGCTTGTCGGGTGAGGAGGGGAAAGATGTACCTGTTCGTCCAGGAGAACGTTTCCGACTTAAATTAGAGCGATCGAGACCAGTGGATTCGGCTCACTGAACAGAGGACAACTCCATACTACTCCGTACTTTTTGGCGGTACGCCCACAATAGTTATGGGGCAGCCAAGTCGTTCTTGTGAAAAGCCTCCATGTGTAGTGGTCTAGATGCAGTCAGAGGAGCGCTGAATCTCCTCTGGCGCTCCACACCTACATTATCGAGCCATGTCACGATAGGCGCCCTCTGTGCCATCCAATAGCAGCCTGGCAGGAGAAAGAAAAATAAATTCAGGGCAGAAAGTTTACTTTGGCGGTGGTACCTGAAAAAGGGTGACATCCCTCAGGATGTGGGAGTATATATTCCTTCATTCGCCCTCCCAGACTTTTTTTTCTCCTTGTACCTCCCAACTTTCTTTAACATACCAGACTTCACTCCTTCAAGTCTCTCAGTCATTCCTTACTACGCTTCCGCGAAGCGTGCCAATCACTACCTTGCCGTCATTTACAGTCATTCATTCATATCAATCCACCGCTAGAAATTCCTTGCGCAAGCATCTGTCGATTACAACCTTAAATCACGAAAATGGTCTCCTTCAACGCTCTTTTCGTTGCTGCCGCATTGGCTAGCTCTGTCATCGGTGCTCCCGTCCAAGGAGCCAATGGAGGCAAGCGTGGTATGGCCTACAACGATCCTCAGGCCGTTGCTGCCTTCAAGGGAACTCGTGCCTCCGCCTGGGCCTACAACTGGGGCTCCAACTCCAACAACATTGGTAACGGCATCGACTATGCCCCCATGCTCTGGGGACAAAAGTTCTTCAACGACTGGACGAAATCCACCCCTTCGATCCTCTCCACTGGCTGCAAATATGTCCTCAGCTTCAACGAGCCTGATATCCCCTCCCAGGCAAACATGTCTCCTCAGGATGCTATCCAGGCACACAAGCAATACATGAAACCCTTTGTTGGAAAAGCCTCTATCGGTTCCCCTGCAGTCTCTAACGGTGGTGGCGAGATGGGTCTCAGCTGGCTGGGCAAGTTCCTCGACGGCTGCGCTGGACAATGCAACATTGACTTCCTTAACGTCCACTGGTACGACTCCGCTCAGAACGTCGACGCTTTCAAGAAGCACATCACCGATTCCATCAACTTGGCCCACAAATTCAACATCGACAAGGTCTGGCTCACTGAATTCCGCGGAGACGGTGACGAGAACTCTCAGGTTCAGTTCTTGCACCAAGTTCTTCCATGGCTTGACAACAACCCTGGTGTTGCCCGTTACTCCTACTTCATGGCCGACGACCTCGTTAAGGGTGGCCAACTCACTTCTGTCGGCCAGGCCTACGCTTCTTAAAAGATTTTGAACTGGCTTTTTTGTTCATATTTGGAAAGGAGTTTTGTATCTAGTTGTCAATTTTGCTCTTTCTTGCCTGACCAATAAAAATTGTTTGGGCATTCACTCGTTCATGACATTTTGGCGTTTTGGTTAAAATATGTATCTAAGCTGGATCGTTTGATACGACAACTTGGTACAGAAATACAGTACATACCTACGAATGTTTCTACCATTCGTCTCTTCAGCTTCCGCGGAGCCAATGAAAGCACCCCTGGCCATCAATTGATGGTTAGGATGCAGAGAACTCGTATTTTTATATTTTTCAGATATATATCGTGAATGGCTGCGGTCTATCTTGGCTAACTAGTTGGCCTCTTAGCCGGTTGTTTATTAAATGTTCTCGGCCCTGGGGTTACAGGGGTGAGGCCTGGGCTGTGGGCGCAAGACGTCCTTGTTTCTCCTGAAAACCCACTTTTTGAAGGGTCCTTGCTGTTGTTAAGTTTAACTTTCGATGTCCTTCTCACCTCAGCAAGCAGGGCATACCAACTAATCCCGTCTCTCTGCGTCAACCCAAGACTGCGCTGGAGGGTCAAAGAGGGAGGCTAGCCGAGACATCCGGATTGCCAATACGGTCGACAAAGCCCGTTACTTGGACCTGGCTGAACACATCCACTTGCTCGTGATTCTGAAGGCGCGACGCAGTTTGGATCATGATTTCTTTGGTGCCGTGCTATTAGTTAAGCCACAGAGCTGGAGTGTTCTCCGTACCAGGTATGGAGTCCCTCGCTTCACTGAATGCAAGTGACTGTTTCTGACCAGGGTTGGATAACGGCCCTAGCAAACGAATGGCCAACTTGCAAAGCTGGTGGTTATTATATAGGTCAACTATCAATATCGACAATAACAGGGGCAGCATAGCGACCAGACAGCTTGCAAAGCAAAAGATAAGTCCCAACCGCGCCACAGACCACGACTGAAACCGACAGAGAGAGAGAGGCCCATTCGCTGAGTCGTTGAAGACCAGTAGATGGTACCAAAGGTCCCTAGATACCCCCACATTTTTAGTATCCGGCGTTTGCATAGTTGTCTCGTTATTATCGCCTTCATCAGCTTTGTCGGAATTACTGCTGGACAGCGGATCAGTACCTTCTCCCCAAAGACTCAGCTTCCAGCTCATAAATGTCCCGGACAAATCATTCATCATAGTATCTTTTACCACTATCGTCCAGTTGCCAATGCCGGTTTCACCCCTGGGAACGGTTAATGTTACCTAGCCCTGCTCCACGACGCTGAATGCGTACTCTGAAAGCAACATACCAATGTGCAACAGACATAAACGCCCAGCCCCCATAGCCCGAGTCTCATTACCATTACGTCGAGTGGTGCTTAAATTCGGGGCTATGCAACTCGATACTAAGATCACCTTGGCGAGTATGGTTGATGTTAGTGGTAATGGTGACATGCTCTAGTCTTTCAAATGCAGATACTATCGGTGGTTTCACTTCAAAAATACTGGAGAGACCTTTTGCCCCTTGTGGAATATTCTTGTTTACTCTCACCCATGGAGAGTGTACGATGTCTGGGGCTTTACCAGTTTCCAGCTCCTAGCCGTCTAGACCAAACTGTAGGAGTCGACCTTGCCATGCCCGTAGTTGTGGCTAAACGGTTTCCTAAGCTTCGTCATCTGCCAGTCATCTTCTTCCTCGTTGACGGGTACTGCCATTGCATACAGAAGATACTGAATATCTCGCCATGTGAGCTCCAATCTTACACTTAGAGCAAGAGCAATGGCGCCGGCAACCAACGGCGCAGCTGCGGACGTGCCCCCATGGCCAGCAACACAGTTTTGGACTCCGACATCAGTCGTATAGATACTATCTGCTCCCTCACTTTGGTAGCCAGCGCTCGCGTATGCAACAACAGATAAAGCAGAACATGGTTCGGATTATTCTGGATGGTTCCCTTCCCGATCGATAGCGCCGACTGCAATCGTATGAATGCTATTTGCGTAGCCGTCGAAATTATAGTCATCATCGAGATATCCCCCATTACCAACAGAAACAACGAATATCGAACCCTTACCCTGCCTGCCATTTGTCACGCCGTTTTCTAGGGCACGCTTAACCAGTGTTCCTGATCCTCCAATTACCCTGCCATTGTCAGGAGAACCCCATGAGCAAGAGTAGATATCATTCGATTGATATTGATAATTGATGGCAGCAGCCTCGTCACTTTCATCTATTTGCCCAGACAACAGACGAATCCCTGATATCTTTCCATCGTATGCCATTCCAAGCCCACAAATTCCATTTATTCCTGGAGCGATCTCCCCTACGCATCGGGTTCCATGAGTCTGGTTTACATGTTTTGGGTCAGGCTCCTTTGAATTCTCGACAAAATTATAGGACCCAGCAGGGAAATAGTTTTTCTTCAGATCGTTGCTGTGGAAGTCCAAGCCATCGTCGATAACGGCAGTGACAGTCCCTTTTCCAGTCACCCCTTCTAACCAAGCGCCAGTAACGTTCATGTCCTGCGTAAGCTGAACTGTATTGAACAAGTGCCACTGTGAGTTGAACAAAGGATCGGTGATTCCCAGCGTCGACGAGATCCTACTTCGGGTCTGAACCGCAGCCGCATCCTCAACCCAGCCTGTAATATTTAGATGCGCCACTCGCGGTCGATGGATCCGTTTATGCCGTAGCTGGGCCCCTGGGGTTAAAATTTGGGACCAAAGCACACCATTGATACAGTTGATGTGACCAAATGGCCCCGAAATTGCCGGCAGACAAGCGCCGGCTTGCCCAGTTTTTGACTTCGCCACAGAAAAATTATGATGGTCCGTCAATTCTCCGATTTGGCCTTCGTACCGTGCTCCGAGATGGGTTGCAACTTTTTCGGGAGACACGATGGACAAGTTGAGTTGTACGGCAAAGAAATCATGAGTTTGATGAGTTCTTGGGTATTCATCTGTTACTGCCAATGTACCAAGTGTACATGCTGCTAGGATGGATAACCATCGCTCGGAGATCATTCTTCTAATGAAATGTTGAACAGCTTGGGCACGGCTTTAGGTGTCTAAACAGTTTTCGCGGCGATTTCAACCACATCATCTATTCTCACCCTAATTATTCTTCCGTGCGGAGGTCCATGGCAATGGATGCATACCCAATAACCCCGAATGACCAGTTTGATGCTGAACGGAGAAAGCCCAGATAATGCCCATGTTCACAGCTTAGGGTAGCCAATCATTTGCCAATATTGTTACTCGCATCCGAACCGCCCGGCTACATGATGCGGATATCCAGCCCATCATTTTGATAATATCCCCCTTATTCTCGTACCCGCTGCCGGCTCACCGCATTCCTATCTCTGACGTTTTTTAAGATAACAATCGATGCTGGGGTACAGGATATGCTGCGAACACCCGAGTCAAAGCGGGGCGGGCGTTGACAATAGATCTGGCAGAATGGTTTTGAGAGGACAACTCCATAAGTTTATGTATATGCTTTGCATTTTACTAGAGATTGTCAAGGGGGTACTAATAGGAATTATCAATCCAATTATAACGAGTGAAGTCACCGCTGTTACTGGGCACCGCATTCATCAACGCAACCAGCCGAAGTTCAAACCTCCACTTTGATCACTCCGTATGGCACTTCAAGTCACTTCAATACCCTTGAAAAACACAGTTAGCCGCTACCAGCTGCTCTCTAGATAATTAATGGAGTACGCACCAATTCGTGGAGCAACTAGGTCGACCCCTTCGGCGCTAGTGACCTGAGTTGGATTCAAGGCAAGCTCGGGGTATGACGGTGCCCTCTTTTCTATAGAGCATCAGTCAAATGCTCAAACAGTAGGTAAAACAAATACTAACCGCCAGTAATAGGGGCAGCGATGGCAACGCTTGCCAGTGCACAGGCAACGACTAGAGAAAGCTTCATACTGGCGGTTGGTTAGAACTTCGGATGTGAGCAGAATAACTTATTATATGTTCTCAAGTATGAGTAATTGCGGATCGAAAGCACTTTAGATTTAGGTGATAGCTATCGAGGGATGTTGTTATAGTTATCATATTTCTACTGGTACGCTGTCTTCAATGCTCTGCCAATTCAAGTTACATCTATTAACTCTCGCATCAAACCCCTGTCACACGTCTTCCAAGTCAACATCACATGCTAATAGTACTTCTCCTATGTTTTCCATAGGGTTCAATTGGACGTCGGGTAACTACCATGGGCATTGAACTTTCAATCCGTATTTGTCCTCATCTATCTATTCATTGACACATGACGGTAGAATATCAATTACATGCCGTAATCCCTGCTATAAAGCAAGCTAGATTTTCAACGTGTCTACATAATTATGCATCTGCATCTTTATACCCTGGCTAGAAACACCTCATTCTAGGATTATGGTCTTTAATGTGCCGTCGGTTATCTGAATATGGGATATGACAGCACCATATGCAGGCGATAGTATCTGAGGTCGGTATCCATGGTGTCATTCATCCCCTGCCGAAAAGAAGAGGCAGTAGGAATCATGCCTTCACGCTCCGCTGCAGGTATGCACTAATTATTTGCGAGGCTGCAATGCAACCTCACAGTAACCCGCACGCGAGAGAGATATATCCGACGTTCGTCATTCTCAGTATTTTATTGCCTTTGTGTAGATATGAGATTGAACAACCTAGGAACTCAAAGAACCGTTTGACACAAAAATTATTTCTTCAATATTTTATCTCCATCATTGAGCAGACCTTTGTGAATATGTTTAGCTTTAAATGGATGTCTGCAAAAATACCCTATTTGAATCGAGGGGAAGAGTATACGTCTCTTCGGAATGGAACTTCTTCACCTAGTGATGAGTGCGAAGTTGAAGACAAGATTCCATTATATTTAGGGACAATTCCACCCAACGCAAAAATCTGGTCGGCTCTGGAGATTTTCTGTTATATTACTTCTTCTTGTCACAAATGTGACTACATTTGCCGCTCTCTTTTTCACACGACATCTTACTAGTCAAGTCGAGGCAGCTGAGCCGGTTCATACGCCAAATTCATGGGGTATGCTCTCGAACAAGGCCAGGAAACCTGACCAGACCCATACGTTTGTTGCTCAAACTAATCTCTCTGAAAAGCACGTATTGACACTCTACCGTCCAAACTCACCCGCTTTAACTGGTGGACCGAGTACAGTGATAAGAATTTCACAGAAAACGATGCTGTTTGGGATTCAATGAATACAGCCCACGGGCTTCATTGCTGTGGACCGCAAATGGGCCAAGGAGCGACACTGGCCTGACAGTATGCATTTACCTTCAGATGACAGCAAAAACGTTTACCTTCTGGAAGCATACCATCTTCTACATTGCGTTGTGAGGCTACATCTACGCCCCTAAAATCATTGAAATTCACAGCTGACTCAATTTCAGGCTGTTAGACGCCGGACTTTCTGGGAAGCTGTCAACCGAGCTGATGAATATACGTTCAATCCGCCACACTCTGCCCACTGTATCGATACCTTACGCCAATATGTCATTTGTAAAGCTGATTCTACACCAACGTATCTATACGGTGACGACACCGCAGGGGACGAGCAGTATCGCAAATGTCAGGACTGGAATTCCCTAAGACAATTTGCTACGGACCACTCTGCCTGCTACATGGATACTCCGCGGGTTGCAGACCCAGACACCTTCCCCTTTGGAGCGCACTTCGGGCATTGCGATGATGGAACTGACGGGGTTGTGGAAGGCGAAAGGAGGGGTAACTGGAAGCATGGAGCCGTATGGGACGGCCCAGATGCATAATGTATGCATATACTCCGTATAATTTTACTGAATACCAACAAAAATGCTGTGTGCAGTAGTAGTAACATTGGGGTTCAGCAAGAAGATAGGGTCAATGTTTGATTAAAAAAAAGAGTTTGCGGGTGGTACCGCCCCGCTTCCGTCCCGTGTTTGTTCCAAGGCGCTGGGATTGCTTGGCGCGCCACTTGATTCAATGAGCTAACTTTGGATGTGCATTTTGAGTGTCATGATGCAAGTTATGCAACACAAACCATGGGCAAATTGTTGGTAAAGCGTTACGCAGTCTAATCGGCCAACCCCTGCACTGTGGAGGTTAGTGAGCTACGCTATATTTGTCTGGTCATATAGCCGGCCAACCCGTACAGCAGGCCCATATATAAACAAGTCATTACATATCAAAGCATTCCAAGCAAGAATCGTGCAGTTGGACAGAATCACAATCAGTCAGTACATCTCGGGCTACCAGGAAAGCTATCAGAATGAATGCCTGGAAACGGATAACCCGGATCAAAAAGTGCGGGGAAACGGTTGCTTGCTAACTCCGTTCCGAATATCCGATAGATAAGATATGCTGTGTTCGAGGGAACACCCCTTTGTCAATCGTCCTCTATGGTTCACCTCTTCAGCGTAAAACAGAATAAACACGGAAAAGAGCACCACTAACACAGAGGTGGAGATCTCTCGCGCATCGCTTTCAGACTTAGAAGATGCTCCCCTCGCACCTGAACTACACAATTTCGCGCCAAGAAGAGCACGGCAGCGATCGAAACTACGATGGCTATCGAACGAGAGCCCAATATGGAAATGGTACTCATTTGTGACGACCGTTTGTACTTTTACATTCATAGGGGTAATGGCATACGTTAAAAGAGATGCTGGCTTAGTTGTGAACCAACGGAGGCTACGATGACAATACCACGATACCCACACCCAGCCGAGGCCTGGAATCAAGGAAATTTAATCACTAGAAGATACTATCGAGATACGCGATATATGACCTTGGATAAATCAATGGACTATCTTTCACAAGATCAAGTTCACATGGCAAGTGGAAATATCAGGCTTCCAGATGGCAAGGGAAACATTACGTTAAAGAGTATTAGCATGTAAGTCGTGCTATTTTGTTCTGCTCCCTCTAGTTATATATATTAACCCGCACGCAGGTACCATCAGTTGCATTGTCTCGCTAAGATGCGTCTTACTTTGCAACAAGCTCGAGAAGGGGTGGATATTGGAGTTGGCTGGAGAGACGATGCACACTGGCCTCATTGCTTTGACTATTTACATTCGGTATGGAACCCATCACACGTTAAAAATTATAATTTAAGGTACACACAATACTTACTTATATAGTCTATTTTGTGTTTTGCGGATGGAACGCTAGAGAGTGTTAGCCTGCAGCCAGGCCCTACTGTGGGAACGGCTGTCAGGGTAATTGACGCCAGCCTAGAGACCAGACATTGTAGAGACTCGAAGCCGCTAGAAGAGCTAGTACGCCATTATGGGCCCAACTCCCACTATGGCGAGTCGGGAGATCTTTTTGAGGTCCCTGATGGATCGTAACAGTCTGGTCCTCGTTGTGGGATGACCATTTAATCCGGTCAATAATTCATTCATTCTTAAGTAACTAGCTAAGTCTGTTTCAATGCTACTGAGTAAACGTGGTTCCGATCTATCCAGCCTGGAGCAGGGCTCTTCTAGTCAGCTTGTTAAACCAACTCCTAAGTTAGTAGCCAACAATATAACCTTTACTTAACATTCTATCCCCTGTTTAATATCAATGAGTCATTGTGAGAAGAGTTTTACCGAGCGGGGAAAGTCTCCTCTCATAGTAATTATTAGAGCATAGCTTTTCAGGATATCAACGACTCCGAGCTGCCTATAGTCAGCAATAAGTTATGTTTAACTACTGAAATAGATCATTTTCCATTCACAGTGTCTAAATCTCGGATCGTCCAGCTTGCCCAGCTTATCAGCTCTGGAATAACCGTCATAGATACACATCTTGGTGACAATGGTCTTTCCACGCCATCGTTCAATCCAGACAGTCCTGTTCAGGTGGTCACACAAGAAGATATGGTGAGAGTAAAGTACGAAGTGCTTGGGGCCACCATCGAACTTCGGCAGCTTCTTGAAGGGCCTATGAAACTTCTTCCAGAGGTTAGTATATTCGATTATCTCTTCAGAACACGATTCCTCTCGATATTAGAGCTAAATCCAATCTACAGTCAAATTTCGCACCCTTGGCTGCTGTCTATAACTTCGACATTGCTTCAAAAGTCCCTATTGACGTAACAATCTCCTTTGCTGATCTATTCTCGAACGTGATGTCAAACGTATCGTTCGCTACACGGCTGTACATCACCGCGTCTTTTCAGAACCTCAGAAGGGCTATGTAGCGCACACAGCAGCGTCAAAAATGCTCGCTGAGAACCAGGTAGCGCGGGACTTGATGGGCCTTACGTTCCAAGAATGCTGGCCAGCGCATAGTCGGGCCGTCGAGGCCATGGCACACAAGAGCGAGGATGCCGGCGTTTCCGGCTACGCCCTAGCCAATAACTTCGCTAATTCTTCTATGACTACCTTTGATTTTCTCTCTAAGAATGCGGACCGCGCTCAGCGGTTTGCTCGTGCAATGGGCTCAACTTCAGCGGGTAGTCTGGCTGCGCTGAGCAACTATTTTGATTGGGCTAATGTGCCTCAAGGGGGTAAAGTTGTCCATTGGGGGTTCTCGAGGCCATATTAGCACCTATCTCGCGCGAAAATATCAACATCTCCTGTTCGTGGTTCAGAACCTGCCAAATGTAATTGAAGGTGCTGCAGCTGGGAATTGGCAAGATGTGGAGGACAGAATCTAGTTCATGCCACACGACATGTTCTCCGAACAGCCAGTCAAGGATGTAGATGTCTACTTTCTGCGGTTCGTCCTTCATGACTGGTAGGATTCGCTTTGTGTTAAAATACTACGGAATATAGTCCCATCTCTGAAGAAGGGGGCCATGATCGTCATCCAGGACCACCTTCTACTAGATCCAGGTACCATGACGTTATTGCAGGAAATGCAAGTTCGGTAAGCATTTTGTTCCCCCTTTCTGTCGCGAGAATAGTCCTAATTCGATGCCTTAGGTCTATGGATGCTATAATGCTTTCTCTGTTCAACTCTAGAGAGCGTGATGAGGACGACTGGAGACAGCTTTTTTTAAATGCAAGCACTGGATTTACGTTCATAACGATCAAACGGATTCCTGAAAGTCCGACGACCGCTATGATTACTGCTGAATGGTCAGGTAATGGCCCTATCGCAGGGTAGATAAAAGTTTATTATCAAGATGCAGAGATTTTGTATGGAGTAGTTATTGTCTACTATTTTTGACCTTCTCCGTGAGGCTATAATCAACGGAGAAGCGTCATCTCATCCGGTTTTGTGTGGATTATGCACGGTGGTATACACTGTGCGCAAGGTAGTACCTATAAATAAACGGCCAGGCTGTCAGCAATTACTTGCTCAGCCCGGGGGGCCCCTGACTCTTGCAGATCATAAGCCTGTTCTAACTAACTAGTCATGATTTATATAACGCAGAGTAGTGAGGTAACTTTTTTCCTCGTTAAACAGCCTGAAAGGAATGTATGAGAACTTCGCCCCCTTGCTAGGAGTAGAATTGAGCCGCATCCATGAAGACAAGGGATTTGAAAAGAAGCCTCGCTGTGTATAATTTTATATTTCATTCAGCCCCCTAAGGCTAGACCAATTAATAACAATGTTAAACCAAGACTGAACCGTAATTCCAGGTTATTGGAAAATGAATATATGAATAAAGAGAAATCTCATCTTTTCTATTCATAACTTTTCAAGTAACTGCGAAATTAACCATTAATCATAACCGTTAGGCATAGTGCAATGAAAAATAAGAACAAAGATATAACAAATGAAAAACATGATACAATCTGATGATGCAACGGGGCGCGTCAAAGTAAAAAGAACAGGTAGCTAGGAGATGGAGCCTGAAAAGCCAGCTGACAGGCCAAGGGAGTGGTATGAAAGTAGGTTGACTTAAGACCCAGATTTATTTAATGCTGCGTAATGCAGGGAAATACGTTGTGCTGATATCATTTTGCCGAGTTAGGCAGATTTCAATGGTAACCACTATATCCGTATGTCGCAAGTGCGTTTTGGCCTTGTAGTGGCATGCCTGTCACGCTGTAGCCCCATTGATCTCTGTGAGAGAAACCGCCGAGATCACCATCGCTAGGTGCTGTTGAGCTTGGTGATGTGGGATATGCCATCCACATGTCTTCGGTAGTATTGCTTGAGATACCGGCATCCATGTGGGGTATCTGAATAGCGTTGGCTTCGTACTGTGGTCCGAGGCTCGAAGTATAACATGGCGCGTCGTATTCAGTCAGTGATACCTCCTCTTGTTTCAGGAATCCAGCGTATGGACGGGCAATTGGGTCGGGCGTCGTGACCCCTTTTCCAACAAACCCATAGTCCGTGGCTGGTGACATAGTGGGCTTGAACTCAAGTTCTCCATAAAACGAGTCCATAAAGTAATCATCTGGTTCTGGTTTAATATAGGTCTCAGCCTCGCAGTGAGTTTTGCGAGATTTTTTTGACCCAGTATGGCTACTGGGGGTTCTTAGTGTGCTCATTGAGGTTGAATGATAGCTCGAAGTGATATCCATTACGTTCTGGGTCCTCTTTCCAACAGCCGCAAGATTCCTTTCATGGCGGCGCATAAGAATTGAATATCTATATTGAAGTTAGTTATGATATAATAAATTCGATCTAGGGAATGATAATGTATTGGCACTTACTGGTTCTTCAGGGCATTTGGAGATCGCAGAGGGAAGTATTGGTTACGGATATCCAGCCAACGACGGCCGTGTTGCTGCACTGCGCAGAGTAGACGTTCATTCTGGAATACCTTATATATCAGCATAGTGTTTTCCATTACAGTTGGTGTATAGTTGTCGTACCTCCTCTGCTGTCCACTCAGAGCGATCAAGGGTAGGATCCAGGAAATGCTGCCACCGTTTTGCACATTCTAACACTTAGTTAGAGTCTGATACGTTCCCCTGTGAATGCTATCAGGATAAAACATACGGTCTGCAGTGCGTTGGGGGACATGCTGTGCAACACGCATCCATCTGTGACTTCCTTTGAGTTCTTGTCCAACAAATGTAATGTTCTTCAGTTGAATTCTGATACTTACGACTTGCCCTCGATCCGCACAGCATCTCTCAGGTAGGAATCTTCTTCGGGTGACCAAGCACCTTTTCGCAGGCCCCCGCTGAGGACATTGAACCATCGTTTCCGGCAGTCTTTGTTCGACCGGCCAGGGAGGGCGGCGGCAATCTTTTGCCAATCGGTAGCTGCGCTAGGAAGGTCATCTAGTAAATATATAACAATATCAGCCACGGAAGATTGAAAAAGAGGGAAGATAGGTGGGACATACAGGTCTGTTGCTCGTAGAGTTTCTGGATGAGGATTGAGTCCTCTTCCTGAGTCCATCGGTTAATTCGACGAACAGTCTCCATTGTAAGAAAAGTAGATGGAAATGAGATAGTGTGACTGGCTTTTCCGAAGTAAACTTTGATGGGTAGAAGGTTGGTCGATCGGAAGTATTGAAATCCACCGAAACTCTCTGGACTTTATGCTTTATATATCTTGCCAGAAACCTCGAGAATGCAGAAGTCAATCGTTGTCCAAAACACCCTTCAAGATTCACAATTAGCTGCACTATCCCCAGCTGCAGATCTGCAGGGTGTTTCTGCTTACCAAGAGGGGCCGATTCTTTTCCCCTTGCCAGACAGGCAGATGCCCCATTCCACAGAGGTAGCATCGCATGACACATAATTGAAGCCCCCATTATCCGGTAAATGTGGCAGCGTAGGTAACTTAACCAAATGTACGTTACTCCGGCGCCTCTTCGGACTTAGCGCCCTGGCTGGATATTGCATGTCGATGGCTACGCCTTCACATCCTATGAGAGAAACGAGCATCTCAGAATGCACCGTGTTCGACAGGCTGATTTCACACAAAGTGTGGTAGCTGTGGATCCCACTGGGGCGGCGCGGGTGTATAGTTAACTATAGCATACCGAATGCACATAGTCGCAGGGGTCAATTGAGTGCAGGTTGTCGCACAGCCCACAGCCTGGGGATAGACCAAGCATTGTAGGGACCCCGGTGGGCTGGAAAGTTACCGATGTAACGGTCGTGGCAGTCTCTAACCATGGGCAGCCGCAGGTGAGAACCCTTCTTCTGTTTCGAAATCTCATACGGAGTACGCCTCTGTATTTTTGTAGCTCCTTCGCTGTTCCCCTTGTGGCACATTTCAATGAAAATATTGCTCACATATAAGTAATCATGACTGTCAAACACGAGAAGAGGGACGCCAACACGTCAACTAAATGCAGAGTTAGAAGCTATCGACCGAGGGCTTCTGCTGCTCGCACGTTGAGCATCCAATCGGCATATCCTATGGCTTTTCCCATTGCTGAGAAACAATAGGCTCATGCTGTCAAGACCCCGAACTAGTAGCTCGAAGGCACAGACATGGATTGTGCCTAAGTACATGCTAGCCTGTGAAAGGCTCAGCTTTCTCATGCCCCGGCCAGTCTGATTTTCGTCTGCCGTCTCTCGGTGATCAAGAGCAATGTCTCCCCCCTCCCCCATAATAAACCCCTGGCTTGTTTCTTGGTAAAAACATTCATGGCGCCAAGGACTTTGCGCAATTAGTAACTGCGCTTAATATAGGGGGCTAATTCCAGGTTAGTCCCCTGGACTTAACCCCCCATAAACTCATCACCATGCATGGAATGATGATGATGTGACTGCTATAAATATCCACACGCAAGATCCAGTACCCGGATATATACTCCGTCTAGGTGAGAGAAAGAGAGCGATAGAAAAATGAGTTCTGTGTTAAGGAGGGCGTGGCTACCCCCTTGGCTGCTGCAACGCCTCGAACCGATATTCTGAACACCACGCATGTCGAAATGCTAATCATGTATGCAGGTTAGTCACAGGGTGTCGCAAGCCTGACAATTGATAAAAAGCTGGGCAGTCTAAACAGGCTGCAGCAGGCAGAAAGGAGAGCCTCGTTCACTGGCTAGGTAAATATATGCGAGCTCGACATATTGTTGCTCGCTGCTGTGTGGCCGCCCACCAATCTGTTTCGCCGTCATACAGTGTAATCCCGACACCCAGGGTGCCCGGCTACACAGTTGGACAAGAATGCATGGATCGGAACTGCTGAGAAGGAAAATGTGTTCTCTTCATCCACCAACTACGCCGCAGTAACAGCAGCAGCCGTAGTGCTCCGTAGTCACTGGATAGTTGCCCTATAGTTGCTGCGTATTGGAGGGCAAGGAGTAATGGCCAACCTCCCGCTATCACAAGCGCATAGCGCCGTTAAGGACCCAGAAACGGGAGTTGAAGTGTTTTCCGTTTCCGGTCCAGCTATCTTCTCAAGCGAAATTTCCAGGGCATCCCTCGCCCTCGCCCCTCCTCTGGCAGTGCAGGGGGGAACGAAAGTCCCCACGCATACTCCATTTCTGCCAACGAGCCATCGAATGAGCAGCGCGATATGCAACAGTCATTTTGGAGACTTGGGGCCCACGAATAACTGCTCGAGCTATGCATCGCATCCCAGCAAAGCGCGGCCTTGCTAACCGTAACTATTCTATGCAGCCGACATGGCGTGGGTTCTCTCCCTCGAGCTTTTCATGCAGCCCGCGGGCGAATAGGAGCGAGCAAATGCAGCGATACGAATCCATTCTTGCTGCCTCCAGTCTCTGCCGCCCTCAACCGAGGGCCTCGATCCGCAGACGAGTCCTTTTTTCTTCTTGTGATAATACTGGCTGGCAATTATGAGGCTGAGTGGCAGGGTAGAAGCCCTCTGGAGTAGCACCGGCAAGAGTCATAGCAGCACCGGCGGCACAAACACAGCCTGAGGGGGCCATCTGGGCCGTGTGGAAGGATGAAACACGCCATGGCCGTGCCAGTCCGTTAGTCAACATAAGCCCCGAGCAGGCAGCAGGAGAGCCAGGCGCATCATGTCGAGATTTACGAGCTGAAGGCGATGGCCAGCAGAGGACGATATTGAAGTTGGTCAAGGCGAAGTTGTTTTGAGTTTTTGCGTCTCGCGGGTAACTAGTTGAACTAACAAACTTAACTTTCTTTGAGCACGAACGTGCGGAAAGTCTATACGCGCGATTGTTTATTGTTACATACATCAGAGCATAAAGACGAAGGTCCCAGGAGCTAAGTAAAGGAGAACAAATAACCAGTGGACTAGGGAGTCTACTGAGGTGCAGAGAGTCCGGTCTGACGATGGCTCAATATGATACTACGGATAAGGCTACATACTATGATGGCCATAGTTGGAGAAGGCGAACAGGCAAGAATAACACAGTAGTCTCTGGATGTAACAACAGCCCATCATGATAAACATCTTCCGAGACAGAGACATAATGAAAAGAGAGGGACACGCGCGGGTGTTACTCAGAACAACACATGACTTGCCCTATCAAAGCCGCAGGGTCTAATTAGTAGATCAGTTACTCATGGTATTTGGTTAGGTAACTGACAGGTTGGATGAATAAGTCAATGGCGGAACGGAGGATTAAGCAGTGATAAGGTTGACGGGCCAAACCCACGTAAGCAGCTCGAGCAGCATCTACTGCACCTGTTGCTCCTGAGAAGGCAGCTTTTGGCCCCCAGGTACAAGACGCTGAAACACAGCCTTGGGGTCATACTTGCGCTGGACTCGCCTGAGCCGATCCACATTATTTGGGCCATAGCTGGCGATGGCAGCTTGGTTGTAGCCACAGTATGTGAGCATGCTGTGCAAATAATCTAATATTAGTAAACTTTCGTCATGTACCATGCATAATATAGTAGCTGTCAGGGACGGGCCCGGGTTATATATGGTATGGTGGGTAGAGCCAGCAAGCTGGAGGGGCTAGGTAGGATGGGGCATACATATATGGATATAGCACCCCTCTTTCCTTAGCTAGCTCGATCATTGACTGAACAAACTTATCGTGCTCTGCGAAGATATGTTCTTTATATTGCGGGTCTTCGAAAGTTATCCCAAAGAAGAGGACTAAGCAGAGATACAAGTTAGATTGTTCACACTAAGCGGGTTACATATCTCCAACTCACCACCTAAAGTACTATTTCCAGCACCTTCCAGGCCAAGTGCATTCCCTCCCTTAAGCAGACCTTGGTGGACTTGTCGTGGGGTGATAGGCATGTTAAGATGGGCTCCTAGAAAACCGGGGACGTCTTGGAACCCCTGAAGCCACTCGCGAAACTTGTAAAGCACGTCTTTGTAAAACTTTTTATCTGCGTAGACAGTGAATGCTCGCTGCTCTTGTCTAAATCACGCGCAATTTTAGCATTCTCTTCGAATATATTAGGTATACTTGACCTACATCAGTCCATCGCCGAAGCCTTCGTTTAGATATATAGACAAGTTTTCATAAGTTCGAGGTGCAAGTGTGGAAAAAGTATGAGGGACGTCCAACCACGGCTTCATAATCAGGGGTAGCTCTTCCACATTGTCGTTATATATCACAGGGGTAAGATTGTAGGTGTCGTTCGTGGACCCGTTATACACCCACTGAGGCATAGCATGAGTAAGGAGGCCTTCCACGGCCTGGTGAGTATGATAATCATATACCAGGTCATCTACTGTGTCAAGAGATGATTCAGGGTAATGAATGAGGCCACCGTATGTAGGTCCTGGAATGGCAACTGTGTTGAAATCAAAATGAGTGACGACACCAAAGTTGTTGCTCCCGCCCTTGAGGGCCCAGAAGAGGTCTTCGTTCTCATTTAGATTGGCATTAACCACTTTTCCGTCGGCGAGAACGACTTCGTAATTACGAATGTTATCCACAGCAAGGCCATCACGGTTAGAAAAGTAGGAAATACCAGCTCCCACGGCTAGTCCAAGGCCAATTTCACCGTAGCGGCCTATCACTGCAGACAAATTATGGGGGTCAAGAGTAGCATAAATATCCTTTAACAACACACCTGCACCGACGTGGATATACCCTTCTTCTGGGTGTATCTCTGCTGCCTTCATCTGAGACATGACCATCATCACACCGTCATCAATACTGGCCGCTCCGGGAATGTTCGAGTGACCACCGCCTTTGATAGAGAACTTGCATTCATTCCGAGAGAAAAGCAGGACTGCACGAGAGACATCTTCGGTAGAGCCAGGTGCGAATATGCATGCGGGATCAAGAACGGCGGTTGCAGCTATTTCAAACGTAAGACCAGACATTCAATGCCATCAACGACAGAAGCTAAATAATAATTTTAAAAAAAAAAAAAAAAAAAAAAAAAATCACTAACACCAGAAATTGTATTTCTCCGAGCTCCAAGTCTGGGTATTCTTGTCATAGACAGTATCTGGAAAGGCCTCAGAAAGCAACGAACACTAAGGGGGGCAGGTCACCATCAGTATCACGAACAAGTCTGTCACCACCATACAGACATACACAGGACGGCGTGGATGCTATCCTTTCCGCATGGGAAAAAGACACAAGGAGGCCAAGGGAGACAGTCAGAGTTAAGGACAGCATCTTCCCCACTAATTGGATATTAAACTATCCCGCTGTACAGTCTCCGCCCGAGGCTCAACGCTCGAATATGAGATCGAGTTTATATAGATCGCCCTCTGCTTTGGTGTGTAACTGCTGCAGAAGCTTATATCTAATAGTCGATCTCTCCAGGCTGGCCTTGTGGAACTCAGGGGAATCTGGCAACTTAATCCCCCACTGAGCTGTGGCAGAGGGTCTCACAGACGTCTCCCTCTCCACTTGCTTGTGCTTAGGAATGGGTATCATACAAGTGGAATAGCAGAATATGTGCGTGACCATAAGATGAGCGAACCATCTTTTTCTGGCCTTTTTATAGAATAACAGCGAAACAAACATGAATTAGCAAGCAAACATGGCGGCTGGGAAGCAGCGACAGCATCTGTGGTAGCGGCGACGAAGGTCGTCGGAAGCGCGATGGCCAGAAGGATTCTCTAGATTCTCTAGCGTTTATGCATCAAAGATATCTTTCTTCTTCCCACCGTTTCCTCTCCTAATGCGACGATAATTCTTGATCGAGTCTTTTTTTGATATTGACCAGAAAATATTGAAAGTTGATAGCTTTCCCTTTTTGGAAGAGACGGCTCGGCCCGAAGCGCTTAGTCAGCAGAGTGCTTCGGCGTTAAAGGCAAAAAAACGAAGAGAAAAGACAAGAAGCAGACAAGAAGACGCGACGGTGAGAAGAAGATGGTGAAAATACAGACGAGAGACGGTTGCAGGGACAGTGTATGGTAGTCGAGTGTGTTGTGTGATGCTGGCTCTAAGGGAGATAAGTGAGTAACTAGCTGATCTGTTACTACTGGACTCATGCTGGTATTAAATAGAAACCACCCACGGCAGCAGGGAGAGGAGAAGAAGGAAAGTCATTAATGATAAAGATTGCTGATTATTGCTAGACTACTCGACATCATCGCAGTTTGTAGAGGAGACGGTGCCCTCCCAGTCGTCCAGAACCTGTTTGTTCCTCCTCAAGTCCTCGTTGATGAAGCGGATGGCATCCTTGCCCAGCGGCAACCTCATCGGCAGCTCCCGCCCCTCGCATACCCCCGACTTGGTCAAGGCCTGGACAATGAGAGCTGCACCCTTGACGGGATCACCGGGCTGTTTCTTGTTGTACGCGTCCAGCAGGCCCTTTGCCTGGTCCGTGGTCGAGGACAGCTCGGGGATCCTGTTCTGAGCAACGGTCCTGTTCCCGCTTGTGAGGAAGCTGGTGCGGAAGTATCCCGGCTCGATACAAGTGACGTCGATACCAAAGGGTGCGAGCTCGCCCTTGAGAGCTTCCGTGTGCATGGCGATTGCAGCCTTGGTGGCGCAGTATACGCCCATCGACGCCGAGCCGTGCCAGCCGCCAATCGAGCCCAGATTAGCGATGGTACCGCTACCCTGGGCTCGCATGTACGGAGCCACAGCTCTGATAACTGTCAACTGGCTGAAGACGTTTGTGGCAAAGCACTTCTGCACCTCGTCCGTGCTGTGATGATGTCAGTGCCAATCCCGTGGGCATTGTGCATATGCAGTTGGGGGGTCTGATCTTGCTGGGCGTCAGCACGTACCTGCATTCCTCGATGGCGCCCTCCAGGATGTAGCCTGCATTGTTGACCAATATATCAATACGCCCTACGGTTTTGACGACGTCCGCGATAGTCTCTTTCATCTGCTCGTCACTGTCCAGCACGTCGAGTCTTTTATTGATGATTCTGAGGCTGAGCTTCTCGAGGTCTTCGATCTTGGATATGTTGCGAGCTGTGGCTACCACGGTGTCTCCCCGTCTGGCTGCTGCGAGGGCGATCTCTCTGCCGAACCCGCTCGAGCACCCTGTAATCAACCACACCTTGGACATTTTTGGCCGGACTTGACAATAGGACAATAAATATAGCTATGGCAAATGACTATGAAGCTATCTTCGACTTCTACACCGCCCGCCTCGCCGTCTCCTACGTGTTTTTTTATATCTCCAACTCCGGCTTCAGCGTCTTTTCTGCCAGCTATCCTCGCCTTCCGCCCAAAGTCCGCCATAACTCCGCTGACCAATAAGAGTGAGGTTTTGTTTTCATTTGTCAGCATCCGGATATAAGAAACGTTCTTTGAATGGGGATAAGGGGTAGATTGGAGTTATAAAGGAGATAAAAGAGGGACAGATTGGATAGTGGAGGTTGAGAGCTTGTGGGAGCTGGGCGGAAGAAGGTAGGTGATTGGTAAGCATGGTAACTAGGGAACGCCCTAAAGCAGAGGTGCTAGATAGTAGCGGGGAGACACAGTACAGATGCTGGCCGGTATTTACTGTTCGGCCTACTACTACGATCAAGCAATCCAAAACCAGATACGCTCTAAGTATGAGGGCACGGCAGGCCGAATCAGCGTCATATAAGTAAAACGCCTCATGGTGAGACACAAAGGAGTCCTGTGAGACAGTAAAGTAGAGCAGCCACCTACGTAGGAAATTCTTTGCAACAGGCTTGACCCATGTGCTCTCGAGCCGATCAGCATGCTCCTTGCCGGAGAAAAAGTCCATCTCGTGCAGCGGGACGAGCCGGGTACGGTATATAAACTTGTAGCTGAGAAACAAGGTAGCGAAGATGGGTATGTTTATATAAGGGGGAATGAACGTCTTTGCACTGAATTTACCGGGGAAAAAGGCATCAAATCCGTTGAAAAGGGCCACAACAGCGCAGAAAGTAACCGCAAACCAGGCAAGATAGGGTTGGAAAGGGGAACGATAAGGAAGGGCGGAGCGCGGGATGCCCTGGCTCGCCATGCCGTGGTAGAAGCGGATGTAGGTGATTGAGATGGAGGCCCAGACCAGGAGAGTACTGACGGAGGAGATGTTACTTATCCAGAAGAAGACCTCGCTCGCACTAGAGGAGATGTTGAGGTAGACGAGCAGGCTGAGGGCGGTGGTCACGCCGACGCAGGCGTACGGGACACCAAGCCGCTCGAAGCGGAGGAATGCGGGAGCTTTGCGGTCCAGGGCAGTGGCATAGAGGACTCGAGTGGCCGCGTAGAAGAAAGTGTTGCCAGCAGAGAAGGCAGATGACAGAACGACAGCGTTGATGATGTGTGGCAGGACGGGGATGCCGCCGTTTGCAATTGCAATGACAAAGGGGCTGGCACCGACCCCTGGAGCACCGGTGCGGAGAGCATTGAGCAGCCTGCGGTCCTCGGACGAGACACACATGCCAACGAGAAAGATGGCAAGCACGTAGAAGAGCAGGATGCGCCAGAACACGCGGCGGACGGCCTTGGGGATGTTGTAGCGCGGGTTTTGGGTCTCGCCTGCAGCGATGACGACCATCTCGCTGCCACCGTAGCTGAAGGTGGCTTGTATGAAGACCTTCCAGAAGGCAAGGAACCTGCCCAGGGCGCCTGGCTGGAGGTAGGCGGCCATGGGGCCCGGGCTGCGCCAGTATCGAAAGCCTATGCGGTCATGGGTAGGCGAGCCCCCCAGCATGATGACAAACATGAGGATGATCAGGCCGACGATGGTGGTGAGCTTGATGGCTCCAAAGACGAACTCGGCCTCGCCATAGTAGCTGACGGGCAGGCAGTTGAGCAGCACCAGCAGCACCAGGAAGATGGTGATCCACGCCCATTTGGGGACGGGGTTTGGCCAGTAGTCGATGACCAGCACGCTGGCGCTGATCTCGATGGGCACCCCGATGGCGAGCTGGTACCAGTAGTTCCAGCCCAAGGTGAAGCCCAACGCAGGGTCGACATATCGAGCTGCATACACCGGAACCGCACCCGGCAGCGGCAGCCAGGTGGCCATCTCGCCCAGGCTGGTAATGACAGCGTACAGGTTCGCGCCCGTGATGAGGTAGGCGAGAAAGGCAGAGAGGGGCCCGGCCAGCGAGAGCACCTGGCCGCTGCCCACGAAGAGGCCCGTCCCTATAGCGCCGGACAGGGCCAGGAACTGGATGTGGCGGGCCTTGAGTCGCCGCTGCAGGCTGCCGACATTCCTCTGCTCGAGCTCGCGCTTAGATTCGACGCCATAGTCTGCTTCTGCTGCGTCTGCTGCGTCTGCTGCTGCTGCTGTTGCTGCCGCTGTTTTGGCGTATTTGCTGTATGTACCAGCTGGGGCCGGTTTGATATCATCCATGGCTGCTGGATATCCGTGATGCAGCGTCCAGAGAACAGACAGCAAGAGCCCGCAAGGTTGACTCGATCACATCATCGCCAGGATGCGACGGCTAAGCGGCCAGCTTTGCGCGCAGCGCTGGTGCTGGTCGATGTGTTGTAACTATACGGTCGTCCTGCCCTCCAGCTTCCCCCCCCCCCCGTCGTGTGATGGCCAGCAGGGGGGCCAAAACCCGGGGCAGCCGCCGCCCATTGGCCAGCAAGCCCGTCTCGCCGGCGATCCTGGCTGGCCGCAGCGTCATCGGCCATCGCAGCGCAGTCGAAGCGTCCCCGTCTCGAGATATAAAAAAAGATCGGCTGCAGCTATGCCCGGGGCGTGGCCGTCGTACGTAAATAACGTTAGTCGCCACGCAGAACGCCGGCCCCAAACCCGCGGCGGATTAACAAAACTTGCGTACGGCCGACACAGCGTCGCCATCGCCAGCTCGCAAAAGCTGCAGCAACGCCCGCCAGCAGCTCCCATGAGCATTATCCAAGCAACGCCCGCCTGCTCGCTGCCTCCCGACCCCTGTTAATCCGGCATCCTCTATCCTGAATCCTGAATCCTGCTGTCCTGCTGTCCGGCCTCCTCGCAGACTGCTTGCTGGGCCCCTCGCCGTCGCCAGCATGGCCAGACACCTGTCGAAGGAATCGCGGGCAGACATCCTTAGGCTGCGCGCGCAGGGCCTCACGTACAAAGAAATCGCCGAGCGCAAGGGCATCACGCACCGCCAGGTCCAGTGGACATGCGAGTCTGGCGATCCGACGCCCAAGCGACGCACCGGCCGGCCGTCGCAGCTGTCGCGGGCGCAGGTCAACCGGCTGGTCGAGTATGTGTGTGCGTCGCCCGAGAACCGCCAGCTCTCGTATCTCGAGCTCGCGACCGTCCTGCAGCTGGGCGTGGGCCAGTTCGCCGTCCGCAATGCGCTGTACAACGCGGGCTTCCGTCGTCGAGTCGCCAGGGAAGGCCGGCGGGAGCTGCATCGCATTGATAGCGACGGTGGTGGCGGCGGCGGTGATGCTGCTACTGCGGCTACAACAACAACAACAACAACAGATATTCAGACCACTTCGACGACTACGACTACAGCAGATATACAGACTACGGCAGAGACACAGAGCAGAGACGAAAGAGAATAATGGCATTTTGTGACTAGTCCTCGGCCTGCAAGAGGTCCTCCTCGTCCTCGTCGACCATCCTGCTGCCGCCTCCTGCGACTTTTCCACCCTTCCGCCCGGCCTCCCTGGCTCGCTCGCTTCCGGGCTCGAAGGACCCGCCGGATGCTTTTCCACCCTTGGACGAGATGTCACGCTAGCCTCGTGTATAGGTATATTAGCCATGGCCTCGGGCGAGAGAACAGACGCTGGCCAGGGGGTATCCGTCTCATGATGAATGAGAGAGAGACAGCGCATCACGGAGTATCAAACAGAGACACCAATATAGAAAACTACAGCTAATACAAGGGAGAAAAGGAGAGACGACACACCTGCTTGTCAGGGTCCATGCTGGCGAAGCCGCTGCTGTGGCTGCTTTGGCCGCCCTTCCTGGCAATCTCCTCGACCTCCTCCTGCGGCCGGTTGGCAAAGTTGGCCGGGTTGTAGTCTGCCATGGCAAATTCTTGTGAAATCAGATACTTGATGTTGATAGTCCCCTTTGACAAGTCTTCGACTGTTTGTTCAGCATGGGCTTCTCCTCTTTTCTGCTCCGGCATGTCGAATCTGCTATATATACACGGCCAGGGGGGCGAGATGAGGTCATATCTCTCCCTGGTCTATCGTCATGATTCTGTCATCGGGGCCCGCAGCCCAGGAGTCCAATCGACCTACCCTGCCACGAAAACACAGTTTGTTGCAGCCTGAGCTCCTTGCTGGCGAGCTGGCAACCTCCTCTTATCGTCGATGCATCCGATCAAGCATTTTCAAAAGCTCTCGTCGACAGGGACCTAATACCCGCATTTCACGTGAAGCTGTATAGGCAGGGATGTCACTGCTATCGTTTGGTTATATCAGCATTTTGATATTAACCCATCACAACTCTTAATTTCTACCAAGTGGACAGGGGATCTCCCTCTTTACGTTGCGGAGCAGTTCCAGTTACATCCTCCCGCCCTCTCACTGGACAAATGAGACAAGTGAACAGGTCGACACTCTCTCCGTCAATAATAATGGCATGACAAGGGGATTAGAACACCGGGCAGAGACTGTAGCTCGCCCGCCCCCCTTCTCGGTCGACCAGCTCACAATTACGTACCAGAATCGCGGGATGTTTGAATTTTTCTTCCCCAGTCTGCTTGCAAAAGGTTTCCCCTTTCTGTCCTCTGCCCCGTGGGGTGCAAAGGCCGTGTGATGAGGATGAGGAATGAGGGATCAGGATGCTCGACCTAGCCCACCGCTATTTGTCATAGCCAGACCAGTTCATTCTACGGCCCGGCGAGTCTGGGGAAGGCGGTGGATGGAGCAACTAGTTGGAGAAACGGGCATATAAAGGGGGCTGTCAGGACGGTTGGAGATGAAGCCCATCGTCGATCTGTCTGTCTACCAAGCTGTATCTCCCATTGTATCCAACGTCCAACATCATAATCATCAACATCAACATCAACAATAATAACATTTCCAACAACATTTTGACTATCGTATCACTGTCATGGGTAGCATCGAACCACCACGTTCTCGCTATGAGCGAACTCCCTTTGGACGCGAAATGCTCAAGCACTTCTCCATCGACCCAACTTACACCGAGCTCAACAACGGTACTGCCCAGTAACCAGTCAATCAATGACGTATGAATGTATAGACTGACAACAGGATAGGCTCCTTTGGCACCGTGCCCACAGCCATCTTGAACAAGGCTCATGAGCTGCGTAGACGCTGTGAGGGTCGGCCCTGCTCTTTCTCCAAATACGAGTTTCCTGCATGGTTGGACAAGTCGCGCGAGGCCGTGGCAGACCTGCTCAACGCTGACCCAGACAACATCGTGCTGGTCGCCAACGGCTCCACGGCCTCCAACACCATCATGCGTAACTTCGTCTGGAACGAAGACGGCCTTGACGAGATTATCCAGGTCAGCATCATCTTTGCGCCATTGGGCAAGATGACTGGCTACGTCGGCGAGTTGAGCCAGGGGCTGGTCAGAACCCGCCAGGTCCAGCTCAACTACCCGCTCGAGGACGACGAGGTTGTAGAGCTCTTCAGACAGGGCATCCAGGCTTCCAGGGATGCTGGGCGTCGTCCCCGTCTGGGTATCTTTGATACCATCTCGTCCACGCCCGCCATCAGGCTCCCGTTTGAACGGCTGGTTGCTCTTTGTCGGAAAGAGGGTGTGATGAGCTTTGTCGACGGCGCTCATGCTGCTGGACACATGAAGATCGACCTGGCTGCTCTTGACCCTGACTTCTTTGTCACCTGCTGTCACAAATGGCTGTTCGTACCCCGTGGTTGTGCTGCATTATATGTTGCTGCTCGCAACCAGTGGATGATTCGCAGCACTCTGCCCCTGAGCCACGGCTTCATCCCCACTGCGGACATTGAGCAGGGCAAAGTCGACGGCAAGCTGGCTCAGGCTCTGGCCAGCGGAAAGACTCCCTTCGTGTACAACTTTGAATTCGTCGCTCCCATGGACAACTTCGGCTACCTCTGCATTCCCGAGTCGATCCGCTGGCGCCAGGAAGTATGCGGCGGTGAAAAGGCCATCCGGACATATTGCGTTAACCTGGCCCGGGCAGCCGGTTCGCTCATGGCCAACATACTGGGCACAAAAGTTCTGGATAACAAGTCCCAGAGCGTGTCGGCCTGCTGTATGACCAACGTTCTCCTGCCCCTGAAGCTAGATGCCGGTCATAGTGATGAAAACCCGCTCCCGGAGGGCTGGTATGCCGTCAGGAGCAAGCCAGGTGTGCAGTTTCGTGTCAGCGACTGGATCATGCGCAAGATGGCCACCGAGTACGAGACACTCATGCCTGTCTTCTTCTTCCAGGGCTCCTGGTGGGCTCGCGGAAGTGCTCAGGTCTATCTCGAGCTGGACGACTTTGAATGGGGCGGCAGGATGCTCAAGGACCTCTGCGAGCGAGTTGGCGACGGCGAATACCTCCTATAATGGCTTTGTTTCTTTCTCTTTCCATTTCCCTTTATTCCGTTACTCTTTTCTATTCCCTTGCTCATTTGATCATGACCTCGATTCCAGCAGTGCTGAAGCTTTCCTTCTGTCTCTTTTCTCTGTACATATTGATCCCCCCTGATGACTCTCCTAGGTATTTAGTGTAATACAAAATAGTCTCACAGTTGATCTATCAAAAGGAAACAGGCTGTTGTTGTCTGGGGTTGGCCGGCTAGATATACCCCCTATCAATCTCCCGCACTCTAAAGCCGAAGGCTGTCTTTATCTCGGAATCATCCCGGCCAGCCACAGCTCCTAGTTTGCTAGTTAACTTATCAGCACCGCCAGCATGGTATGAATAAGTGCAATAATAGCATGCCAATGAGACAACAAGCAGCACTCAAGCATCAGCCAAGCTCCTGGCAAGCTGCTGTCAGCACTCAAAATCTCAGAGATGCTCGACCTGCCTCGTATCTCTCGGTAAAGCGTTTGTTTCGGCAAACATCATGTTCTTTTCTCGTCTCTCACGTCGTCCAAGTCTGTCGAGTACGGATGGGCCCGGTGGAGAGGCATTCTGGCCAATCCTTGCGCTGTTATACTCGTTAGCTGCTGCAAGATTCTGGGGTACGCGGGGAGAGACCCCATATCTCCATGGCTGCTATATATATCAGGCACTCCTCCACGCTGTATACACCTTGTACATCTATCGGTGTACTTCCATCTTCATCCAAGATGGGCTTCACAACAAAGATGGAGAGTCTTCTACGGCTCAACCGGCCTGAAACCCAGAACTTCATCATGGGATGGTAAGTTTCTGGTCGCCTCGATTTACCCCTGACCCGCTCCTTTACACCATAACATAAACATACCATAAGTATATATGCTAGATACCAAACGCTGACTGCTCAAGGGTCCTCTTCTGTGCTCCCGGCATCTACGTCGCCGTCATAGGCCTGGGAGCCGGCGGAGGCAAGCCGAGCTCTGCGCAGGTTGCTTCGTTGACCAATGTCATCTTGTACGGCCTCTTTGCGCTGTGCGGCTGGTTCGGCGGCTCGCTGCTCAACATTCTCAAGCCCAAGAAGAGCGTCATGCTGGGCTCGATAGGATACCCGCTGTACGTCGCTGGCCTCTGGTACTACGACCGTACAGGCCACAGCTGGTTCCCCCTGTTAGCCGGGGCCCTCCTGGGCTCCCTGTGCGGCCCCCTGTGGACGGCGGCAGCCTTCATCCAGTTTGCCTATCCCCAGGAAAAGGACAAAGCAAAGGTACTCCCCATGCATAAGGAGCAATGGGTGCACGCTGACGGTATCTAGTTCATCAGTATCCAGTGGATGCTGCGGTCAACCGGCGCAACTGTGGGCGCCATCATCGCCTTCGCAGCCAATTTCCACCAGCAAAAGGCCGTGGGCGTCTCGAGCGCTGTCTACGGGACATTCACAGCTATCCACTGTCTGCCCTTTTTCCTGGCTCTCTTCTTCCTTGTCGATCCGCAGAAGGTCGTCCGCAAGGATGGGACCCATATTGCCATCTTCAAGCCGACCAAGCTGTCTACCGAGCTCAAGTCCATGGCCAGGGCCTTCTTTGACCCTCGGATGTTCATTCTTTTCCCTGCCATCCTAGGCTGTGAAATGGGCCTTGCCTTGGTCAGCAGTATCAATGGTATGTGTGATTTCATCGCATGCTGAGCTAGGCGCCCTAGTATGCTAACATGTGTGCTGGAGCGTTCTACTTCAACCTGAGGACCCGGTCATTAAACAACCTGGCCTTTCACTCTATCCAGATTTTCATGCCCTGGGTCATGGTCTTTATCCTCGATAATCGCCAGGTCAAGAGCCGCAAGACCAGAGGATTTGCCGGTGTAGCCTTCATCGCCGCCGTATCTCTCGGTGCCAGCGCGGGTCTCTATGCATGGCTTGATATCAACCACATTGGCAGCCTCAAGAAACCACAAGCAAAGGACTGGACCGATCCAGAGTTCGGCGGCATGTTTGCTCTCTTCCTCCTCTTTGGTGCCATTTACGCTGCCTACCAGATGACTATCGAATGGGTTGTCAGTGCCCTTACCAATGATCCGTCGAAGCTGGCTCAGTTTGGAGGAGTCTTCAAAGGGACTCTCAGCTTAGGAATCTGCCTTTCTTTTGTCATGGCTGCTCAAAATGTGCCCTTTGTAGGCCAGCTGTCTCTCCAGTTCTCGTAAGTCTGTTGCTCTTGCTTGTCCATATATTGATATTGGCTATAGCACTGACGACGATAGACTATATGTGATTGGGGTCATCGGTATGGTGTATGTCTTGGTCATCTACGTCAAGGAGACCAACTATTTCACGGAAGAGAATGTTATTGCGCCGTTAAGCGTCGAAGAGCAAGCCAGAGTGGCGGGGCTGGTCACTGAGGAGCAGATCGAGTCTGAGGCCGCGAAGAATAAAGCCGCTGGCATGAACGCCAAAGACGGTAAGCAGAACGCTGAAATCATCGAATACGCTTAGATATGCTCTCACTCCCTATATGCATATGCCTCCTCTTATTTGATAACTTATGCGGTTGTTGGCGCTGGTCACCGTGTAAATGAATTAGCTGGATGTATATATCCCCGATGAATATATCACGAATATGCGATACGACGCTAATATACAGTATCATGGCCATGTTCATAACCCTATACAACGATCATGGCTGATGTTGTTCTATCCCATAACCAAATCACCATCGCTGTCCTTGTCGTTGCTAGTCTTCTTCATCACAGAAGTTTGCTCTTGCATATCTGAGCCGTCATTATCACCCTTGATCTCGGGCGCTTCCCCAGTGTTCATCGATGCATCTTCATTTTCTGCCTTTTCCACCGGGCTTCCTTCCCCTTGTACAACTTTCAAAGCTGTTTCTTCTATTCTCGCCTCTCCTGTATCCTCGATTTCTTCCCATATCCTAACTGTCTGGTCCAACCCACAGCTTGCCATAAGCCTCTTCTGGTCCATTGTGGGCGGCGAGAAGGCATCTACCCCTAGGACAACGTCAGAATGACCCGTCAATTCCAACAGCGTCTTTTTGCTTATCACGTCCCAGCATATTATCCTGCCGTCTTCACTCCCGCTCGCTGCATAAGCGTACTCCTTTTCAACGTTTGCCTGCTGCTCTTTGGGAAGTTTTTGAGAAGTGGAGGATCGTCGATGTCCATACAGCCCGAATGTGCCTGCCATGCTGTACTTTTCATTGATGTGGCCCTGATATGTCTTTATGCATCGTCCATCCACATAATCCCATAACCGAACACATCCATCCAAGGACCAGGCCAGGATGAATTTACCGTTCGGTGAAAATTTTACTGATGCAACTGGTGGGTTATCTTCGTGAACAAGCGTGCGCAGACACTGTCCGCTTGCCGAATCCCATATTCGAATCAGACCGTCACCGGCGCAGGAGACTATAAGCGTGCCGTCTCGAACAAAGTCGACGCCCGCGACGGGATCTGAGTGTGCAGGCAGAGAGCGCATGATTCGGGCAGATCGTACATCCCAGATGAAAACTGCTTCGTCATATGAACCGCTAACCAGCATGTTTCCCTTGGGCGAGAAGGCGATCGAGTAGACGTAGTTGTGATGGCCGACAAACGGATTTGGATACAGCTTGCCCTGTAAACGTCCATATTTAGTACCCAGGTAAGCTGTATAATAGTAGTAATTTGTGTATAGATGTGTACAAACCGTCATCACATCCCAAAGCCGTATTGACTTATCATCCGACCCTGACGCAATTGTTTCCCCGTCTGGACTCCAAGATATAGTAGATATACCCGCCAGATGCCCCTCAAAAGTATGAACCAGAGTCCCCGTAGCTGTATTCCATATTTTTATCGTAGCATCGGCAGCTATTAAAGATAAATTAGTAAAGTATCAGTCGTCAAAAGGAAAGGTTTTTTCTTACAGCAACTTGCTAGCATCGTCCCATCAGGCGAAAACTTCACTGCAGAAACGCCTCGCTGATGCCCCTTTAGCACGAATTTCTCCTTATAACGAAGGCATTCAGGCTGAGGCAGTGGTGGAGCCATGGTCTGCTTGGGAGTTTGCTGACGACTTCGAGTTGCTTGGTCTTCATTCTCCGATTCACTCTCGCTGTATTCCCGGTCATTCGCTGACCCACGATCAGACTCTTGCGCTTCCCTCTCCTTCGTTGTAGACGTCGATCTGCTCCTTGTACCGCGAGAACGAGTCTGAGACTGCGATCTGGACCTTGATCGTGGTGACCATGAGGAGGACCGCGAATGTGAATGTGACCGTGAACGGGGCCCCGACCGAGACCGCCAGGGAGCCTTTACACTCCCAGCAAGCTCGTCATCACTACCTGACGCACTCCGCGACCTTGACGAGCTTTTATTCAACTTCGGAGAGCGGTGGCTCGGCGATTGTGGCCGGGAGTCTCTCTCCGGGCTGGCTCTTCGCAGGCCAGTATCCGTGTCTCTCCCGAGCTCCTCTGACGAACAGCCGTCTGTAGGTCGAGGGCTACCATCGTCCAATCTGCGCTTTTTGGTCGGAGGAATCTCGTCGCCCATGTCTGTTGCCTCTTCCTTCGCCTTGTCTCTCCTTCTTCTCCTTTTCCTAGTCTTTTCGTCGCCCTTTTTGCTTGTTTTCCTGAGGAATTTCAATCTTTGATAGTGGCAGAATTAAGCTTTATCAGCGACTAGCCAATAGTACTGAGGTCTCTGAAGGCGGTGAGTTAATCATTATTTGTGTCACCTGATATGAGGCTCTCCAGGGCTGGAATAAAGATCTTACATAATCAGGTCGAAAACGGCTGAAATGGGCGTTAAGTGTTGGAGAAAAAAAAACGTATCAAGCAGGGCATAAATAATATTTTAGTTACACGTTATGCCGAGTTGAATCACATAACTCTACTACTGCTGATGCTTTCTATCTTGTTACCCGTACGGAGTAGAGTTTGATGGATCCACGGAACAAGATCCGTCACGTGACAGGCGGCTATTTGAATATTTGGATATCCCGAAAAGGAAAACAAAACGACAACGACTTCGATCTGTTGCTTTGCATGTCTGCATGTCAGTGGTGTTGAAGAAGCGAGGGAAAAGCACTGAAATTACGCTGGAAAGGCATCTCATCCGACAATCGAACAATTTTGGGATTGAACAGCGGCCGCTAAGTCCCGTACGTTTCAGTTTGTGCGGGGGACCGCGTTCCGTGCGCTGTGAGCCGCCATCATTACTATTCCCACGGAATACTACGGAGCGCAGTCAGCATGGCCACCCAGCAATATAGCGATGAGTCGCCTCATAAAATCAACATTATCAGCTTCAACTGCTGGGGCTTGAAGTATATCTCCAAGTTCCGCCGTGAGAGACTGTTGGAGATCGGCAAACGCCTCGCCAACGCCGATTTTCCCCCTGAGATAGTTGGGTTACAGGAATGCTGGACCCAGGAAGATTACAATGCGATCCGCAACGAAACTAGACACATCCTGCCCTATGGCAAATTCTACCATAGCGGAATTTTTGGTGGAGGATTGGCGATTCTGTCGAAATGGCCGATCGAGGAAAGCAGTATGTTCCAGTATCCGCTGAACGGACGGCCAACGGCTTTCTTTCGAGGGGACTGGTTTGTGGGCAAGGGAGTGGCGTACGCGCGAATAAGGATTGGACCAGGCTCAAAGGATGTTGCTGCGGTGTTTTGTACGCATCTTCATGCCCCCTATGAGCGGGAGCCGAACGATTCCTATATCTGCCACCGCACGGCCCAGGCGTGGGAAATAGCTAAGCTAATGCGTGGCGCTGCAGAGAGAGGGCATCTGGTTATCGGTCTTGGAGATTTCAACATGCTTCCCTTGTCCTTTGCACATCGCCTGATCACCGCCCACGCCCCAGTGACAGATGTATGGCGCTACCTTCGCCCAGAGTCGTCTATCGGTGCAGCCATAGACGACGTTGAAATTGCGCGTAACAAGCCAATTCCCAGTGCAGACTTTAATATACTTGAAAACGGGGCAACTTGTGATGGAGCCTTCAATACATGGCGGTGGTCCAAAGAAGACCAGAAACGGTTGGCTCGAGAGGGCCATATCAGTGTTGATGGCAGTCTACCAGACCCATATGCAAAGAGACTGGATTATATCTTCGTAGGGAATGGGTCATATCTCAACCACACTGACGACGTCATCCCATCCTCATCGTCGTCATGGAAATGGAATATTCACTCTGCCAGGGTGGGCATGATGGAGCGTCACCCAACACTTCATTGTTCTTTGAGCGATCACTTTTCAGTCGAAGCCACTGTTGTCAGAGCCCATCCACCTGTCTGCCGGACTGAAAGGAAACCGTCCAGTGATGCAGATGATGATGAGAATGCTCCATCTCTTTACTTACCAATCCAAAGTCACACTGGCCCCAACACAGCCATCAATGATTATGCTATATTACGACAGACCTCTAATCTGCCTCCAGAAGTCACCAAAAAACCAGTCCCTGCCTTATCTGCTGATGTATATGATGATGTCTTGGATATGATATCTGTCTACATGGTACGAGAACGGTTCCAGCGACGAGCAAGGTTAGGCCACTTCCTCATCTCGATAGCGGTGTCCATTGGGTGCTTTATTGGAACATGGTGGACACCTCATCCATACGTTTCGTTTATCCTCTGCCTTGTCAGCACGCTTAGCCTGTCTGCCGGCGTTATTGACGGTCTAATTGGTGGATTATTTGTCAGTAGTGAGATACGGGCACTCAAGGAGTTCCAGTGGGAAATCAAGAACACCAGACGGACGGTATTAGGCCTAGGCCTAGATATAGAGGAGGATCTTAGGTCGCCCAAAAAGAGTGCTCACTAATAAACCTCTCGACCTCCACGTTTTGCTCGTTTTGTTTTATGGCAAGCGTCATGACTTGAATTTACGAATGATATGATATATATAACATGAAGGGCAGGGTACAATTTAGATAATATTGCTAATGAGCGTATACTAGTTAAGCCTGGGAAGTGAATGATCAAGTTCAACAGACCAACCACATCTCTTTTCATCGACCGAAGTCACATATTTTCCCTCCCGTCGTCATTCGGTATCATCGTGACAAGTCAATAAATACATGAGAACAGATGTTTATGCAGAGCACTCCTTCTTTCGCTCCTCAAAGACCTCGAGGGCAACCTCAGCGACCTTAAGACCACTCAGCATCATAGCAGAGAAGATGGGGCCCATACGGTGCCATCCGTCAATCTCAGAAAGCTCCATTCCACCGATGATCAAGCCCTTGGTAACCTCACGGGTGTTCTTGACAATGGCCTCCTCAGCAGAGTTCATATCCAGTCCCTTCATACCTCCGAGTTTCTCAAGGGCAGACATAGAAACAAGACGCTTGGCACAGAAAGCACCGAATGGGCCGTCGTGGCCGGTGGTGCTGATGATTAGTGGAGCGTTGATGGTGTTGGGGTCCATGCAGGAGTGGTCGTCGTGGTGCTGGGTAACAAGAGTCCAGTTGGTGACGACACCGGCAATCTGGAAGCCCGAGGCCTCAGAGGCGCGCGGACGGGTGATCAGGTCCTCGACACAGGTTGCGTTGAAGAGCTTGATGTTGGGGAACGAGAGCACCTTGGAGAGCAAGGTAGAGGTGAAGAGGGCGGCATGCTTGATGACGACGAGGTTTGGGTTGCTGGCATCCTCCTCATACGGGACACCCAGGTCATCGAGGAAGCGGTGGGCAGGCTTTCTGAGGACCATGGCAGAGAAGAGCTGGCCACCAAGCCAGGCACCACCTCCTTTTCATCCGTTAGCTGGTCATCTATAAGAGTGATATGCAATACGGCAGCGTACCAGGAGAGACAGAGGCTTCGATCAAAGCAATCTTGAGATCTGGACGAGCCTTGCCGAGGACATAAGCGGTGCTGAGACCGCAGGAGCCAGCACCGACGATGACGATGTCGCTCTCGGCGTAGGTGTCCATGTCCTTGAAGTAACGGCTGGTCATGGCCCGGGAGACCTGGCTCTCACGGATGGGAGCAAACTTGAACTCCTCCCATTTACCGGCAAAGTCGTCCAGCAGGGCGTATCCAGAGCCAGAGCCAGCCTCGGGGGCAGCCTGGGCCAGGGTGTTGCCCTCACCGGCGAAGTTGTCTCTGACAACATTGCCAACAGAGGCAACGGTCTCAGTAAGAGTAGCAGTTGGTGGTGGAACCATCTTTGCAGAATCTTTTGACGTTTGATAGCGTTTATGGCGGAAGACTAGACGAGGTTAGATGATCCAACAGTAGTACTTTCATCGTCCCTCTGGAGATAGAGCCAGAGGGAGACGGAGGGGAAGGGGGAAGCATGATCCTTTCGCTGGTATTATCCAGATCAAGTTCGGACCGTATAATTTCAGAACGAAGCCTCAATGCATCTGGCATCTCTCTGGACCATCCCCCGCACGAGGAGGCAGAGTTGGATGCAGGACGAAGACAATCGAGGACAACGAACACCGGTTCATGCACACGAGTTGTTATATTCGAGATACCTTGACCATTTATTGGATATTCTTCCCAGCATCTGGGGAGTCATGACCTCCATCTTGGAGAGATGTACCGGTCTTGATGTTCTGTTTCTATACGGTGGTTAGTAACTATGTAACTACGAAAGGGTAGATAAAAGGGGGAAGTCGACGAAGTGTCACCTGTGAGTCTCAACCGAGATCTTATCGCTAGACAAAGGGCAATTGACGCTGAACTGTCCGATTGCGAAGTTGGTATTCGATGGTGAAGAGAAGAAGAAGAAGAAGACGGGGAGAAAACGACCTGCGGGGTTTTTTATAGCAAGAAAATAAGTGGTGGGGGTTTAGTCATCCGAATATCCGGGATATTGAGTTGCGCTGGCGTTTGATATCCTTGGTCCATCCGTGGATATTTGGTAGGCAGTTTTGCTTATTCTTCTTGCTGTTGTATCGAGTGGACAGGGACAGGGAGGCAAGGTCAATGCATGCAAGAGCCAGCCGGAGCCTTCCCGGGTGCCGTCAGTGAAGCAGATGCTGGTGAAGAGGCAGATATGAGTAGGGGGGGTCGATATTGGTAGCCGTCTGTGGGCGCTAAATAAGTGTAGCTCTAGCTTCGAGACATTTTAGTGACACTAAGCAGTTGAGAGATTTAGTGATATCCAGTATGATCAGGGTTATTTCACAGTATTTGCGTTGGCTGCCTGGTTGGTGAAGCTGGCGGTAGTTGCATCAGTTACTAGGAATAATGGCATTACATTATAAATGGCCATCGGCTCTCAGAGACAGACTATCATGGCCCTGTTCAGAACTGCTAGATACTTTGTATCTCTCCCAGGAACTTACTGCGCCTCTGATTTGGTCTTTGTGCTGCCAATATGTCCTTCGTTTCCAGTGATTCCAGCTCAGAGCCAGATACTAATAGAACTAATAACAACAATATCAATCAGGCGCCCGCATCTAGAGCCCCGGATGACGATGGGGCTGCTGTGATTGCAGAGCTTGAGGCTGCCATAGCGGCCAACCCAGACCTGAGACCCATCACCCCCCAGCCTGCAGAGTGGGAAGACTACGACACCATCCTTGCGCAGAACCCAGAGATCGCCAACCCTGTACCCGGGCGTAAGAAGGAATTCTACCTGTCCAAGGATCGCTGGGAGTGTGGCCATGAAGGGGATCCCGTAGAGACAGCCATTGAGCGAGACATCTCAGAGAACGGAGGTAGCAGTGGCATCCTCGTCAATGATATCAGAGGCATCTGTGCGACTTGCATGGCCAAATGGAAAAGACTTGAGACCTTTGGACCGCAGCCAGATGCTCCAGGACCTTCATCTGCGTCTGCAGCACCGCGAGACCCCCCTTCGTATAGTTCCCCGGCCTGGGGGCGTTCAGGTGCAACTATGGAACCATTGCTGGAGTTGGACGACACTGATGATGAATTCGATGATGATTCGCTGTCCGATGGATCCGAAGACTCCCTTGGCCCACCACCTGGCCCACCACCGGGTCGCACTGCAGGTGGCATGGGTGAACGTTCTCGGTAGACACAGATACGTATCGTGGGTTGGAAAGGTATAGCGGAGGTGGATGGTGATGTTATTTTTGCTCGGTAGACAGTTTGATACTCAACAGAGAATCATTTCGCAATGTTTCACAGGTATCAGGAACTATACAGCCAAGGACGCCCCAACTGTAGACTAGATGCAGTCCAGCTCGGTCTCTACTTTTAATCGCCAGTCCTCGTCTTCAGAGTCCAGTAGATCAGTCTGCTCATATTCGTCTCCACGTAGATGCTCACCTTTCTTTCCCGTCCGCTTGATCCTCTTCAGCCCAGCTGTGACAGAGTCGCCATCAAAAGAAGGGTGCTTTGGATCCGGTATCTTAGTAACGAGATGCAATAGATGCTTTGTTAAGCCCTTCTTGGTCTGACGATGAGATAGCCTGGCCGAAAAGCTGATCCGATCCTCACCACTTCTGATCACTCCTGCAGGATAAATGCTACCTACCAGACCGGCCACTCGACCAATGTACTGACACCACCAGGCTTCTTGCAAGGTAAGAATCGGCCGAATTCGCTGGAGAAACAGCTCATCTGAGGGCGAAACGTCGCCTGCCCACCTGTCAAAGAGAGCAAGGCAAAGCATGGCCCTGTCTGCATGAGAGAGACCGTGTGCATAAGCAAGAATACCGGTTGTCGTAGAATGCAGAGCTGTACTTGCATATGACGCTCTCGGAACAGACGAGTGCATGTACATCGAATTTGCCAGGGCTTCAATGAAACCCGGAGAAGTTATTGCCAGGGGAGGCGCATACAGATTCGTTGCGTCCTTTGAATCTGCGTAGGGTATGGCCTGCCGCAGCAATAAAGCAATGTTGGACGCAGAGCCAGTCTTGAAGGGCGCTGTAGCAGCAATCAATGGATGTTGCTGTCGAACTTCTGGCTGCAGTTTGTCAAAGAGAACGCCCTCACGAACACCTCCCTGGCAGAAGTGGATTTTGCGTATCGATGGGATAGTCTCTGCCAGGACATTGATGAGAAATGCCACGGCCGGCACCTGCGTGGCTCTGCGGGCCGAGACGCCGTAGATGGTCGACTCAGAAGACAAGGTACCGATGGCTGCAGAGGTGTCGAGGAACCGTGACCGGTCAGTACCGAACCCGTTGAGAATCGGAATGGGATAAGGGCTGACAGGGGACTGGCTGAGCAGGAGATACCCCCAGCCCCTAAATCCTCCTCCACTGAGATACAGATCAAGGCCACCACTACCAGCGGCATCGCTCTCTACTCTTTCCCGTAGACATGCAGGTAGCTTGAGAGCAGAGACGGCGCCTCGGAAACAGCCCAGCATCTCATTCTTAAGCTGTCGTACCGCTTCATCTCCTATCTTCTGTGCCTCGTCCAGTCTCCTGGTCAGCGCGGCTGCCCCGTATGGGAAACTGATTGATCCCCCAGGGTACGACTGGATCTCAGCACTGTCCGGGGTAGATACCATCCACGACAGCTGCACACTGCCGCCGCCGAGATCCATGACCAGGCCTTCGACCCGGGATAGACTAGATGCAATCCCCAGCCCTCCGATTCGGCCTTCTTCCTCCTTGGGGAGCATGGTCACCTCCCATCCCGTCGCCCGGTAAATGGCAGCTCGAAAGTCCGCCGAGTTAGGTGCTGTCCTGGTAGCCTCTGTAGCAAGCACCTGGATGTTCTTTTCTGGAACCCCAAAGTCCTCGCAGGTCACCTTGAAACGCAGCAGCCGTGACACTATCTGGTCCCGGACCTGGTCTGGAATTGGCCTTCTGGCGCCGCCTTCAGCCCCAAACTGTGCGTCATAGAGCGAGATGCCTGCGCGGTCTTGGAAGACCGTTGGCATAATCCGCTGCGTCACAGGGGACAGGTCGGATATTGAGAAACGAATACCATTGCTGCTTAAGAGTTAGCTCGCACATATAAAGGGATCCATCGGTTTTTTTTAGTTGACTAGTTACCTGCCCATGTCCACGACGGCGTGAAGATGCTGCGTCTCCCGCGAGTCAACCGTCTTCAGCGCTGCGGACGCCATTTTGATGCCGGCTTAAAGTACGGCACACAAGCTCCAGTATATGTATATATCTAGTATTCTGAATACCTACTCTCAAGTGAAATAGTTATCTTCAATCTATAATTCTTGTTTACACACGAGCCTTGCAAGTATTTCCAAGGTTCCATCCATACATAGGTCCCTCCAGTGATCTAAATTTACTGCGGAGTTTCACTTTTTCCGCACTTTTGCAGGCTCAGGCCTCTTTACATAGGAGGCACTTAGGGAGGTCTGATATTTGTTTCGTTTTCCTCATTTTGCTCTGAAGACCAAGGGAAGGTCGGTAGCAATTCTGTTGAGCCTGTTATAATAGCTGCAGCGAAAAAAAAGGCTGCCATATATCAATAACCCCGGACTATAGCCTCTCCGAAACCACGGATCAATCGTTGACGATCAAGGAACTCGCAACAAGAAACCAGTGATATACCGTGGATCTATATGGAAAAGAAAACGAAAGAGAATGAGTCCATGGTGGTAATACGCAACAAAGAATTCATGATACCAGAATCGGGTCTTGTGCATTCGTTTCATTCACAGATGACTTGATAATGATACAGTATATTAATCACCGTAAATTTATCCCAGGCAGTCGTCCTCTGATACACCATGCATGCCGGCATCGAATACTGTAGAGAAAGAAGGAGTAACAGCTTGATATTTGAAGGTTCAGTTTACAATATTCTCAGAGACGTTTGAGAACTCGCCCTTCTCAAGCTTGGTATTCCAGAAAATAGGGTTGGTATCGCTGAATCCGTGCTTCACCCATCCATCCTCCTTAACATGGTATAGATTGATAAATCCACCAGAGTAGGCATCTCTGTGAGTAGCAGCCAGGATACTTCTAGATCCAAGAGCAAGGGCCTCTTCTTCCGTCAAGTCGTATCGGTACTCCGCGTCCAGCACACCATATGCAAATGTCTGACCGGATCCAACACAGAACAAGTTTCCTGGCAGCCGCGTACCGTCAGAATCGATGTAGTATAATGCTGGGCCTTCCTCGGGCGTAACACCGGCACACATGGTCCCCATGCTGAGACCCATTCCCTTGTAGTTATAGACTAGATTGGCGAGGATCTTGGAGGCGGCGGCAACGGAGATACGACGTTTGTGTCGAAGCTCGTGAAGACGGCATTGCATGCCTAGGTATGCGAGCCAGTATTGGCAGTCCTATAAAACTTTATTAGATGGTGCAATCAGCAAGATACGGAGGTCTAGACATACAGCAGCACCACCGGCCATGGTCCCGAGTAAGCAGCTGTTGATTTCAATGACCTTCTTGACCGTCTGACTGGCTATCCAGTTGCCCGCCGTAGCTCTCGAGTCTGTAGCTACAATTATACCGCCCTGGAATCTGAAGGCGAGCGTTGTTGTACCATGGGCGATCTTAATAGGGCAGTCTGGGTTGGCATGATCATCTGTTGTAGCTCTTAGGAAAGCGGAGGGCTGCACACTCGGTTAGTTATGGCCCAACAAACAGCAGCTGCCTACAGACACCTACTCTGTCAATAGGAGGGAGGGAGAATCTGAGAGACAGTGGAGGAGCTCTCTCTAGGACGTCCTGCTGCTCGGCCTCGTAGTCGTCTTGGAAGCTCGACTGCCGGGAGTACTGGGCAACAAGGGTGTCCATTCTGCGGTGTTCTTCAGGCTCTGCTGGAATATATCGGTAGTATCAATGCTGGGACAAGCTGCCACGGGTTCCAGATATCTCGGCTGCGAGGCTGCGAAGGTGGTGAAGCTGTTTCTTGCTGGTCTGGCTGGCTGTTTGTTTCTCCCTTTGAGCTTTCGCGTTCCTTTTGCGGCCTGGGTCACGTGAATATAACTTGTTATCAGGGTTGAAGTTGGAGTTGAAGCCGAACGATGACAGGCAGACGAAGACAAGCAGTCAAGGAGGGATAATGAAGCGATGGAGAGATGGAGAGACGGCGATGCGGCTGGAAAAATAGGTAGGGGACATCCTAATTATATATATTATGAGCATCGACTAACTAACTAGTTGTCAACAACAGCACCAATCCAAGACAGGGCGATGACTCCAGCATTATATGGCTATGCCCTTTTTGACCCCATAAAACAGGAGAAGATCTCCTAGATCTCGCTCTCCTCCACTGCCTTGCCATTGACTCCGCTTCCATTGACGCCGTTTCCGTTCGCATGAGCCTCAATCTTCTTGGGGATAAGCCCTTCGGAGGCCATGGGGACCGGTTCGAGGTTAGGCTCCCACGACGTGAGATCTGCCTCAGCATCTTCCATTATCTGACGGCTGTCTTCAAGGCGGTCAAACTTCTCCCTGCCTTCTCCAGGGACGACCGGGGTATCGTCGATGAGAGCAAGGAGACGTCGGCCGTGACGGGCAAGCTGGGCCTGTTTCTCGGCCCGCTCGATGGTGGCAGCCAAGTGCAGGTCAAAGGCCTCCTTGAATTTTTGGCGGGTCTGCCATCGTGTTAGCATATTGCCTTGTCAGGAAATATGAGAGGTACAAATTGAAGCAAAAGAATGAGGAACATACCATGTTCGTCAACTGGGCTTCTGCAACTAGAGCGCGAGCCTCAGCTCGGACAAGCTCCTGCTCTAGGCCAGTGACTTTTGCACCATCCGGATCACGGAGCTTATGCTTGTGGATTTCGTCGATAATTTTCGCCTTGTGATCCCTTGCAGGCTGGACAGAACCCTCTGTGTTCCTAATATGTTTCAGGATACACCTTGCGTCCTCCAGGTTATATGAGTACAGGTCTTCCTGCTCGCCGATTTCGGACAAAATGATCCCCAGCTTGTCTGATATATCAGAGACTGCCGGGTCTTCTGTGTTGAAACCCCAGTTCGACAACTGAGTGGCCGCCAGCACACGGTCCTGGCCTGCATTCTTGTATGAGTTGACAGCATGGCCTTCGGTCTTGATCACCTTGAACAGGTCCTTGCTCAACTCAGGCTGCTGGATTCCCCGTAGCGAGGCTATACTGAAGCGGTGCCTCAATGGCTCAGAGCCTACACTATGTCGAGTGCGGTTCCTATACATGTCAGCATACATGGCTGGCTTCGAACCTTGACCCAACATCACTTACATATTTGATTTGATAAGTACTTTCCCTTCTGCTTGATTATCTGAATATCGTCTTCTGGTTATTTACACTGCTTCAACTCTCTAGAGGAATCAGCAGAGTAAACATTGTAACCTCGCGAAGCAGGCGAAAGTCGCCTCTGAATGTCTCCTTCCCTTATTTTATGCTCCTATGTAATGACGTCATGTCTCATTCTAGACGGTCTTTTCAGATATGTTGAAGGCAACTAGTAGAACGACAACGACGGTGCCGTCCCATGGTAGACGGTGAGTTTGACCTCCATTTTCATTGTTGTCGCTGGTTGATGGATATGGTTGGCCCGTTAGTTATATGGGTATGCTCGCAAAAGGATGAATCAAAAAAGAACTTCAATATTACATACAACTGATATTGATTATTTACACATATCTCAAGTATCAAACGTTGGCAGGGCATTAAGGCTATCAAGACTAGACAATCGACAATCTGTTTGATACAAAATCACCGACCAACTTCCAAAAGAGTGTTGAAAATACGGGTATATTGCAATTTGAATCAAAAACCGCCACCAAGGGTGAAGAACAAACACACAATATCCGATAAGGGGGAAAAAAGAGATTATAAGCCAGCAACAACAATACACAGTTCACTCTCAACTCCATTCTCCATTCTCCGACATGCACCAGAGTCATAATGAAAATGCAGTTTGATCACCATTGATTGTCCCCAAAATTATACCCATCAGGCCGCACTTCCCTGAATCTAGACGGGTTACACGTCCTGAATCGGGGTTCATGGTATCTCCTGCTCACTGGACGAGGCAGGTCATAGCGGCGTGTCCTCTGGGTAATGCGTACCCGCTGATACTCCATCCTATAGTGGCTGTAGATGGAGAAGGCCGGCCCACCCTCGCAGTACGGACGGTCGTCAAAGTTGCCTATGTTCAGCCGAGGAGGAGGATAGTCGGGTATGAGATAACTGGTTCTTCGTTGGAGACGGCATGGTTTCTTCTGAATTCCACGGCGTGGCTCTATCAGCGTAAACCGGGGCAGACATTTGCAGACGATAACGCAATGACACATCTTGACGGGCTTGTTCTTGCCAGCGTCTTTCTTGACTTAAAGATGCGCTGCCTTTACGCCGTTGGCAAAAGTTGGCTGGATATGATGTAGCTCGGCTTTTGTATATAAGATAACTGTATGGTTCTGCAGTTCCCCGGTGTGAGAAATGAGTGCTAAGACGACTAGGTATAGGGATGTACCTTGATATAGCGTTCGTATATATATGGCCTCGACTATCTTCTATTGAAGCGGGACGGGGAGGCGGTTAACCGTCTTCAACGGGCGTGCTGCTACTTAATTTTTATATAAATATTCAGATCTAGATGCCTGGTGCCGTGACCTGTTCACTGGGAGGATAATGATGACTTGAGCGAACAAGGAGGAAATAGACCACAGATCATGAGGAGTTATTTATATCAGAAGATACAGGGTCACCACCTCTACATAAATATCTGCCCTCCATCTTCGACTACATTTCTGCTGCGCAGTATATATTTCTCGTCCTGCCTACCCATAGCTAGTCCGTCTCCAGGCAGCATAGCGGTCGCTAAGCGGTCGACAAGGGTAATTTATACGGAAATAGCCTCATCAAGAGCCCAAAATGCGGTGTATCAGTTATTCAGTTTCTGCTGCAGCGCCTCTGCATGAAATAAATCGTTAACTGGGTCGATAGACTGTCCGCTGTGATGACATCACGAGTCATGTTTTCTTTTCCACTGGCATGTCAGCCACAAAAATGCTTCAAGGAGACCTGAGAGGCAGTGCAAGGAGATGCAAACCAGTTGATCGCATCCAGTCAACTCGCTGTCTCGTGGATCCCCTGCATGAACAAAGTCAAGGTCGCTTGAAGGTTGCTAGGCATCCAACCACTCCCGCGTTGTTCTCCTGGGAATAAGGCCGATAGATGGCGGCGACTTGAGGCTCAACTCTGGCACGCCTTGCATGAAGAAATAATATTGGACTACAGAGGAGCTTTCGAGCATATTCTAGACAATGCTGGTAGTTTCATCGTCGACCTCGGCGAGCCAGATCCCCGTATTTCCGTGCGGCTTCTGACCAAATCTGCCAAAATGATAGATACCAAATTATCTCACCACAAAATCGCCAAATCGCCGATTTCATACAAACATAACAACATTTACCGTTCCAATAAAATACAAACAATGAAATAGGTGTGGAAAATAGCAGCGGAACAGAAAAATCAAGTGCATGCTTCCAAACAATTTTCCAGAGTCCAGCTTCCACAACCCAGCAGCCTCCCTGTATTGAAGTAGTCATTCAGCTGACCTGACCGTCTACGCTATCTCATCTGTCTCATGATGATGCTCCCCGATGTTCCCTTCAGTGGCATGGAAGGCGTCTCCAAAGGCAGAGTCGTCTATGCCGCCCATATCAAGACCGCCTACATCTCCGTGGTAGTCAGCCAGTGCTTCTCCGGCAGTATTGATGTTCTCATCTTCAAACTCTCCTGTGGCCCCAGGCGTGGTTCCTGGCACAGTGGCCTCTGCGGCGGGCACAGTAGCAGTTGTTCCCCCCGCAGTAGTTGTGCTAGGTGCTCCAGCAGTGGAGGTAGGCTGCTGTGTGCTTTCATTCACGGTAGAACCGAGGTCCTTGGAGGGTGACGCCGAGGACGCCTGGCCATCTTTATTTACCATCACCCAGTCTCCATCCCCCTCAGCTGCTGCTGGCTGTCCCGGTGTTGCGTGTGATTGCGTTGAAGGCTCAACACCACCCATGACAACGTCTTCGCTAGTTTGCGGAGCCGTGATGACGGGTTGTGGAGGTGCCACTGATGATACTATCGGCTGCGAGGGCGCGGATGTAGGTACCCCCTGTGCAGGAGCAGAGGCTCCGGGCGCCGCTTCAGCGCCGCCGTCTGTCGCTCCGTCGTACTGCGAATAATGCAATGTGTTAATCATGTTGGCATCTGATATGGCGGGCTGAGGAGGCGGTGGTGGAGGTTGCACCCGCTCCTGTAGGCCTCCTTTCTCCACACACTTGATATCTGTGACCGGAACAACAGTCCTCCCCCAGCTGGCTTGTAGTCCGTTGACAATATCGTCTACCTTCTTCTTCAGGGATTTATCGCTGTAGTCAACTGGTGACATGCCTTCCTCTTGCTCAAGGCGCAGTCGTCCCTCAACCCTCCAGATTTCATCCCCAGTGTCTGACGGATCAATGACTGCATCTCGTAGGTTTAACTCTGCTTCTCTCAAGGCTGAAAGCTTCTTCGTCTTTTCCAGTTTGCGAGCATGTTTCTTTCTCATGCTCTCCATCTCAGCATTCATCTCTGCGAGTCGTTTAGCAACAGAGTTGGCAAATTCTTCTGCCTTCCCAGGGTCCATCTTGCCAGTCGCTGGTGGTGGCCCGTCACCTTCTTTTCGCTGGGATGCCAGCGCGCCAGGAGTGTAGAAATAGCGCTTAGTCAAGCTCTCTAATTCACCCTTGCGGCCGAGTCCAAGGTCGACAGGGAGTATCTGGTCCATTCGATACGGTGAAGCCAAAACCTCTTCCATCCATTCGTGGTGATTCTTGTAACGCATGCGACTGATATCTCTGGGCGTAAGTGCATCGAGAATGTCTCCCGTCGACACCTCCTCGTCATCCAAAGAGAAGTCTGGGACGGCAGGGGCCGCGGCGGTAGGTAATCGCTGAGTGCGTTGGGCCTTGGGCGGGACGACACCAGGAGGATATCCAACGACCTGTTGCTGCTGCATGGGTGCGTGCGGAACCTGCTGGCGGGCTATCATTTGCGCAGCGTAGGGCTGGGGGTAAGGTGGTTGCTGCTGTCCATGAGGCGGTAAGTTGATGGTGGGCCAGTTATTCCTGTCATGCAGCATAAATTCCTTCCTGGCCAGCTGGCCTTGACTCTGAATGTAGCGATGCTGTCCAAGTATGTTCTGTGTCTGGGGGGAAACGGGAATGCGAGAAGTTGGAAGTTGGTCGATGGAGGGTGCTTTGCTATAAAACACAATCCATAGAGACGGATCGCATGGTGGTAGATTTGGGTTGGGAGTCTTTAAGCCAGTTATTCGGAATCTTCGGCGTGAGTGAGTGGCCATGGTCTCGTTTGGCGGGTGGTATCCTGTCCTGTGCATATATATCTCAAGAATCTGCGGGCAAAAAGGAATCAGCAACACAACGCGAAATCAACGAGCAACCATTGGGATCATCATTGTCCATACATAGCCGCGAACCTCAACCGTGTAGGCCTGTTCGACGTCAGCCCAGACATAGCCGTCACTCGCGAAATTGGTCCCCAGGTGGTTCAGAGGCTGCCATGTCAGCATCACCGTGTTGTCCGGCGGGCCATCGAGGTAAGTCCAATGCATTGGTTGAAGTTCTCTGACAACCTTAGGCGCCGCTAGTAGGTATTCCACCGCCGTCTCATGCGTGAACGCAGCTGAAGCTGGATACCTATAGGAAGACACCAGGTGCAAGTGTGGTAGCTATAGGCCAGTTAGCCATCTCCTCTAATTTTGGCGGCAGAACTCACATACAAGCTGAGGAGGCACTCCTCCCGCCGGATCCTGCATCCTGGCTGCTGGATGTTGTCTGCTCATCTGTATAACTGGCTCGATACCGTTTCCGTTGTCTCCTGTCAAGCTGGCTGTAGAGTCGCGTTTGTTCGTGTTTCTTCGCTGTCTTTTTGCTTGAGGTCGAAGATTTCTTTTTTTTGGCTAAGTCACGTGATAACTATCAAAAAAGTACAGTGAGTTAAGAGGGAAGAGACTGATAGAGAGGATCAATAGAATGGAAGAAGCCAGAGATGTACATTCGAAAATATATTCTAACTCACTATGCCGGGTTTTATTATTAAAGGACACGAAAATGGTCCTGTATTTGCATATGAATAGGTGTCTACTAAACTAATTTAGAGATAGATTGCTACGACACAATTTTTGTTCAGGGGTCTTCTCAACATTGCATCGTACATCCTAGGATCACCTTAAGTAAAACGGCTAATTAGAGGCTATACTTGGCGAATAGCTGTGTCTAGCATCCCAAGCCGTGTCACAAGGCTAATTTCTTACTCTACACCGACTCGAAGTTAACTGGTAACCCACTCATAAGCATAGCTGTTGCCTTTAAATCTCTCACGAGCATATGAATTGAATCGATAAGAACATATCAGCCGTATATTGCTGTCATGCACAACCAAGTAGTATAAACAAAAAAATCTTAGAAAGGAAAAGATAATGCTACTAATTATCGACTTGGAACCTCATTTTGATGCCCATAGCAGCAAGTTCCACGTCGAGATATTTGAGCACTCCAGGAACTGCAACCACAGTTGTATCACTGCCGCCAACATATCTCTTACCAGAACCATCCTCCCACACCTCTGCCCGGGGATCATCAAAGACCGCCTCTCGGGCGCATCGTCTACATCGTACAATACCAGCCAGACCACCGAGGGCACTCACTCCACTAAGAGGTTTGGCTATGGCGCTGGCGGTGGATTGGACGACGGCATCCATTGCCGGGTTCTTATGTGGCGATAAGAGCTGGGAAACAGCTACTTGTGTTGAGATGAACGAGCCGCAGGTTCGGCATATCCATGCACGCTGAGAATCGGAACAGTTCATCAGTCGATCCTGGAGTAAGAATGCTGCACCGTGGGCTAACAATGCGTCACGTTCCATCTCTCCGACACGGATACCACCACCTTTAGCACGACCTTTGACGGGCTGGCCGGTCAGAGCGTTGACAGGACCAGTTGTACGCACTTGAAACTTATCGTTAACCATGTGTCGCAGACGCTGGTAGTAGACGACGCCAATATAGATGTCGGCCGCAAACTCTCGGCCCGTGATGCCAGAGTACATGGGCTCGTTTCCGTGAAAGTTATAACCTGCTTTCTGAAGTTGTTTGCCGAAGAAGTCTCCCGCCGTCGCTTCTTCAGAAAACTGGAAGGGAGTTGAGTCCTGGGGAAGGCCATGTAGTGAGCCAGCTTTACCTGCGAGCGACTCGACAAACATACCTATCGTCATTCGAGACGGGAAAGCGTGTGGGTTAATGATGACATCAGGTTGGATTCCAGACTCGGAGAAAGGCATGTCAGTCGCTGGCCAGAGTTGGGATAAGACACCTTTTTGACCGTGACGAGATGAGAATTTGTCACCAATCACTGGCCGACGGGGTACTCTGTACTTGATGCTGACAGCCTGGCACACTTCGTTTCCGGTCTCTGATCCAAGTACTCTGACGCTATCAATGAATCCTTCTTCTCCGTCTTTGTATTTCAGGAAGTGCGTTTGCTTGTCAACATTGATGTATGTGTCTGTTGCTGGATCATATTGGACAGTGTGCCAAGCGCCCACCAGGCTGCCTTCGCTCACCTTGGCTCCAATGTGTGGAAGTCCGTCTTCATCGAGCTGAGCTTTCCACTCCGCCTTGACCAACCCGCCAGGTGCAAACCCGAATAGCTTGGTGATTGCTCTCTTGGACTTCCCACGTCCTCGTGATTCTTTATCATCCAAAGCGTAAATCTTCGTCTTATAAATGGTTCCATAGCCAAACCCGCGCTCATGGGAAGATTTGTTAATTATCATGGCGTCGTCCATGTCATAGCCTGTGTATGAAATAACAGCAACTACTGCATTCATGCCGTTGGGAAAATTATCCAGTCCATAGGCGTTATACAGAGGCGGCCTGACGACCGGCGTCTGGCCAGTCTGCAGTCGATAGAGCTTGTTGTCTGTCCTGTAATCGATGGCAGTTCCAGGTGTTCCCATTGCTTGTTTACCCATCTGACACTGATACATGTTACGTGGAGATTGGTTGAAGTCAGAGAATGGGGTCATGTTGGCGAGAATAGAGAGAATGTGAGTAGGGTCAAACTCGATGTGGGTAGAAACACCGTTCCTGATATCAGAAGCAACACAGGCAATTTCCATATAAGGCTGCTCAAACGACCCGACATAGTCTAATTTATCTAGGGGAAGATACTTGACTGGTCGGTACATACGAGCGGCTTCTGAGAACATGTAAACGCCCGGATATTGACCGCCATTCGAACTGGGAACATAACCAATTTCAAGTTCTACTGGAATTTTCTTGTGGCCCTGGACTTTCCAATATCGAAGGGTATCAGCAATAGTACGAGACTGTTTGGGCGTGCAGTATCCTAGAATCTTTCCATCTAGCTGGACAGGGATACTCTCCTCGATGGAACATGACGATTCAGATGTCACTCCAAGCTCAGCAAGAACTCCAGGTATACCAGAAACATCCAGGTTTGATGTCGATATTAAACATTTATGTGCCAAGTGGTTCAGTAGACCACAGGGACTTCCATCAGGAGTGTGGACGGGGCAAAGGAATCCCCAACTCTCCGGTAATAATTTTCGAACCGTAGTAGTTTTCAACTGCGCGAAGAAGCTTCCTCTGTGAATCATTCGAAAATGACTGATGAATCGATAGAAGTTGATCTTTTCTGCCATTACCGTGTAACCCGAAGGCTGCTGAAGATCGAGTCCAGTAGGACTCACCAAGTTCCCAGTGGACAGGAAATACTCCATAGCACCACCGATGTTTTCATTTGTTCTCCCGATAATCTTTGTAAGGAATTCCCTTTCGAATTTGGGATCTGTGAACTTGGCGTCTTGATTTCTCATTCTCCAATCCCGCACCATGGGGCCAACGGATTTTAACCACTCCTCTAGTCGCTCTTTCAGAAGCATGCCATACAAATAGCCACCAAGGAGGACCTCCTGGTTAGATACAGCATCAGGATTGTCCGGCGCACAATCTCCCGCGACCAGGTTATAGAGTTTCCGTATCATGAACAGAATCATGTTGAACTTGTCATTGTCCTGAGTCTCCGTGACATTCTGGTTACCCAGGTGCGGCAAGACGATCTTTCTTAAGAATTCAGTACCAACGTCCTCTTCAGGGGTATCCTCTGGCATTCCAAGGACGAATCTAAACTTGGAGCCCAAATAGGCCCTGCACCGTGACCGAGAATGAGCGCCGTATGCCTTGTATGTTCGTAAGAGAAGCTCCACACGGTCAGTGATAAATGTGTTTTCAATACCCAAGGAACCTTCTCTGCCGACCAACCGCTCAAATATTTCACGGTCATTGGTCTCAATTAGGGCTTTCAGAATCATCATGACAGGCACGAGGTATTCGTTTTTCCTCCAGGAAAAGCGAAATGTGACATTCCCATCATTGAGGTAGTGGAGAACATTCGTCTGCGAAGTCTGATCTGGCCTGACCGAACGCAGCTGTACACCAAACTTTGTATACGCCGAACCACGCTTCTGGAATGAGTTTCGGATGATTCCCGTTGGAAAGTTTCTTTTACCGACAATCAACATCCGGATAAGTTTCTCGTTTCCATTGACGATAAAGTAGCCGCCCAGCTCTTCCGACTCTTCTTTGTGATCGACCAGCTGAGACGGGGTAGCCTTCTCTAAGTGGCATCGATTAGACTAAAACCAGGTCAGCGAGATTCCAGTGGGTTGTGTGTAGTCAGTATTGTACGGCCAATCATACTCGTATCATGATGGGAACTTGGCCTAACTCCCGAACCGATTCCTTCCACTCTCCATTATTTATCCTATATTCTAATCTGGCCCTCAATTTTCCTCGGTAAGTCGCGTGTCTTTCACGACACTCGGCAGGGTAAATTTCTCGGTTGCGTGTGCTGTATTTGTTTGAAGCAGGGAGAACTGCTTTCTCTAAAAACAACTCGGTTATCCGCACGCTAAGTTTGTTTCTTTTTGGCGCCCTTCTTCCATCCTCTCGTCGAGAGGCCTTTTCTTCTGGGGTTCCTGAGCTCCCGTCAATGAATGATTTTATTCCAATATCCTTCAGAGCTGCCTCCAACACCTTGGTATCCTCAAACAGGGCATTAAACGAGTCTATGTGAGGGCGAATGGCAGCTGCTAGCGCAGGATAGGCGGTTCTATCCTTTGGAGGGTGCCTAAACAACCGCTCGCGCCTGAGAGTGTCATATTCAACAGACCATTCAGCATCGCTTTTACCCCCCATATCGATGTCGTCGTGAGATGTAGATACAAGGAGAAAGTTAAGATTTCATAGAGAGGCGCAATAAAGCTTTGTACAAGGTTCAATTGACCTGCCTGAGGATTAGGATATTGATAAGGCGCCTTGGAATTGGCCGTGGTGGTGTCGCAGGAGCTTGCTGCTGTCAAGCCGATTTTTTTTAGCAATTTTTTTTTTTTTTCCACCACTAGTTATCAATTAAGGTTTGATGATCTTATCCTCACGTGGTGATAAGACCAATCCGGTCAGACCTCTCGCTCTTTCAAGAACACCTGCCGCTGCTTTAACTAATAGTATCATCCAACTTTAAGCTTATGCGACCTTGAAGCTTCTTCTCCTTTCCGCAGCTCAAATTTGACGACCTTCAAATAAACAGACACGTATATATTGTCCCGACACACACACACAGCGTATGAAGCACAACTTATGGCGTGCAGCTTTTCTGCAGCCTGTTTATCCATAGTCTGCTATGTCGAAACAGAACAGCCTCAGAACGCTAGTCTTCACTGAAGAAGCAATTTTTAGCCTTGGCGTGCTAATTTGCGGATATCCTGACTCAATGATTAATCATTACTATTACTTACTTGAACTGCAGCCCAAAAATTTCTCAACGCCAATTAACTAGTTGCGGGTCGAGGAGAGTTTAGTCTCTTATTTTAGATGGTCTCTTAACCTGTGGTGCACTGGCATAACTTGGATCTTGAGCTTTAACAAACTTATACCCGGATGTATGGCGACCGGAACAATAATCGACCCATAAACTATTGCTCCTGGCTTTAGTTGTTCGATAGCCAATCATTCGTACTTCTCTGAAGGATGGTGACCTTCTTGGACAATATGGCCTGGTGAGCCAGCGACTGAGTGGGTGACGGATTCAACAAAGGACAGGGGGCTTCGCGATACTGGTTAGATGTCACTGTTTTGCTTGTTATAATCCCTTTCCTTTACGGAGCACTTGCTTCTTGTTCTCAGTATTATTTGTTTCTCAATAATGCAGGGCTAACTGGTTGAATAGCTTGTTGACTACGGAGTTAACGAGCTTATCCAAGCCACCTAAACTCAACGCGGTTATGAGGTATATTCAACCTCACCAGTTACTCCTTGACGCATACACGGTGCAGCTGCCATGAAGTTCGTCTCAAACTACAGATATTCGCCTCTTTGTATGCGGTGATTTCATCATTCTATGCCGCCTATACAGGGTAACAAAGGCACAAGCAAAGTGGCATTCTGGTGAGCTCACGGAATAACAAGCCATCACATTCAGCAACAATAACTACGATATCAAACTTTCGATCTCCCAGCCGGAATCAAAATTCACCCAAGCTGCTGTCCAATTATTGCCCTATCCTGCCACAAAAACGCCAATGGCAATTTTCTGTGGATAGACTGGCTCCAGGCTTCTCCATTAGATATTATTAGGATGCAACGCCATCAACCAATCTACAGAAATAGTTGAACTATTTGTCCAGAAAATTCAAATACGGCAACCCCATTATTTAGACACTTGCTATGATTCGCCGCTCTAGGCATGGCTTTCCCGGACTTCCTTCACTTTCTCCCGATGCTGCATGCAAACACCAGATCACCCAAGCGCCAAATTACAGGAGCCAATAGATGAAGCCCACCTTAAGTTTACAATGCGTTATGGCATTGACCAACCCGAGGGCCTCTGCGTTTCAAAGCGGACCAATATTCCTTACATCCCTTTTGATGGAGAAAGAGCTAGCTTTTATATATCTACTTTTATCCGTTGCGCTGCTCCATACTCCGTATCTTTGACCAATTTTTTCCCGACTCCAAAGCGTGTTTCATCGTTGCAACTGTGACAAGATGGCGATTCAAAATGAAGGTTCCGCAATCGATCCCCCACCACGACCTGTGGCCTTGAATCACAATACAAATGAGTCAGAAGAAGGCCAGAGCATAACATCAGGCAGTGAGTGGCAAATGGTATGTAAACATGTTCTGTTGGATGAATTCAAGCTCAATGTCATAATCTTGTAGAAGACCCCAAAAAAAGAAGGCTGCCCCCCAATCGCCATAGTAGGAATGGCAGTGCGAGCCCCTGGAGGGGTTAAATCTCCTGATGAACTTTGGAGATTTTTACTTGAAAAGAAAAATGGAGTTTGTGAGGTGCCTGGTAACAGGTATAATATCGATGCTTTCTACAGTGAGAATAAAACCCACACGGTCAAAACTCGTCATGGTTATTTCCTTGACGAAGATCCGGCCTGCTTTGATGCATCATTCTTTGGCATCAATAGCGATGAGGCTGGGCAGATGGATCCGCAGCAGCGCAAACTCATGGAGGTCTTTTGGGAATGTTTAGAAAGCGCAGGTGAAACCGACTGGAAAGGGAAAAATATCGGCTGCTATGTCGGAGTCTATGGTGAAGATTGGTTGGACCTTGCTAGCAAAGACCCTCAATACACCAATCGCTACCATATTCTTGGTACCGGCCAGTTTGCTCTTTCTAATAGGCTATCATGGCAGTATGATTTTCGGGGACCAAGGTCGGTAACCGGCCTTAATGATACATACTCTGTTTTTTTCCGCCGAGAACTAATACTGTTTGTAGTATGACAATTCAAACCGGTTGCTCAGCATCTTTAGTTGGCTTACATGAAGCCTGCCAGGCTCTTTATTCTGGAGAATGTTGCTCAGCTATGGTTGCGGGCACAAGTTTAATCTTCGCACCTACTATGACAACTACAATGTCCGATAATACCGTCATGTCCCCAACTGGAAAATGCAAGACCTTTGATGAGAAAGCTGATGGCTACGGTCGGGCTGAAGCAATTAACGCTCTCTACATCAAGACTCTAGATGAAGCCATCCGAAATAACGACCCAATTCGAGGTATAATACGCGCAACTTCAGTCAATTTTGACGGGAAAACGCCCACTATCACCACTCCCGGTTTTGAATCTCAAGAGGCCCTTATTCGAAGAGCTTATGAAAGGGCCGGGATTGACGATATCAGCCAAACTGGGTTTTTCGAATGCCATGGAACTGGCACAGTGGCTGGAGACACCGTGGAAGTATCTGTCGTTGCTAAAGTCTTTGAAGGAAAAGGAGTTATAATAGGTGGGGTGAGTCGAGCCCCTTTTTGAGTCTTGGGTTGCATTATAATACTGAGAGTTCACAGATAAAACCAAATATTGGACATGGGGAAGGTGCATCAGGAATTTCAAGTGTTATCAAGGGGGTAATGGCCCTTGAAAATGATAGAATACCACCGAACGTGTTTTTTGAATCACCAAACCCAAGGATTCCATTCCAAGGGGGCAAACTTCAAGTGCCGGTGGATTCTTCACCCTGGCCAGAGCACCGCAGCAAAAGAATCAGTGTCAACAGCTTTGGGGTCGGCGGTGCTAATGCTCATACTATTTTGGAGTCTGCTGCTTCGTTTTGTGGCACCACTAAAAAGCCGAACCCTATACAATGCGGTGGCCCTTGCCTCCTCACTGTATCCGCAAAGAATTCTGATCAGCTAAAAGAGCGAGTTAAGATAGTCACTGATTATCTGAATGAAGACGTGTCACAGCTGCGTGACTTGGCTTACACCCTAGGAGTACGCCGAGAGCATTTACCGCACCGTGCCTTTATCATAGCACAACTGGACCAACCTATTAACTCCGTTGATTTCCACACTGGCCAGGCTAAGTCTTCTGGTCTGGCCTTTGTCTTCACAGGTCAAGGTGCCCAATGGCCAGGTATGGGAAAAGATTTGCTAAACTCTTTCCCGAGTGCCAGAAAAGACATACAGACTCTAGATAAGGTCCTCCAGGACTTACCAGACGGTCCCAGCTGGTCGATAGAAGGTAAAACAACCAAATATAAATTGGGTTTTCATCTACTAACGGGTTTTTAGAGGAGCTTGTTAAAACTGGTGATGATAGCAGGGTCCATGAGGCAGAGTTCTCCCAGCCTCTTTGCACTGCTCTCCAAATTGCACTTGTGAATATATTATACGGATGGGGTATCAGGCCATCATCTGTTGTTGGGCATTCTAGTGGAGAGATTACAGCTGCTTATGCTTCTGGTGCTATAACTTCCAAATTGGCTATAATTATAGCATACTATCGAGGTAAAATTACAAAAGAACTGGCAACAAAGGGTGCCATGGCAGCTGTTGGCCTAGGAAGAGATCAAGTCACTCCATATTTGGAAGACGGAGTTGTTATCGCCTGCGAAAATAGTCCTCTTAGTGTGACACTATCAGGAGATGCCGCAGCCCTTAAGAAAGCAGTGGGGTCAATCAAGAGAGATTTACCAGATGCATTTTGCAGGGAGCTTCGCGTGTCGGTTGCTTATCATTCTCGTAAGACTTCTCCTCTGTATGAAGCTATATACCTGCTAACTATCCTAGACCATATGCAAGCAATTGGGGCACGATATGAATTGTCAATCTCGCCATTCATCAGGCATCAAGAGAAGATGCTTCCTCTTTTTTCTACTGTTACTTCCAAAACCATTACCCAATCTCAGGACCTTAACGCTGCATATTGGCGTAGCAACCTCGAATCGCCAGTGCTATTCTCTGGTGCCGTCCAAAGCGTCCTCCAAGGGGCACAGCGAACCGCTTTCCTTGAAATTGGGCCTCATAGCGCTCTTGCAGGTCCTCTTCGCCAAATTTTCCAAATTGCTGGTCTCAAGCATCCTCCTGTATATGTTCCTACACTTGATAGAAGTGACACTGATTCTCGGACCCAACTTCTGTCCGCAGCTGGGTCTACACACATTTGTGGAGTTTTTGTTGATCTGGAGTCCGTGAACGGGAAAGGCAATACGCTGGGTAACGTTCCGCCGTATCCATGGAACCACGACCATAAGTACTGGTATTCTAGCCGCCTAACAGATGAATGGCGATTCCGCGCCTGCCCTCACCATGAACTCCTCGGCAGCCGGGCAGTCGAGGCGTCAGACATTGAGCCATTATGGAGGAACGTATTACGGTTGGATGATGTACCGTGGCTCATGGATCATACCCTCCAAGGAAACATTATATTCCCGGCTACGGGCTATATTTCAATGGTCGGAGAAGCAATTCGTCAACTCTTCCCGGACCCCGAAGCGAATGATTATTCCATAAGGAACCTTCTCATCAAATCACCTCTTCTGTTGAAGCGGGAACGAGAAGCAGAAATAATCACTGCCCTTAAACCTGTTAAAGTCACTGATCTGGTTGACTCTGAATGGTATTCATTTACAATTATGTCGCATGATGGGAGCGGCTGGACGAAACACTGCCAGGGAGAGGTGAGGGCTGGCCCGGAAAACCCTCCTAAAGAATATGAAATTCGGACGCATAGCCGACCCATCGACACCGCTTTGTGCTACAAAATGGTAGAGAGGGCTGGGTTTAACTACGGACCCCATTTCAGGCGCTTCCAGGATATAACTGTCCATCCGACACAAAACAGAGCTTCTGCAAACGTTCTTGAGTTTAAGGAGAAGATTGTTAGCCGGTATGCCCTTCATCCAGCCACTATGGACCATGCTCTCCAATTGTTCCCAATAGCCGTGGCCAAGGGCCTCCCTCGTCTTTTACATATCCTAGTTCCCGCATCCCTGGGAAAGATTTATGTGCGAGGAAGCTCATCTCAACTCAGCGTTGAAACAGCGTACACTTATAACAAAAAGGGAGCTTGGGTTGGACAAGCCACAATGATAGAACACGACAAACTTGTTCTTTCTTTCGAAGATTGCGTTGGTTTCCCAGTGGAAGGGCTCAATAAGTTTGGAACCTCTGATGCGTCCCTATGTTCTCAGATCAGGTGGGCTCCGGATATCGATTTGATACCTTCTCAAGCCCTGCTTCCCAGCCCATCAGCTCAGGAAATATATCGTGTGATGGCCAGCGATATAGAGCAGCTAAGCATTCTCTATATCTTGGAGGCTGAGGATAAACTCGTCAGTATCGACTCAATAGAATCTCCTCTAAATGGTTGGAGGGGCTGGGTAATTGCCAAATCCTCAAATCTTCGCCAACTTCCCGACTTTCTACCTCTTGAAGCCCATGAATTGATTCAAATGACTTCCGAATGCCGCAAACACCGCATTAAAGCACTGTCATCTAGATATGCTGCCAAGAAAGGAGATCGCTCTATTCCATCTGAATGCATGCAACACATATATGAGAACTGTGATAAGTTCTTCCAAGGCCAGAACTTATCTAAACAGACTATAGATTGCCTAGAAAGATACCGGAGCTTTGTTCAATCACACTGCGATTGGAGTCAATTTTTAACCCTGCTTGCCCATTCCAACCCATCCTTGCGGATACTGGAAATCGGTGGAGGGACAGGCTGTGCGACTCAAGTTGTGTTGAAATATTTGCAATCATCTGAAGGTTCCCGGATGTTCTCGCATTATACGTTCACAGACGCATCAGAAAATGTTGTGCAGGCGGCCAAAGCACTGTTCCCTGATGGGATTGAACTCAAAGTTCTAGACATAACTAAAGACCCTGCAGAGCAGAACTTCGAGCTTCATAGTTTCGATCTTATTATCGCTTCCAACGTTGGTATCTTTTTCTCAACGTCGATAGGAAACCGGCTAATTTTTACTATTAAGGTTCTTTACTCTACGGCCCAAGTTCAAGTGGCTCTCAAGAATATACACAAGTTGCTTACTCCTAATGGCCGACTTCTATTCCACGAATTGCAACCAGGTACGTGTATATCCGATAGACCACACACAATTCTGTGAATCTTGGCTCATGGGCTATATTTAGGAGTATTATCTACCCGCTTTATTCTGGTATGTAACAGGTACGTTTTGGCTGTTAATGAGTAGATAGCTAACAGGCAAATAGGGGCTTCTTCCCGAATGGCGGTCGAGTGATGATGATAAACCTGAACAGCCATGCCTGTCTCCCAAGCAGTGGGAGCAACAACTCCAGACGGCTGGGTTCTCTGGAGTAGACGCAATTAGCTTTGATTTCGACGCTCCCCGTCAAACATCCTTTTCAATATTGTCAAGCGTAAAGCCCTCTGCCTCTCCTAAGACTGACGTTACGCTCCTGACGGGAGACACTCCTTGTCCCTGGGCCAAAGAAATTGCAGATAGCCTTGAAAAAACGGGGTATCGAGTGCATTGGGGCAGACTGGATCAACCTCCTCCCACCGACCAGTGTATTATCTCAGTTCTGGATCTGGAGAGCCCTTATCTCCATAATCTACCCGAAGAGAAATATATTGACCTTCATTCATACCTAACTAAAATAGGGAAGTCCAGGATGATATGGGTGACAAGAATGAACCAGCTTGAGTGTAGTGACCCCAATTTCGGCATCATTTTTGGGCTGGCCAGGACGCTGAGGAATGAAATGGGTCTTGACATTTCAACTTTTGAGACCGACGTGTTTAACAGTGCCACAACAAATGGATTGAGCAGGGTACTCGATAAGATCGAACGGTCTCGCGCGTCCTCTGCTCTTGACCCTGAATATGAGTTCGCATTTCATAATGGGAGCATATATAATGGCCGGTGCCATTGGGTGTCACCTCACAGTCAGATGCCAATCGAGTCCTTGGGGGAAACACCAAGGAAACTTGCAATCAAGTCTATAGGATCAGTAGATTCACTCTACTGGCAACCCTTTGATGATGCTACAGAGTTAACGGGGGATGAAATCGAGATTGATATGCATTACATTGGGTTAAACTTCAGGGTACATTAATATCATCCCCAGGCGTTGTTGGTTTTAGCACAGCTTGCTGACTGTAATTGTAGGATATCATGGTAGCGACCGGCCTGTTTGGGGACCCTGACGAGTTTGGCATAGAAGGCAGCGGTATCGTTCGTCGGGTGGCGTCTGGAGTTGTCGACTTTAAACCTGGGGACAGAGTGTTTGTATTGAATACTGGTTCCTTCCGCACGAGGGTTGTGCGGCCAGCGCATACGGCCTATTTGCTTCTAGATACGATGACATTGGAAGACGCTGCAACAGTGTCTTGCGTATACCTTACGTCTATCCTGTGTTTAGAAACCATTTCTCGGGTCAGGGAGGGCGAGGTAAGCAGCAAGGGAACACTCCATATTGTCATTGAATAGCTAACTAAAAATCGACATGTAGTCGGTACTTATACATTCAGCCTGTGGAGGAGTTGGCCTGGCTGCAATTCAAGTCTGTAAGACGATAGGTGCACAGGTATGTGAATATGTCCCGTTCTAAATGACAGACTGCTGGCTGCGGTGTGCGAACCTTATAACCAACTATATCGTATTCCAGATATTTGCCACTGTCGGCAACGAAGAGAAGGTCGAATACCTCGTTAATGAATTTGGCATCCCACGCCATCGCATATTCAATTCTAGAAATGCAGATTTCTTGTCAGGTATCATGAGGGAGACAGGGGGCAGGGGCGTTGATGTGGTTTTGAACTCTCTCTCTGGAAAACTGCTACACACTTCGTGGCAGTGTGTTGCACCATTTGGCAAGATGATTGAACTGGGGAAACGAGACTTTTTAAGCAATGGACGCCTGGATATGGCACCAATGATAGAAAACCGCTCATTCATAGGATTTGACCTAGGTCATTGGATAAACGCGGATCATGGCATCTTGAGGCAGTAAGTAAAAGAAAGCTTAAGGCCTGCTTGTGGACATCTGTGGGCTATTACAACTAACCAGTGGAACAGGATAAGGGGAAAGTTGCAGCGGTGGCATGGCCAAGGCCTGAAGCCCATACGGCCCATCAAGGTCTACGATGCAGCAGATGTCTCCGAGGCATTCCGTTACATGCAGCAAGGAACCCATATGGGTAAAATTGTGATCCGGCTTCCTCAAGACCTTTCGGCCATCCCACTGGCAGGTGTGAAAGCCCCGGTAGAGTTTTCACCAGATGTCTCTTACCTTTTGGTAGGCGGGCTAGGAGGCTTGGGACGTTCTATATCCGCTTGGATGGTTGAGCAAGGAGCTCGTCACTTGGTATATTTGTCACGAACCGCAGGGCAAACGGATAAGGACCGAGCCTTCATACGAGAGTTGGAAGATCAGGGCTGCCATGCGGTCTGTGTAGCAGGAAATGTCGTCAATATAGCAGACGTGAGATCTGCGATTGCTCAGTGCCCCAAGCCTCTGGCTGGAGTCTTCCAGCTGTCCACTGTTTTAAAGGTATGTCTCATTGCTTGGTTTATTGTTCTAGCCTGCTAACTTGAGTTAGGACGGCACTTTTAGTAAGATGAGCTATGAAGACTGGACGACATGTCTCGAGACCAAAGTTCAAGGAACCTGGAACTTGCATGAAGCGCTGCAGAACGAGAAGAACATAGAATTTTTCGTGCTGTTCGGTTCCGTGTCTGGCGTCTGCGGAAACGTGGGACAGGCCAACTATGCGGCTGCTAACGGGTTCCTTACCGGTTTCACACAATACCGGCGCCAGCTGGGGATGCCTGCATCTGTTCTTGAGCTGGGCATGGTAGACGAGGTTGGCATGGCAAGCGAAAACGAGGCGGCTCTCCAGAATGCTCGATCTGCCTCACTCCGACTGGTTTATGAGAATGAGCTAATCGAAGGAGTACGGCTGGCCATTTACCAGTGCCGCAACCCCCCACCAGCAAACAGCATGACGTCCAGTTCCAGCATCATCGGACTGGGCAATACCAAACCACTGACTGAGCCTGGAGTACGCCCGCTATGGGCCAGAGATGCACGGTTTGCGCTATACTCAAACCTGGAAGGGAATGGGAATGACGGAATTACTGGTGAAGCGAACAACGAGATCAAGGTGCTGTTGTCGAGGATCGGACAGAGCGTATCATACCTGAACACCGAAGAGTCTAAGGGCATAATCCAAGGAGTGCTGGGGATGATGGTGAGACAGAACATGGCGCATACGCAGGACATGGACGAGGACGAGCTTGCGGGCGTTAATATTGATTCTCTCATGGCTATCGAGATGCGAAACTGGATCAGACGCAACATGGGCCTTGAAATCAGTCTCGTTGAGATCGGAAAGGCTGGAGTAGTTGGGAATCTTGCAGAGATCGTCCATGGATTGATGAAGGTCAAATACGGCGTTACTGGGGAACAGGATGGCGCTGATCCTAACGACGACTTTGACTAATGTCGGAGATGCCGCAAGCTTGGGTGTGTGTGTAGATTTAGGCGTAGGCCTAGGGAGATGGGAATGCATATGCAATGCAACGCAGGCGAGGTTCCCACATCTCCTCCGGCCGTGCATGTGTATGACAACACGAACCGAGATCCAGCCGGGAAAAGGCCAGAGGCCGACAGCGTCTAGTAGCCATCCTGAACATGGTTATCGTAGAACAGTTGAACTAGTTGTCTGGCCATGGGAGTCGTGGAGGTCATCGAGTGGTCAGAGCTGCGCGGCTAAGTGGCTATTTAAACTAACGCAGCGTCTATTACCTCATAACGCAACCCTTTTGACACTTGCAAAGTGCCACAGATATACATATATAAATCACTAGTTTCAACGAGTTATCCCCTTCAGACAAGTTGGCCGGCAAGTCGAATACTCCGACGTAGCCCGTGGTTTTGTGACTGTCTCTGTCTTGATATCAGCCTAGCGGACGTTTACATAACTGCATAACTACATCTCGAGCTCTGCCATTAGTTATCCAGACCGTATCAACGCTTCTTGGGGATTATCTGGATCTTGTCTCCCATGGAATAAAATAACTACATTATTAACTAACGGCCAGTCTATTATTTGGGACTTGTTTTTTCTTTTTCCTTTCATCTTCTCTTCTTTTCTAGTCCGGCGGCCTACTTCTTCTTCTTCTTCTTCCTCTTGCTTGAACGAACCCCCTTGAGACTCTCGACGTATCTACTATCTATATATTAATTACGGCAGACATTTCACCTGGTCTAACGGCTCCCGCAGCTCAAGTCCGGGGAGTCTCCATCGTACGCACTTGTCCGGCCTAACGGGCTCCAGCCTGCGTCTATTTTAACTACCCGTCCTTTTACTTCTTTATTTACCCTCAAGTGTTGTTCGCCTTCAGATCGGCCTCGGCTAGACTAGTTCAGTTAACTAGTTGCTGAACCCACTAGCTAAAGGCTGGTGTTGTGCGCACGAAGGAGAGAGAGAGAGTGCGTGTGTGTGTGAGACAATCGAGAGAGTTGAGTGAACCAACGAGCGTGCTGTGTTTGTGGTGCGGTGTGTACGGGTACGGCCGCCATCATGATGCAGGGCTTCTTTCGGAGTATCTATGACTGGCTGCTGAGGATGTTCTGGTACGTTTTGACGTCGTTGCTGGTCGGAGAAAACGGTCGAGAACCGATGGCGCTGACGACGGGGACGGTAGGGCGACGGAGATGGACGTGACGATGGTAGGCCTGCAGAACGCCGGGAAGTCGTCTCTTCTGCGAGTGCTAGCGGTAAGCTTGACGTCAAAATGGAGAAGAGAGGAAAAATTTAGGAGAAGATAAATAAATAAAAAAAAGAATGCTGACGTAGTGTGTTCTAGGGCGGCGAGTTCACTGTCGAGTGAGTAGTTAGTCGAGATTCCGGGCTGGTGTGTATGGCGGTGGCGAATATCGTGCGTTTACTAACTCTTTCACCTTTTGTGTCTTTTGACAGCTCTATACCCACCATCGGTTTCAACACCAAACGAGTGCAAAAGGGCCATGTCACGCTAAAATGGTCAGTTTTTTGAAGAAGCTCCCCCCCCGTCTGTTCTGATAAGAGAAAGATAAGACGATGAGCATGGCATGAACTGACTAGAGCAGCTGGGATCTGGGAGGCCAGCCTCGCTTCCGGCCGATGTGGGAGCGATATTGCCGCGGAGTCAACGCTATTGTGTATGTCATCCTTCACCCGGAAGCAGGAGAAGAAGAGGAAGAAGAAGAAGTAGCTAACTCGACGGTAGATACATCGTGGACGCCGCAGACAGAGCCAGCCTGGCAGCGTCGACGGACGAGCTGCACGACCTGGTCAGCAAGCCGACGCTGGAGGGCATCCCGCTGCTGGTGCTGGGCAACAAGTCCGACCTGCCGGACGTGCTGAGCGTCGACGAGCTGATCGAGGCGATGGAGCTGAAGAGCATCACGAAGCGCGAGGTGAGCTGCTACGGCATCAGCGCAAAGGAAGAGACCAACCTCGACGCCGTGCTGCGGTGGCTCATCGCGCGGTCGAGTCGTTGACCATGCTGTCGTCTGCCTTTCCTTGGTTATGTTTGTTGTCCTGTCTTTCGGAGCATGCTGTGTGTAATACTATCTTCGCTTTAATCCAGTTTCTACGGTCTCTTTTCCTCCGTCTGTTCCCCCTTTTCCACGTCTTCGTCTGCTCGTCTTGGACTCTTTTTTTATGCTGAGCTGGCGATGAGCTGGCGTTGCATGGTGAACTGGCCAATGAGAGTAGAGTATTTGATTAGTCATGCTATAGACACCGAGCTGGACTACAGAAAGACAGAAAGACAGAAGTAGATGAAGTAGATGATGAAGAGGCGAGCAGTAGACGGAGTACTTTGTTGGTAGTAGATAAGAGGGAAGCCGAGGTGAGCAGAGCAGAGCAGAGCAGAGCAGAGCAGAGCAGAGCAGGCCTGTCCCTGGCTGGCTCCTGCAAGCAGCTCAGGGGTTGGCTCAGCCGGAGCTGCAGAGATGCTCTCGTCTCTCCTTGCATGTCTTTCTCCTTATATAAAACTATCCCATACATCCCTTCAGACCCATAGACCGTCATAAATATAACTGGTAGCCGGTAGCCTGCCGATCAAAAAAAAGCCCCTGAACCCTCCGTACTCAGAAGAGCACAGAGCACTCTGTACATCCGCACCATGAGACTCTCGCTCCCTCCAAGCACTCCTTAACCTTTACCATCTTCTTCTATTCTTCTTCCTCTCTTCTTCTCTTCCTATCTTTTTCTTGTCTTTTCTTGTCTTTTCTTGCCTTCAAATTCTCTGATTACGTCACTATCACGTGATTGTGAGTCACATGACGAATCATTTACTAATCGTGGCTCAGCCTTAGTCATCATTTGCAGGGCGCAGCTTTTCCGGAGCGCTTTTGCTCGTATCTCTCCGTCTTCGCCCTCTTATTTTCCTCGTCTTTAAAGCATCTCGTCTTCTCGTCTTCTCTCTCGTTCGTCTCTCTCTCCTTTCTCATCTGCTTTCCTAATCTCTTCCTCTTTGCTGCTTTTCATCGCATCAACTCCGTCTCACGTGACGCCAAGACCATCGATCAACTCTTCTTGTTTTTTCATTTTCGAGCATTTTCTTTATTGGGGATATTTATTTTTTTTTTTTTTTTTGCAGCTTCAAAAATATAAAAAAGGCAAAGGACGAGAGAAATAAGAAGATCAAAGAATTTACCTGAATATCGATATTGCTACCTTGTACCGTAGAAAAAAGGGCTGTACAAGAGTTCGAGCGTCGAGTGTTTGCAGTCAAGGGCTTGGACCAGCGCCGGGATCGCGACAAGATGGGCGTCATCGCAGAGAGATACTAGTGAGTTCGCCGCCCACTCCGTCCCCATACGCCTATAGCGAGATCGGTATACAGACAGAAGAGCAGCATTGGTACGCAGAAACAAGTTATACTGACCAGGCTGCGACAGCTCGAACGGCTACTACAACGGCGGCTACTACTACTCCTCGCCGTGGAATCGCTGGGGCCGCTGGGTCGTCCTCGTCGTCCTCGTCGTCGGCGCCTTTTTCCTCTTCCTCCTCTTTGCGTGAGTCACTCCATCCATCCATCCGTCCATCTGGCTGTCTATCTATCTATCTACCTGCCATAGTTCTGTGCTAACTGCCGTAGATGCATATCTGCCCGCCGTCGACGTCGTCAGGGCCTGCAGCCGTTCAGGGGCACGGGATGGGCCGGCATGGGCCAGCAGGCGCATCAGCCGCAGTACCAGCAGCAGTACCCCCAGCAGCAGTACCCTCAGGCGCCGCAGCAGCAGCAGTATCCGCCCCAGCAGTATCCTCAGCAGCAGCAGAGCGGCGTCCAGAGCCCTCCGCCGCAGTACGGTGCTGCCCAGGACTACTATGCCCCCCAGCAGACCGGCGTTGAGCTGCAACAGCCTCCCCATGCCTACGGGCAGAACTACCCCGGCCAGAAGGGCTGATGATCCCCAGTCTTTCTCTCTCCTGCCTTCTTCGTTTTCTTCCCGTTCGTCGGCTGTCTCTTTATTGGTTGTGGTTGTTACGTCTCTCACTATTCACGTCTCATGCTGTATCTCCGTCTGTGTCAGTAGTAAATAATAATCCTAATAAAATAAACCATTTGTAGCCTCCCATGATCCGTAAACCGAGATTCCACTGTCCACGGCCCAGCGTGGCGCAAGGTTGCCGTCATCGTCCGTCGACGTCGTAAGTTCAATAATAATAACCAGTATTTTACTTTATTTTTATTTTATTTTTTTTTTTTTTTCTCTTTTAGCTCACGGAACGCAGCCTTGGCTCGTCCTTAGCGCAGGAAAATTCGTTAGTTCTTTTAACATCTCGAGGCTGCGCAGGGCCGCAAGTCCGCCTCGACGACGACATCCACAACACCTACAGGCACAACCACGACTTGCATCGCCGTCCAGGATAACCGTCGCTCGCTCGTGCTGTTCTCGCTGCTTGTCCTGCTCCCTCGTTGCGCGCCGGCTGGCCGCTGTGCTGTTCCGCCTGCTCCTTAAACCACCAACAACCCACCCGAACCACACACACCACACCACTGCGGCCACCACTATCTACGCCCTCTCGGTCTCACGAACCGTCGCTCATTCAGTCTCCGGGGCAAGCCAGCGTGAATCGCCGTCTAGATCTTACTCTAGGAGACTCACTCTTGTTGATTCCCGGTCCCATGTTGCGTCTCTCGATTCACCCTCGCCTTATACACCCCTCGCTATAGACCACGATAGACCGCTTGATCCTCGATAGTGGACGCATCTCGATAACGGGACCATAGATCCGGTAGACTGAGGAGACAGATAAGAAGAGACTTGCGAGTTATCACCATGGATCCGCTCGAGTTTACGCCGTGGCACCAGCTGGCGCCGCGAGGCATCACCGGAGACGTCAAGGACACATTCTCCTCCTGGGACAAGTGTATGGCTAAAAGCTACTGCAAGTCAGTCTCTCCCCTCTTTCTGTTGGATATCTATATTTATATATCTTGCACGGCTCCCGTACTAATTAGCAAATTTTTAGATGGCCTGCCATCGTTGGAATCGTCATCGGCGGCCTCATCCTGCTCAGCGTCGTCTGGTGTCTCGTAGGCTGCATCTGCTGCGGCTACACCTGCTGCAAGGGGTGCTGTGAATGCTGCTCCTGCTGCTGTCCGTCGTCCTCTTCTTCTCGCAAACCACCGCCGGCACCCACCTACGATAGCCGGTCCAAGTTCGCAGACGACTACTCCGGCTACCAGCGTCCTGCGCCGCCAGTATACAATACCCAGGCCGCCAGTTCAACCCCCAGCTACGCCCAGTTCGATACCCTGGGCTCTCGTCCGGCGCCCACAGTGCCCACATCGACTGCCAGAGTCAACGAAGATGCATTGCCTAACATGCCTACCTGGCAAGACGCCACCACCAGACGTGTGGAAGACACATCCCACCACAACGAGGAGATGGAAATGTCCCATCTCAACCCTGTCACGGGGCACAGCGTAGTAGATGACCCGGGAGCAGCTCACGGCTCAGCATACTACCAACACGCACAACCCGTCTCGCCCATCTACCCGCCAGACCACCACCACCACCACACCCCTCACTCACAGCCCCTGAACATGAACATGAACACGGGCGGAGGATACCGCGGGCTGGATCAGGGACATACCAGTCCTTCCCTCCCTCCCACTGCTATCGGCATAGCACATTCACCGGGTTGCGGCCCGGCACCACTGTCAAACATATACCATGACTCCCAGCAGGAACAGCAGACCTCAGGCCAAATATACGTCCCGCCACGATACAACACTCAGTCCCCTTCGACCATCGGCATCGCTACTCCTGCTCCTCCTGGCGCAGGTGATGCATATGGCTACACACATCCAAACGGGAGCAGTCGCAGTTTCACTCGTTCTCCTGTCCAGCATATCAGAGGCACACCGTCGCCTAGACCGCAGCTATCGCCCGTAAATACATATAGTCCAGAACACAGCGGACTGCCATACCCTACCTCAAGATCTTACTCTCCCGCTCAGCAACAGAGGACATACACTCCTTATTCACCCTCGACGTCAACACCACCTCCTCCTCTTTGGAACGGGCAGGGGTCGGGCGCAGACAAGCCACATGAGGCAGAGCAGTCGGCTTCACAGCCACCCCGGGCTCCAAGCTTGTTGATGGCTGGAAGAAAGCCCGTGGAGAACTCCTGGAGAGATGTATAGTTTACTACTTTTTTTTCCCCCTTTCATTACCCTTTGCCCTCTGGCTTTTTTTCCATCTTACTTTTCGTTCATGCTGTGATGGCGGCTACTACTACTCGTTTGTTGATATGTTTGGTTATATCCTGGTTTGGATTCCTGTTGTGGTGTATATTTTTTCCTCACTTTTTCTCTTTCTTCTCTAGATATGCTGATGAGCTGTCTACTGTTTACTTTTCATGTTTCCTCCCCCCCCCTTACATGGGTAACGAACTTGACTGGGGCATTGGGTGGCCATACGTTTGCTAGGTTGATTGGATGCTTAGATGCTTACCTGCTCACTTCCAGGTCTATATCATGACTTACTGAACAATCTAATTAATTTGATGTCTAACCATTGTCCCTTGAATTGTCCCTTTTTTGCCTTTTGCGCAGCTATTTACTATCTGCAGTGCATGCCGGATAACCCCCATTTCTAACTCCTTGCCATGCACCCATAAATTAAAATATGCTAAAGGAGAAAAAAAAAAAGGAAAAATGCTATCAACATCGAAATGAAGCCATCAAGCAATCAGTTTCCAGCCGGAATGCTTCACCCTAGCAAACACAATCAAGCTCCCTCCCACAGCAATAAGGGCAGCGCTAAAAATGATTGCCTCGTCATACCGGCCGTCAGACCGGGTCACGATGGCGCCCATCATCGGCGAACTGGTCAGACAAAACAGTCCGAGCACCCCCATTGTCATGCCCAGGTACGTTCCGATCTGGTTTGCTCTCGGCGCAGTCACGGCCACCGCAGCGGGGAAGAGACCAATGATAGCCCCGGATGAGAAGCCAAATAGCACAGCAAACACAATGATGCCCACCAGCGATGTTGCAGCAATCCAGGTAAACATCAACACGGCCGAGACAAGTATGGCTGCCAGCAAAGTGTTGAACCTACCACAGATGGTGGTTAGACGGCCACACACGATGCGTCCCACAAACGAACCGGTGTTGTAGATGGGCAGTACATAAAAGGCCCAGTCGACGCTGACGCCCTGCAGAATGGCGAACGATGGCAGGAAGAAAAAGGGTGTGTATATGCCCCAGAACACCAAACAGTAACCAACCAGCTGAGACACATACACCGGGTCCCTGAACGCGGCGGAGAGGAAGTGCGGTCCTCGCCGCGGAGTCACTCGGGGCGTTAGCGTAGCGCAGGCAATGCAGAGGAAGAAAAGAAATATCAGCCCAACCCCCCGCACAGCCCAGCCAAATCCGATAGAGGAGTGTTCCAGCATCTGAAGCAGGGCGATGGGGAATATCACTCCGCCCAGGGGCGAGCCAGCGGAGGCGACGGCGATGGCCAGATCGCGCCGGCGGTGGAAGTAGTGACCCATAATTGAAATGGATGGAGTATACAGCATCCCCACGCTGAAACCGCCTAGTACGCCTTGCGTGAGAATGAACTGGTAGTACTCTTCACAGATGGAGGTGATCATCACCGATAGCAGAGCCAGGAGTGAAAAGGGAATCAGTATAGGCTATCTCGACGTTAGACTTTTTTTTTCTTTCTTCTCGCTACAACTAGACGATTGAACTGGAAGTAGATTTGACATTACTCACTTTGAGACCGTATCTATCCACCAGGGGGCCTGATATGAGGCCCGTAGTGCAGATAAAAAAGGCCTGCAACCCTCCTATCCAGGCTATCTGGGAATGGGTGTTTTCTTTGAGCAAGTGTGTATGGTAGTATGCCTGAAAGACCCTACATAGTCCTGTTAGCCATTGAATGCATCTACCAAACGCCCTGCTAGGGGGAAGGTAACTAACCCGAATGTACTGATCCAGCCAAATGTGCAGGCCATGGCACAAAATGCCCCTAGCATGTTGAGCCATGCCTTGAGGCCCCCCTCTGGATACGTTTCCGTATCAACACTTCCTCCATCAGTTTCCCGCTTCACCTTCATGTCCGTTTCTGTATCTGGCTCGCCTACTCCGGGCGGTGGTAAGGGCAGGGCGGCCTCAGCCTGGACCACGGTATTCTTGATATCGCAGCCCATTGTGTTCGCACGATTGCCTGCAGCAGTTCATGCATCTATTTGAGAACTTTGCCATATGCAAATCTAGAGGCAGTCAGCAGATATACATACACACACATATATATATACTCCCGTACTTGGTATGCGGTTACTCCGTATAATATCCGATATATCAGCATGAGCGGGCCAGCCTTGGCCCGCCGGAAGCCCCATCAGTCCAGTTTGCCTTACAACAGTTAATGCTTGACTACCCGGTCACATAGCAAAGAAAAAAAAAAAAAAAAAATCGCTGTGACTGTTCTCGCTGTTCGTTATCCCTGCCTGTCCTGCATGAGAGCAATGAAACATCCTTCCAGCCAGCGAGCATCCGCATCCCGGCAAAAGGCTTCGGCAAGAGAAACGACTGCCCCGTGGTGTCCAGGTGGTGTATAAGTAGAGAGCTGCACAGGAGCGGTGCCGAGGAGAAACCAAGGAAGAAACTGTTCGCGGCGATCGACAGCAGGCTTCTTCTCTGTCTGGTCTTGCAGCGCCCATCAGGCCTTGGAGCCCTCGTCGGCTGGCCGTCTCATCCGCCGTTTGGCGTTTGGTGTTCAACGTTCGGCGTTATACTTCTTTGCTTATTGTCCCCGTAGCTAAGTAGTTAGCGAGCTATTCCAACCTTGGAGACGCCACTAGGGGCCCGGTGAATCGGCCGATTGATAACTAACGGGGGAGAAAGGCTCTGGTCTGGCTGTGTGCGTGTGAAGGAGCTTCGTTGAAAAGTAGCTTTGTGACCACCTTGAATGGCCAGCTAGCCGTGGAAGTTATGAACCAGGCCTGCACAGGAAATCCGGGAGAATAAGCAATTATTGGCGCGGGATGTTGCTTGCATGCAGGTTGGACCAGCTGTTATTCAAGTTCATCGAGCTAGGATTGAGATCTATACAGACCACTTTTAACTATTTCGTTATGAGACCGGGTAGTAGAGTGGTAAATAATAAATTGCATTGAAAACGAGCGACCAAAAGGTGAGTACAAAAAAGAAAAAGGGAGTCTTCTGATGTGCAATTGCGCAGAAGGAATGAAACACCCGATGATAGGATCGATCACCTTCTAGTCCCCGAAATTTGTATTCGCCCTTCTCTTCAGGCTGCCCAGCTTGGAGGGAGTCTCGCATCCAGGCTCTCCATCACATTTTCCAAGCTTCACCTCGCCGGCGCAGTCAGTTACAAGGAGCAGGATGCCAGCATGTAGACTTGGGTCTGCAGGCAAGCTAGGGCACTGCTCGCGTAGAGCTTCATATTCTATCTGGGCTGGTGGGGCCAGATCTGACAGCTTTTCGGCCGTCGCAGCCTTGCTTGTTGTTGTTGTTGTTTTGCTGGTGCTGATGATATCGATTGTACCCAGACTGCCGGCAGAGGTAGCCGGCGTTGTCTCGCTAAAGGAATCGGGAATGCTGTTCTTCTGGGTCATCTTTTTGACGATATCAAAGTTTCTTGAGGAAACTCGTGTGAGTGAGGTTGCTGCGAACAGGGACGTGAGTGCTGCTTCTGCGTTTCCCGAGCCGCTGACGGCGATGTCCGCTGAAGAGTCCGTTGATGAAGTATTTGAGTCTATTCGGGGTTTGCGTCTGCGACGGAGTAGACTGCGCCGTTTTCTTGTTCGTGAAGAGAAACCGGAGAGTGCACGCATCCTGGAGGGCATGGTGGTGAATGCATATATATATATATATGTGTGTGTGTGTGTGTGTGTGTGGGTGATGTATGAGCGTGAGTATAGTCGCTAGCGGATGTTTCAAGTCAATGATTTCATGTGCCTTGGTATCTAGAATCCGCCTGCTAGTTGCAGAGGCAAAAAGAAGAGTCGATGTCGGAGTTGATGTTGAGAGTTCATGTTGATGACTTCATAGAGAATAACATCGAAAGCTTGGTGCGACTTCCGTTTTTGGAACTCTGCTTTATTTCCCACACCACAAATGTTGACACTATTAGCTATAAACAATGTGTATTGATACAGGTTGAAAACAGGTTGGGTATCTATAAAGGAGATTAGCAGCATTAGCCTTCAGACAGTGAAATCAAAGTCTTTGAATGCCCCCTTGAAAGCCTCAACATCTTTTTTCTCTTCCTCTATTGACTGCGACGCATCTCGCCAGTTCAACCTGTCCTCCAGTCCTAGCAATTTGGCCATCACCGTCCGGCCGAACTGGACATCGAATCGGAACCTGTCGCTTAGCGGAAGAACTAGTGTTGTTTCGCTCCCGGGAGCGTCTCCTTCTGCTTCCTGCACAGGAGCCCAGATCCATACCCGGAAATAATCGCCTGGCTCATCACAGGTAGCTTCCCGTTTTTCAAATTTTGGATATTCCAGGTTCTCAGCTTCGACTTTGAATGCAGCTTCAACAAGACCACGGCGAGCCAAGCTTGCATCGACAGGCATAAATTGCCAGTGAATATGCACGCCACGACCCCAGCTCACTTCCCAAGTGACAGCGCCTAAAGCCACGTCAGCCCTCCCTTGAAGCATCGAGTGAAGTGCCGATCGGTACTTCTGGACTTCTACATAAGTAGCTGATTTAGATTCCGGGTCCTCTATCGACGCGAGAGATGGTGCATGGATCAATGGTATTATGAGAATATGGCCTGGGAATTCCAGAGCCGGAAAGGTAGATGCCGTTGGCAGTGGCCCCTTAGCAGTTGTAATATATGTGTCATTTCCAATAGATGCGATTAGATGAGATGCAATGTTAGGATTCGAGAGACAGAAGAAGCATTCTGACGGACCAGGAGCAGCTTTTCTTGCGCGCTTAGCGGGCCGTTGCTGGCCATCGTCTTGCCTAAAACGGGTAAATGATGCTTTCTGGCTAGGTAAAGGACCGCGCCCCCTTGCTACTGCAGTGAGGGGAGATATTGTCGTCCCGGCTGGGACAAAAGTTGGCAGAACGCTCTTCGGATCCAGGGTAAACGCATATAGCCACTTCTGTTTCGATGTAGTAGAGAATGGAGCTAGGTTGATAAACCGCGTGATGTGCTTTTCTATGGTGTATTCATCCTCTGGAATATGAAAAAATGGTTCCCGTTCGTAGAATGTGTCAGTAGCCGACGAAAAGTGATAGCGAGGCTTCAACGCTAAACAGACATTCGCAACACACTGACTGCCCTCCGTCGTGATTTCGCCTGTAGGGACTTTTGAGCCCTTCTCAATTCCTTTTGGCCATTCATAAGTTATGAGAATATCAGCCTTCTCTGCTGAGTACAGCGACTGAGCATCAGCCTCTGTATGATATGGAAGATATTTCTTATTCACATTAGCATCTGAAGGCAGCGGTCCATATATACCGCCAAGAGCAACAATTTTAATTCCTTCTGACGTGGCGAGTACTCCTCGTCTTCCTAGATAGAAGAGATTCGGGCAGACTTCATCATCCTTCGTCAGCTTCTCGGCCACCTCATTCGGGATGCCGTTCCTCCCAACTGTGAAATAGGTAGGCAACGCTACTTGAATAACCCCGCTAAGCAGTGCACTGAGGTCATCCTTGGAGTTTCCTGTAGAAAGGTCTCCAAAAAGATCTCCTGCGATAATGGCACATTCAAACTGTTGTTTGGCCTGCAGCTTCTCGAGCTTGCCAAACACCTCTCGAAAAGAGGAGTTCACCCCTCCGACTACAATGCTATGTATATATGTTAGCATCAATCAGTTCAATTAGTAATTTCAGTTCTAGTCTCAAGCTTACACTTTGGATGCCATATCCCCCGTCCGCAATTGCTGTCGCCCTGTCAATACCAAGTTCGTTCGTTCTCTTCTTTGAAGTCTAACAGCATATCAACAATGATGCGGCTGCTGAAGTAAGCTTGCTGAGTAATAGAAATCATTACTAAGTAGTTAGTCAGCCGTGATATAATATTTTCCGATAAGCCGAAAGTTAAAAAATGGACGGATATCAAAAATTTCCATATATCGAAATAAAAAAAAAAGAAAAGAAAAAGAAAAAGATTGCAGAGCTTCGATATTCAAGATTGAAGCGACAGTGAAATCGAGCTGTCAGCTGGACCATGATGGTTACAGCGTCCTCGAGCCAGCGGAGCAAGCTTCCGAGGCTGCAGAAAGGCGGCACTGCAACTACCAAATCCCACCGATGGGAGCCCTTCTCCCAGCGCGTCCTGAAGCTCAAGATCGACCCTGTCCATCGAGTGCGCCGGACGACCTTTGGTGAAGATGACGACGATGAGACCTCCTCCTGCTTTAGAGCCTCCCTGGATCATTGGGTGGAACTCAATCTGTCCGAGAATTTTACAAATTTTGTCCAGCGTGTGGATCGGTTATGCGAGAACCTGCCGCAGGTACTATACCACCAGGATGCGATAATGGGCTTGTTGGTGGAATATATTGAGAAGAAGGACGAATTGAGCATGGAGCCGCTTCTAAGTTTGATGGCACAGTTCGCGCGGGACCTTGGGTCAAGATTTGAGAAGCACTTCGCAGCCGCTGTTCAATTGATTGCTGCTGTTGCGGCCACCCATCCAAGCATCGATGTTATAGAATGGAGCTTTACCTGTCTGGCCTGGATATTCAAATTTCTCTCGCGTCTTCTTGTACCAGACCTCAGACCTCTGCTGGCCATAATGACACATTATCTTGGAAAGGAGCATCAGAAGCACTTTGTTTCTCGTTTCGCGGCGGAATCAGTCTCATTTCTTATCCGTAAAGCCGCAGCGGTCTACTACAAGGACAAAAAACCTCTCGAACGAGCAGTAACTTTTCTGCTCGAGGATCTGGCTAAGACCAGTGCTGAAGGACGCAAGGTCATGGCTTACCAGGAGGGACTCATGGCTATGTTTGCAGATGCGACAAAGGGCGTCAAGAGTGCTGTTCACTCTAATGGCATTGATATACTACGATGCCTAATGAAGGCTGTAGGCGTTAAAAACCAAGAACAAAGTGCCTTATCGGAATCGGTTTTAAGTGGTGTCTTGATCAGCCTCGTACACTATTGTACTGCGGAAACCTTTCGTCCGGTCCTGGACGCCGTTTGTCAATATAATGAATCAATATCGGCCAAAGATAAGGCCGTTGTTACTCGAGTCGGTTGCCATACTCTATTCCTTTGTATCGTTGCGAGAAAGGGCTCTCGAGTGGAGGACTGGAACAGAGCCCTAACTGCCCTACTACGTCTTCTCGCAAAGGCAACAGAAACCAACGTCTTTCCAGACAACTCCATTGAACAACTACTCGGGTCAGTGGCATTTGCCATTCATGCTTCGCCCATGGATGAGTTATTACCACATATGCGCCAGCTCATGGATTCTGTTACACACCAGAAGCTATCTAAACACTTTATACCATTTTGTGACTTGGTGGCAGGATTGGACCCAGAAAGGTTCCAAAGTGTTGTCCATCCATATCTTCAAAAGTGAGTTGTTTTTGCTACGCTTCTATCAACCCTTTAATCTACTTGCTAATATGTGCTCCAGGTTTATAGTTGCTTTATGGAGAGATCATGAGGAAGGGCTCTGTGTAGTTTTACCCCGTCTTCAGTCATCTGGCACAGTTACCTCGAATTCCTCTAGGCCCGGCTCATTAAGCTGCCCAAATCCGTGGAAGACTATTATATCCGGAAGATTCAACTCGTCTAGTCCTGACGAAGGGGAAATAGCTCTACTTAGCGCGTATTCAAAACTTCCGGACGCTATCAGCTTCTCCGCGGAACCTTCTATAATTCCCGACTTAGTTGATAGCTTGCACCAAAAAATTCGACTGACTCTAGAGTCTGGTTCATCAGAGAATCCCGAGGCTATGTTTTCTCTTGGTCAGGGGCTGTTGGCCTATGTTCGTTTTTCCAATGGGCTGGGGCAGCTAGATAATACACTATGGCCTTTGCTCTGTTCCAAAGCCAGCCAATATTCGAGGATTCCGGTCTTTTTAGAGGCTGTATCCACTTATGCATCACTTATTCGTGAACCTCCTGAGGTTTCTGATGTTGATCTCGACCAATTTGCAAATGCTCTACTTGCGAATCTGTCAAGCCCCTCACATAGACTCAGGCTACTATCTTTGGACATATTTCAGCTCATCTTCACGTGGCTAAAGATCGAGGATCCTTGTTTACCACTCGCGCGAAGTATTGAAACCAGCGAGCTTACTCTCCAAGCAGCCAGGGTCATATCCATGGATGTACGTCGGCTCGGAGTTAACTACGCTCAATCGTCCGGCAAGAGATGGATTGCTCGACTGGTTCCCAGTTTTTGTTTTGGTTTGCTATGGAAAAGGCTTGCTTCTGTATGGGATGATGCATGTGAAGCTATGAAGGTAATATGTGAAACTGACGCTGGTGAACGCGTTGTTTCCGAAATCGCGATGAACTGGCTCCACAGTACACCTATTGAAGATACCTCAGGGCATAACCCCCCGGATTCTGCGGCGAATATCTCATCCACGACATCTGAATACGGGTGTTATAATGTTAAAAATGTCCAAAAGGCCATGCATAGCTCATTCCGTACAAACGAGGATGCCAGTTCATCGTTATTAAATGATTTTAGATCTTCACATTCTCCACAACCTCTATCAGCAAAAAATGCAAGGAGTCAGGCGCTCAGGGTTCTTAATGCGGTTCCTAAAATTGCCGAAAAAAGGTCTCGTCAAATAGTCCCACTCTTTTTATCATGGGCCTCGCGCGACGAAACTTCTGTACATATCCCCGAAGACATGCTATCTATCGAGAAGGACGATATCTCAAGCGATTCCCAGCAAGGGTGGACTATGCAAGACAAGAAGTCGATGTTGACTCTCTTTGGAAAGTTTATCAATCCTAAGGTCCTCTACCAAGCTTCAGAGGCTCACGATGCGATATCGAATCTTCTATGCAACGGCGATCTGGAGGTACAAAAGCTTGCTCTCAATGCTGTGTTTACATGGAAGTTCCCTGCAGTCCGACCCTATGAACAAAATCTCCTCAATTTGGTTGATGATTCCCGATTCAAGGATGAGCTGGGTATATTTGTTCATGTTGGCAAGGATAACAGCTTGATCAAGAGTGAACACATAGAGGGGTTGTTCCCTTATATTCTGAAGCTCCTTTACGGCAAAATGGTTGCTCGGGCGGGTTCTCGAGGCTCACTTGGCCGCCAGGAAGCACGACGGAAAGCTATACTACGAATAGTCTCACAGCTTCCAGACGACCAATTTTCTGAGTTTGTTCAGATCTCATTTGGTTCTCTAGGGTCTATTGCATTAATCAACGACCATGGTGTGGTCAAAGACGATATCTTAAATCGAGAGTTTATGAGTGTGAGAAGACAGCTCGGTTTATTGAATATGGTTGAAACAATGTTCTCCATCTTGAAGAGAAAAATGTCACCGTTCGTTAACCAGACTATGAATGTGGTCCTTTATTGCCTTATCCGGGCGTATAGACAACTCGCTCAAAGCGAAGCATTTACCTCGGATGATAGCATTCAGCTCGGCCTTCTACGCAACATTCGACAGTTAGGTGTCAAATGTCTGGATTTGGTTTTCTCTGTGTCTCCTACAGTTGATTGGGAACCATTCATTCCTCTTATATTCTCAGAAGTAGTCAACCCAAGGCTCAACAACTTTGCAGTGGAAACTGCCCAGGCAGTGTCTGGATTACTTCAGCTCTTCCGTACTTGGGCTTCTAACCCAAGATCAGCAATGTATTTCAAGGGAACAGGCATTATATGTCGTGTCGTTGATTGTTTAGCCACGGAATCAGCACGAGACGAGGTGAAGATATTTGTTTTGGACGAAGTCCTAACGTCGCTGGTCGGCGTGTGCATCGACAAGAAGGTGGATGAAGAGGGTGACATTGATACGTCGGCACCATCACCAGAAGCCATTCACAAAATGGTCCTGGGGCCCCATATGGAATATGTATTGGCCCATCTGGAAGATTTTCTTAAGGAACAACCTCCCCGCCACATCCTTGGCCCTGCTGTTGAACTGCTATCCAGAATTTCCACCCTTGTTGTATCGTCTGCAGAGACCTCTAAGCTTATCAGCACTACTATATTTTTGCTTCAACAACCCCCGGATCGTGTTCCGCCAAAAACAAAAGGTCGCCTTCTCAAAGTTCTGCAACACTTCCTACCTCTATTTCAGCAGCAAGACCACCCAGAACTTACTCAGCGTATATTTGAAGTTCTTTCGTCTCTTTTCGACTATTTCAAAGACCAGCCAAATCGTGTGTCTCTAGCCGCCGTGTTTGACATATATGTTGCCAACGACCCGGAATTAGTTGAAATTGGGAAACTCGTTGCCGACCTGAATTCAATGTCAACAAAGCGATTGGATGAGGTTGATTTTGACCGACGACTCAAGGCCTTTGCTGTGATAAATGAAGAAAAGCATTCTTCACTTACAGCCAGGCAATGGAGGCCACTTTTGTTCAATATAATCTACAATCTTAAAGACGAGGAAGAACTTGCCATTCGGTCGAGTGCCTCACTCAGCATCAAACGGTTCATTCAAGTCACAAAGATCCGAGAAGAAAAGTCAAATTCAGGATATCACGACTTGGTTGAAAGAGTTCTTCTTCCTGCCCTTCGCAATGGCATCAAGCAAAGTGCGGAAATAGTTCGAGCGGAATTTGTGTCCCTTCTTGGCTGCTTGGTTCAGGAACACACCAAACTTCAAGCTGTGAAGGATATGCATGACTTATTAGCTGGAGGTGATGATGAGGCATCATTTTTCAATAATATCCTTCATATACAGCAACATCGGCGCCTGCGTGCATTGAGGAGGCTTGCTACTGAGGTTACCAAAGGCAAGATCCAAGCTACCAATACCAGCACGATATTTTTCCCTCTTGTTGAGCACTTCGTTTTCCAGCAATCCGAAGACGAAAATGCTCATAACTTAATAGCTGGAGCTGTTACAACAATTGGTTCCCTGAGTGAGGCCATCACGTGGAACCAATTTAAAGCTATCTTCCGCCGATACCAGGGGTATATCAAAAGCAAGCCTGGATTAGAAAAGACCGTTATCCACCTCCTCAGCCAAATGACAGATGCTCTTTCTCGTGCTGTTTCGGGCAAAGCCACTTCAGCGATTGCTGAGGAAGTCACTGGAGAAGAAATGGAAATAGAGGATAGCCCAGCGGTCCAGACAATGCTTAGCGCTTCAATTCCTAATGGTACCAAATTAACGGCTGAACTGAAGACGAACTTCATTCCTTTCCTGACTGGATTTACCAACAAGCGAAGTGAGTCTGACGTTTTGTTGCGTCTTCCTGTAGCAGTAGCAGCCGTCAAACTACTGAAACTGCTACCTGAAGAAGATATGGCATTGATGCTTCCTTCTCTTCTTATGGATGTGTCTAATATCTTGCGCAGTCGTGCGCAGGACACCAGAGATACAGCAAGAAAAACTCTTGCAGATATTGCTATTATTCTGGGGCCGTCATATTTTGGTTATATCCTTACGGAGTTGAAGGGAGCTTTAAGCAGAGGATACCAACTTCATGTGCTTTCCTTCACGGTTCATTCTATCCTCGTTGTAACTGCGGATGAATTTGAGGTTGGTGCGTTAGATCAAGACCTGAGTACTTTGGGTGAAATCATTATGGACGATATATTTGGTACCGTTGGCCAGCAGAAAGATGCCGAAGAATACGTCAGTAAGATGAAGGAAGTTAAAAGCAGTAAAAGTTATGATTCTGCTGAGCTGTTGGCCAAGAATGCTAGCATTCGGCACATCTACGACCTTATTCGGCCAATCCAACAGCTTTTGCAGGAGAAACTTACAACCAACCTTGTGGGCAAGATAGACGAGCTATTACGACGCATCGGCATTGGCTTATTGAGAAATCCAGAGGTAGAAAGCCGTGACTTTCTGATGTTCTGTTATGAAGTGATCAAAGAATCATACAAGGTACCTGAACCAGTTCTAGACAACGACGAATGGAAAATAAGAAGTCGATTCCTCGTCCAAGTTGCATCTATTCGAAAGAAAAGTGGTGGAAGTACTACGTCCTACCTTTACAAGCTTGCCCGCTTTAGCTTGGATACCCTTCGCTCAGTCCTCAACAAATACAACTCCCTGTTGACTGCGGATAACGTAGCTGGCTTTGTCCCAATTATCGGTGACTCGATAGTTCAAGGATACGAAGAAGTCAAACTCTCTGCAATTCGACTCTTATCTACCATCATCAAACTTCCCTTGCCTGAGCTTGACAAGAATGCGGATGTATATATCGTTGAATGTGTCAAGCTGATGAGGGAATCGCAAAGTTCGCACACCGATGCATCTCAGGCGGCTCTTAAGCTTGTTTCTACTGTTTTGCGGGAGCGGAAATGTACCACTATCAAGGATTCATATCTTGCATACCTTTTGAAACGCGTGTCTGCAGACATCGATGAGCCCGATCACCAAGGAATCGTGTTCAATTTCATCAGAGCCGTGATGTCACGTAAGTTCATGGTACCGGAGATCTATGAAGTCGTTGATAAGATCTCTGCCATGATGATAACGAACCATACGCGGAATGCTCGGGATCTGGCAAGGGGTACGTACGTGCAATTCCTGGTTGAGTACCCGCAAGCAAAGAATAGATGGACAAAGCAGATGGCATATCTCGCAAAAAACTTGGATTATACCCATAGGGAAGGTCGAGAGTCTGTGATGGAAGCCATCCATCTCATCCTAGCAAAGACAAATGGGGAGTTAGCTCAGGAGATGGTGGACACTTTTTTCATTCCACTCGTGATGGTTATGGCCAATGATGAGGCACCTACTTGCCGAGAGATGGCTGGCTCTCTTCTTGGAACTATTTTTACTCGTGCTGATGCTGAGCATCTGAAGGCGATACTGTCGCCGCTAGAGTCCTGGCTCGAACAGTCTGATAATATAGCTCTTACGACCACAGGACTGCAGGCCATTCGAATATTCTTCGAGTCTGACGCTAATAACAAAGACAGATACGCCAGGTTCGTCACCGAGCTTCTCCCTGGTATCATGAGCCTTTCTTTGGATAATAGGGAAGCAAATGAGTGGGAGATTTTATACTATTCTCTTCAGCTCTTCGTGAAACTGTCGAAGTTATTCCCGAGTGTCACATTAAACCCGTCCTGTGTAAAGGTCTGGTCTCAAGTCCTCCAAAGTCTGTGTTATCCTCAAGCCTGGGTACGATCGTGTGCGGCGAACCTTGTTGGTGTCTGGCTGGCAGACGTAGCCAAAGCTAATTCATCGATTGGATATTCATCCATTCCTCTGGTTGGCTCTTCAGGCTTGGTACTAGACGATACGTTGATGCTTCAAATAACCCGTTCAAGCATGTTTTGTTTGAAGACACCAAACATATCAGAGGATCTTGCAATTCAGATTGTTCGAAATCTAATATTCCTTGGCCGCTGCTTTGCGCAGAATAATCTGGTACTTCCTCAAAAGGAGGCTGAAGAGGTTGAAGGAAGTGAATACGAAGAAGAGGATCCTGTATCCAATTCTAAGCCTGCCAGGAAGAGCAAGACAGCCATTCAATATATATTTGAACAAGCCGCTCGAATCCTACGAAAAGAAGCCCTTACCACGCGAGCAGAGTCCCTCAACGCTAAAACGGCTTCTATGAAAATGATTGCCGCGCTTTGCACTCATATTGATGCCTCAACGGTGGTGCCATATCTACAAACTATCCTGCTTCCTCTTATACATTTGACCGACACTTCAATTCCGGCACCACGATCCTCAGATGAGATTTTCCAGAATACTTACAAGTCTTTGGTGTCGAGTAGTCAGGAGGTATTAGATATACTACAGAAGAAACTAGGAACTACGGACTTTGTGGCACACATAAGTGAGGCGCGGGAGCGGGTAAAGGAGAGGAGGGAAGGACGCAGAGTCAAGCGAAGGATAGAGGCCGTCACTGCACCAGAGAAGGTTGGCCGTGACAAGAGGCGCAAACATGATCGAAAGAGAGAAAAGAGAAAAGAAAGAGTGTTGGAAAACAGAAACCGTCGACATGAACTCTGAGCATATTATGTTCGGACGAATACTGTTTCAATAGAGTCAGGTGTTTGGGATATAAAAAGAGTTATTGGTCGGGGGTAAATGGCGTTTGGAAGAATCTTGAATACATCATTAGCATTTCTGCATATGATAGATCTGGAGAAATTGAAATATTATACAATCTATATAATACACGGTGCAAAAACGGAGATCATTTAGCAACTGATTTGACCCATAACCAATATCCAGCCGCGGCCACTCTAAACAATTATACCCACCCCGTGCGCCATTCATAGATATCCAAATGATATGAAATGCCTGAAGCAAAACTTCAAATATTTTGGGCAGTCATGATCCAGTCTAAGCTTTTCCATCCTGGCCCTCCCCACCCTTTAGCTGAGCCTGCTCAGATGATATAGTCTCCGGGCTAGCTTCAGCATTTTCCTCATCTTTAGCCCACCATTCCATATCCCCCTCCATTGTCCCTTTGGTGATCTTCAAGCCTTTCTGCGCAAGCAAATCTTCCAGTGTGACAGGGGCATCTGAGAAGATTTTCAGGTGATCACTGATAACATGTCGGTTGCTACAGCTTGGACATGTGATCAGGATAGTTCCCTTGTGATATCCGTGTTTTGAGATACGATGTGCTGACCTGTGAGAGCATGGTTTGCACGTAAAGTAGATGAGATATGCGGGTTCCTGGTCTCGTCGAGCTTGAGCTGCCTGTGCCTCTTCTTCTGTAGTTGCGGATGTCTTGTTATCGGTGAGTGGGTGGGGATCTCGAGTCGTCGTTGAGTAGCTGTTCCTACTCTGTAATGAAGACAATAGAGCTGGAGGACGTGGTAAAATGTTTGATAATCGCGGTGATGTCTGTAGTAGTGGGAGTGAAATAAACGTCGATTGAACTCCCCGTCTTGAGATAGAAACACCGGGAAGTCGGCACGCTGTCGTAAGCGCGTGTCGAAGTAGTCTCTGTCCAGTGGCCATGGTGATAAAATCTCCCCTTTTTCCGTGTATCCGCCGGTTCTTCTTCTTGATCTCTTCCTGCCTTTTGACGTTGTCATTTTGATCCTCAGACCTTCGAGGTTAACCTACTTAAGGTTTAAACTTTTAGACTTTTCCGGGAAAAGGTTTCGCCGCCGAGCCGTCTCGGAGATAAAAAAAGTTCCCCGCGAAACGACAATGAGAGTGACAACTTCAACATCCCGTCGGGAAGAAGAGGACGAAGAAGAAGCTGCGCAGAGCGGAAGGAGAAGCAGGTAGAACAAGAGAGACAGCCTGCTACCTGGCTAGTGCTAAAGAAGAGAGACGCACGCATTGTTTCATTTCAATGTGCGCGTTCTGAAACGTTCTGAAAGCAGCCTCCAAAACGAGATCCCCGCTACATAGATTGGATATAAACACCAGCTTATCCAGCTTTCTTTTCTTCTACATACTTCCTTCCATTTGAATACTCGCATCTATTGAATCCTGGATAGCTTTTCCGAATATAGTCTCTCTCTCTCTCTCTCTCTTTTTTTTTTTTTTTTTTTTTTTTGGAGGCTCCTCTTCGCCATGAAACCGCGCGCTAAAGTCAGGGTCCCAAGGAGGGTATGTAATCCCCCAAGAGCTTCATACTGGAGATATGCAGTCACTTATCTCTACTAATTAAATTCTACCCATCTGTCCTGGTCGTATTATATCGTATGATAGCTTTAGTTCCATTGTGGCTTTATTATTAACACTGTTTTTCCCTTAGGGCATGACGGGTAGGAGTGAAAACGACGATTTTTCCTCAATATGGAATATACTTGCTTCATCGATACGCGAAATACACACAAAAAACTCCTCTCAACTCTCATTTGAAGAGCTTTATCGTAATGCCTACAAGCTGGTCCTGCGCAAGCAGGCTATGGACCTGTACGAAAAAGTTGCCGCGCTAGAAAAGGATTGGCTATACAATGAAGTCCGTAAACAAGTTGCAAGCTTGATTACCCCAGCTCTCCTTACCATTACGGGTTGTGCCGACGCAACTGAGCATGCGAACGAAAGAAAAGCTGCTGGAGAGCGGCTACTGGCTAAGCTTAAAGAAGTTTGGGAAGACCACCAGCTCTGCATGGGCATGATTACCGATGTTCTGATGTACATGGACCGGGTTGTGATGCAAGAACTCCGAAATCAGTCCATATACGACACGTCAATGGGCCTATTTCGTGACTGTGTGCTAAGAGCAGACATTGGTGGCGAGGAGAACGGCACAATTGGCTCCGTTTTCGAAAACACACTGCTGTTCATGATACTGCTTGAACGTGAGGGAGTGATAATAGACCGTGCGTTGATCAAACACTGTGTTTACCTGTTGGAAGGCCTCTATGAAGATGGCATTGAAGACTCAACTGGAAAACTATACCATACCACCTTCGAACCCGCATACCTTGAGGCAAGTCGCAGATACTACGCGGCGGAGGGCCAACGGCTACTTACAACCACTGATGCAGCAACATTTTGCAAGCGGGTCACAGCTAGAATCAGAGCAGAGCAGTCTTTGTGTCAACAGACTTTGTCTCCTGTGACAGAAGCCAAGGTCATGGAAGTCATTGATGACTGCCTGATCAGACACTATATCGGAGAGGTAATACGTATGGATGATAGCGGAGTTAAATACATGATCCAGAATGATCGGTTGGAAGACCTTAAGAATGTTTTCGAACTTATTGCTCGCATCGATGCGAAGAAAGTTGCCTTGACCAAGGTTGTTCAACAGACAGTTATTGAATACGGCACTGCCGTCAACACTGCTGCTAAAGAGCTTTCACAAAATCCACCCGCTCCTTTAGCAACTGACCAGGGGAAGAAATCCTCGGCACCAGATGAAAAGCAGCCGGTTGCAAATCTGCAGACTGCGGCGGCTATCAAGTGGGTGGATGATGTATTAAAACTGAAAGCAAAATTTGATCGAATATGGGAAGAGGCTTTTATCAAGGACCAGGCATTGCAAACCTCCCTTACGCTCAGTTTCTCAGACTTCATCAATGTCAACCCTCGAGGCACTGAGTACCTGTCCCTCTTTTTTGATGAAAACTTGAGAAAAGGCATCAAGGGCAAGACGGAAGAAGAAGTTGATGCCCTGATTGACAACGGCATCACCTTGCTAAGATACATTCGGGATAAAGATCTCTTTGAAACTTACTACAAAAAGCATTTGTCACGTCGTCTGCTTATGAAACGGTCAGCAAGCATGGATGCTGAGCGGCAAATGATTACAAAAATGAAGATGGAAGTAGGAAACACATTTACACAGCGATTGGAATCCATGTTCAAGGACATGGCTGTCTCTACTGATCTCACTACTAGCTATCGGGATTATATTGCAGGTAATTATAATTCACGGATCGAATTAGAGATGAGCGTCCTCACAAGTACCATGTGGCCCATGGAGATCATGAGCAGTTACAACAGAGAAGGCCAGGTGCAACTTCCTTGCATCTTTCCGAAAAATGTAGAATCTCTCAAGCAGAGCTTTGAACGATTCTACCTCGACAAGCACAGCGGCAGAAAACTATCGTGGCTGCCAGGAATGGGTACCGCCGACATTCGCGCGACATTCACACGGCCCAATGGCAAAGTTGAACGGCATGATTTGAATGTCTCGACGTATGCAATGGTTATTCTGCTTTTATTTAATGACTTGCCTTCCGGCGAATCTCTCACATTCGAAGAAATCCAAGAAAAAACCAGGATTCCCACCAATGAACTTATCCGAAACCTTCAATCACTTGCCGTGGCACCAAAGACTCGAATACTGCGAAAGGAGCCCATGAGCAAAGGCGTGCAGCCATCCGATAAGTTCTCGTTCAATGAGCAGTTCACCAGCAAGTTCACTAGACTGAAGATTGGTGTCGTTAGCGCCAGCGGCAACAAGGTAGAAAACAAGGAAGAGAGAACAGACACCGAGAAAAAGACCAGTGAAGAGCGAGGCAACACGATCGAGGCTGCCATTGTTCGAATCATGAAGTCAGTAACCATCTTTCCTCCGTTATCTCTTAGTGCATTAGACTAACATGTTTTCTAGGCAACGGAAAACACTGGCTCATTCACAATTGATAACGGAGGCAATCTCACAACTTGCAGCTCGCTTCACTCCAGACGTGAACATGGTGAAGAAACGAATTGAAAGTCTCATTGATCGGGAGTACTTGGAACGTATCACCGACTCAGATCCCCCGGCGTACTCCTACGTTGCGTAGCTGGGGAAATATGTTTCTATAATCCGACTAGATTTTAGAGCTGATGTACGAAATAACTAGTGAAATGGTAACAAATGACGATGCCGGGATGCCAGCAGAGGGCGTTATTTGGAGTTTTTTGGTCTTAGAGCACCACAGCATCATATCTCATGCTTCTAGAGAGCGAAGGTACCGGCGTTTCTCTTGAACACTGTGTCTGGTCATATTCTTCAATATCGGACGGGATGTTAGGGTTGACTGAATTAAATATGACGCAACAATTTCTTAGATGGCTAGTTAACCAGCTACATGGTATCAAAATACTCATTAAACTACATACTTATGTCATTATATCGTCAGTAACCCTTAATGCTCCATAATACTACAAAAATCCAAAAAAAAAAAAAAGAACTCCAGCCGAAATCCCGTGGATCAAAAGAAACTGGCTAAAGAACCTCGATATCCCCCCTCTTCCATGCATCCTTGACACCCTCCCATCGAACGACCCATACCTCGCCCCTAACCATGCTTCCACCATACCTCTCGAGCCCAGCAATCCCATCCTCCCCCTCTGAAGCCGGGATGACAATCCTAGACTCGTCGCTCAAACACCGCACGAAAACAACCTCTTTATTCTCTGGGGCAACAACCATATTCGTACCACCAACGTTATCATCCAGCCTTTTCAGGTTTGGAGGGAACGTAGAGAGAAACGAAGCATTGTAATGCGTTGTTAAAAGTGACTGGTGGCCGCGTAGAAACTGCAGTTCTTTCTCAGAGAGTAGGGACGCCGCATCCGTTCTCGCGGGGGTTTGTATTTCCTGATTCATCGATATTCGTAAATAGTATATGCTATACTTGATAAGCTTCGATAATCTCTGGCGCAATATTGAGCGAATGATGTATTGCGTTCGTGCCAGATCAGACTGCATTATTGATAACCTGAGGTTCAGTGTTGGCTTGTTCTGGTTATTGTTCTCCGGTGAGAGCGGGTCGGCCGCTGCCATTGACAGGTCCTCGATCTTGGATATCTTGTACATCATCGGCTCGGTTAGCAACTACTAGAGAGACGTTCAATGCTATATAGAGCGAAATAGATGCCTACCTGCTTTGAAACCCTCTCCATCATGCGGTCCATCAACGCGCCAGGCCATGGCAGCAATTCAGGAACAGCCCGCTCCGCGACCCAGAACCGCGTTAGCTGCTGGTGGTCGACGGCTGTGGCCTCAGGAGAGTAGAAATCACCCCTGTCAACCGACGCGAGGATATCATCGATCCCAATTCCCTCCATCTTGTCCCTCCTTCGCTTCTCCTCTTTCTCGTTCTTCGCTTATTGACGATCTTTGCTTTTGCGCAGCTTGACTTAGGCGTTTCGATATTCCAACTTTCGTCAGTGCGAGAGATACTGAAGCTAAATTTAGAATTTTGCGGCTAAAAAAAAGCAAAAAGTGATGACGTAGGTCTTGGCGCGGTTTGTTTGTTTACACGACGAAAAAGAAAGGCCGAAAGAAGCGAAAGAAAGACGCGAAGGAAGAGAAAGACGAGAAGGTAAATTGATACTTTTATTTGATTATTTATTTTTTATGTTATGTTATGTTAATCGTGGGTTGTTCTGCTAGAAAAAGTAGCTTGCATATGTAGGAAAACCGGCTAAAGGACCCCAAATCCTTTGCTCCTTCGCTTCCAAACTAGAGATAGAGAACAACGAAGTGCAAGACCAAACAAGTACGCGAGCACGCGGTGTCGAGATCACCGAGGGAGAGTTGCATCGCAGCAGATAAGCATGGGCAGTGTGCTGTGTTCCTTTGCCCAGCTGTGAACTGCGTAGACCCACCTCGTGTAGTGACTCAGGCGTGCGTGGGTGTGGTATGAGATACATAAAAAGTGAAGAGATAAAGGAAAATAAGCATGCAAACAGAGAACCTCCCATGGCTTGACCGAATCTAGATGAACAGAAGAAATAAATTGAGGAGCGGTAAAGTCCGCTTCGGATAGGGAAGAGCGAATGGGGTCCAGTGGTTGTCGATGTTGTTATTGTTTGCTGTTTGATGATTGCCCAGCATAGCGTGGCGTCTGCGTGGCGGCGCAAGCATGAGGATAGAAGAGGAAGAGGAAGGTGAAGAAAACGAGGGGGAGGCAAAACCGTGTTTAGTTTTGATGGCCAAACAGGCGGTGCCAACATCGCATCATAGCCGGGGATCAGCAGCGGGGTTTGTTTCAGAATGAGCTCTTATCCGATCCGGTGATGTGGGAAGGCTAGGAAATGCGCCCGCATCGGCTAGAAGAGCGGGAAGAGAAGAAAGGAAAAGCGGAAAGAAAGTTGAAGGAGTGTCAGATAGATAGGGCGTTAGTGTTGGCGTCGGCGTTGGCGTCGGCGTTGCATTGTTGGTTCAAGGAGTCTTTTCGGAACTCGTGTGCGGTCTTGTCGTCTCATGTGGAGGTGGGAGGTGTGGCGCATGGCGGATGTGGGAAACAGCTCAGCTCAGCTCGGTAGAGGCAAGGTAAGTGTAGACAAAAGGAAAATAAACAAGGAAAAACAGGTATATCGACAAAGGAAAATGGTTATGTTGGATAAGGAACAAACAGGGGGTAATTGTGCAGGATAATGGGTCAGTCAGTCAGTCAGTCAATTGGACATGATCATAGAGGAAGCTGAAGGGAAGGGGGAAAGGAAACGCTTGCGCTGAGCCAGTTAAAAATCAATCGCTCAAGATAATAGAGAACAAAAAAAAAGTAAAGGATAGAATCGCCGTAGGAAAGTAGAAAAGGGTAAGGGAAATGGGGAGAGGAGAAAAAAAGGACGCTGTCAATGAAGAGTTCCGCTATGACGCTTCGACAAGGAAAGCAGAAGGGAGAACTTTTGGTGTGGTTTGAACGCTTTTCTGGTCGCTGGCGAACAAGATAAGAATCGAAGTGGAAAAAAAGCTAAGGAAAGAAAGGAAAAGGCCTTGTGACCATGCTATGGAATCAAGGAGTGAGGAGGAAGGAATGAAATGGAATGGTCCGGTGCGCCAGGCGTAAAGATGGGTGGTAGAACGAAACGTTAGGACTTCAAGTCAGGTTAAGGCGTAACTCCATCATGAACATTAGCACCCATTGGCAAGAGAGAAAAAGTCGGTTGGTTTGAATGCTAGTATGAGAACATGCGTCGTTCAGGCAGACGGCCTGGGGAAAAGCCCCGTCCCAGGGGACTTTCGAAAGTATTGTTCATGTTGCGATCGGATGCTCCACGACATCGACCGGTCGGACTATCTTCCATTGGCGAGTTTTGTTGACCAAAAGCAAACGTTTGAGCTCGGGAGAGCTTTGACCGTTGCTTTACTTTACCCAGACCACGCTCGCATGCGAATTCGTGCTCCTTGGCAGCCATTTCGACGTAATTTTGAGGGTAGCAGAGGGAGCTATGCTCGGCAAAGAAACCGCTGTATCCACCGTGGAGGATGTACATTTCCGGGAAGGTCAGTTTGGGGTACTGGTCGATATTAACGGCTCGATCTCGGTGACGAATGAATTTGGCCCTATGGCGATTAGCAAGAGTACAAGCGAACGAGTGTAGAGTGCAAGAAAATCAAACGAACATGATTGGAGCACGGTGGGCGGAGTACTCGCAGTGAAAGATGAGAGCGGTCTTTTGCTTCATCTCTCCCTCGGTAAAGAGCTTTTCGGCGAGCTGCTCCTTGTCGTTGTAGTTGACTGCGCCATTGATGTGGCCGCCTTCATATTCGTATTCGAACCGACAATCTATTATGGTGATATTGTCAAACTGGTCGCTGTATTTCCCATCGATGATGTCAACGAGCACGCTATTTCAATCCTA